TTTTTTTTTTTTTTTTTTTTTTTTGGTTTTCTCTGGTTATTTCTAAATGTTGTACTCCATGCCTTTTGACTGATATAATGCAGCACAAGCCTGTGGTGAACGCGAAATTCCCGGGCCGCGGACTCAAAGACCTCTGACTCGAGAACAAGCTTCTGGCCACACAGGGGTTCGATACTCCGTCGCTCAACGAGTCCAGACGCTGACATTACTATCGGTCGGATTTTCGCCGCAACAAGTTGAGAACTTGATTCGAGTGCCAGCCACGCAGGCCAGGAGGATTTTCGAAAAGGCAACAAAGCGTGGTTATCGTCCGCAGGAGGATCTTCGAATTCTTGATCATTACGTTGAAGATGGAGTGAGGACAGGGAGACCTAAGAAAGATACTAACGGGGTTGAACAACCTACGGACATGAATGACGAGGTCGATCGGCGGGTTCTGGCGCTCGTTGAAGAGGACAGCAGCCCTGGAGATCAGGTGGAGAGAAATCCAGCTCGGTAGTTCGCTGTTGATCCGGAAAAATACCGTGCAAGCCACTGAAAAAAGCTGCTGTCTCCGCCAAACCTCTGGCTAGTCACGATATAGTTCAACGCGAGTTCCTGACTATAGTCAAACTTGAAAATAATCTAGCTATTAACCTCCAGTCGTGGCATACACTCGTGAATGTCATTGGAGCAAGTAACAAGAGAAGAAGTAAGGAGAGTTCACGCTCAATCACGAGTCTGAATGGAAGACGATCGCTTCCCGATCAACTCCGCCATCCGCGGGAGGGCCAGCGAACGACCTATGTGGGTTATTGAGACGACAAGCTATTTGCTTCTGAATTCTCGGCCAAGTCCCAAGTGGCACGCTGTGTAGTCAGACTGTGAGATGCAGCGGACGGTCTTCTACTGTCGAAAGAAAGCTGCTGTTAGCTACGAAAGAGCAGGAGAGAGATCGTGAGGCTGTTCAGAGAGCATGAGGACCAAAAAGAAAAAGAAAACGAAAACGAAAGAAGGAATTCATACGCTAGATGCTCACGACTCAAACACAGCCTGTGGAGTCGCCTACAACTTGACGAACAGCTCTCGGAGACTTCACTCTCCTTGGAAAAGCAACCATCGGCTGGGGAGAATGAGCCATTGACAGCTTGAATAACGGACGCGGCATTTGTGACGGACAAGAATGCGATGGGTGTTTTCGTCTCGTGACCGCTTTTCGGTCCTTTTGTAGTGGGGATCTGGACTTCTCCATACTACCTAGGTAGTGTTAGCAAAACTTTAACGACTTTAACGATATAACGGTACTTCAATGGCCTGTCGATCGCCGACGGTCCGGCTTCGGTTAGATGCACGGTCATGCACGTCAGTCAACATCACATCACCTCGCTACCCAATGCGTTTCGGCAGTTATGCAACGATAAATGTGATGGATTGATCAGACATGGTGACAAGGAGCTTTTCGTGATGGGACATAGTGCCATCGTACAAGGAGAGATCAGCTAATGCTTGCGTTCTAGGACCCTACATGGATGTGTCGTCCGTGGCGTTCAATTCGCCGAGCGCCTTCTTCCTCATGAACTGTATCCTGGCCAGCTCAGCTACCATGCCACGCTCCGCTCTCAACTTGTACAGCGTGTCGGAGTTTCTACAGCTCCGTAGATCCGTGCCGCCATCGATGCTCCCGACTCGAATACTGACGACGGTCCCGTTGGGTTGAATTTCCGAGTCCCAGCCATGACTCATCTCTATCGTGTCGTCGGCAGCACATAGGATCGACTGCCGCAAGTACCAGAAACAGTGTGGCCAGTGAGGGTCATCATGGTCGTCTGTCCCAATGTCTTCACCGGCTTTCGCACGCTGGAGCGCTTTGCGGATGCCTGTCAGACCTGTGTACGATCAAAAAAAGTCAATTATTGCCTTGCTGCAGTTTTCTGCAAAATGTCGAGGAATTGAGAGCACATACAGTGGAGTTGGTGAAACCTGATTTGGAATGCGGTCAACCACAAAGGCTCATAGAAATGGGTATTCAATTGTACGACTTACATTCCGATTGCACCCCAGACAGGGAGAGCGTGGATGTCGTCGGGATTCAAGCGGATGACTCCGCTGTGTCCTGACTCCTCCGATTGCCACCAATGGTCGAATTCGTGGTCGAGAGACATATACTCGACGTTCCGTCCATATCTCGCGGTCGTATACGTAACCGTTGCTCCATCGATCGCATTGACACGGTGGACCGCCTGGTGACCGGATAGCTTTCGACCCATCAAGACGACGTTGGCGATCAAGAGGCCACACAGAACAAAATGGCACGTCCATCGTAGCGCCTTTCCCAGCTGCGACAAACGACGGTTGTTGGCGCGTCGGGGGACATGATATGCTAAACCGTCCTCTGTCTGTCCGAGCAAACTATGCTTCTCCAGCTCGCCCTGTTCACAGTTCATTGCAAATGATGGGGGGAAGTATCCTTCTTGGTTGCCTGAAAAAGTCAAGGTTGAGAACCGTGGCTACGAGACGTTTTTCAATGCACACTCGGTCCTCATTGCAACCTAGGGAGACTGGTCCATTTTGTTGATTTATAAATGCCAGCACCTCTAATGGCATACATCTCCCATCATTTTCTTCGCCATCATCGCTTGGAATTGTTATGGGGCACAGAGTTTTGTCTATCGCTTAATATCCCTTCCCATCTGAACTGCTACGGCATACTACGGGACTTCTAATGTAGTCTGATTATTCATGGGGACCTCGTGATCGCTCCGCATTGCCAGCACATGTGGTACATGTGTATCTGACTGGCTGCGTCCTTTTGTTCTTTGACCGCTAAAAAGTAATTGCGTTTCTTCAAAAGTACAGATGAACATGTATGACCCACTTGGGGGTACATGTCCGAGCGGGCGCTACCGCTTTCTGTGACACATCGACACATCTTCCCGCGATCAACGCTTTACCCGAGCCGTTTTAAGAGTTGGCTTATGCACTTCGGGACGAACGGCACTTGGTATGATTCCTCTCGAAGAACTCGCAGGACCCATGTGCTGAGTGCCCAACGTCGCTTGGGTCGAGTAGCGTGCAAAATGCAGTACCAACAGAGATTGACTACCTTGATCAACGAACCCTTTCCTCGTCGAATATATATAACGGCAGCCAAAACCCTCGGCGGGTACTACTCAGCAGCTTTTCCGAGAATCGTTGATAGGGTTTGGTCCAGTAACGGGCCAACTTCAGTCTTTCGTCTTTCTCCTTGATTGTGAAGCTCCCATCTTCCATCTCACCATGAAGCTCCTGTCGCTGCCGCTGCTGCTTCTGCTCCTCCCCACCAGCCTGCTGGCACGGCCGATCAGATTCGCCGACGAGGACTGGCTGCTGCACCCTACCCCTGCGCCGAAGCCCGATTCGTGCGGCCAAGGGTGTCAAATCGAAGAATCTACCCAAACGATACAAGAAATGCTTACCCTCAACCAAGAAGAAACCACGCTTGAGGCGACCCATGATATTGGTGGTTAGCTACCAACCTGCTCGAGACCGACAATGTTCGTCTATGGCTCCTCTGGTCCACAAGACGTGGTCACCCCAGCTCTTGTGCTTAGCTAACAAGTTGGGATGTAGACATACCCATTTCACGAGTAACTTACATCAAGATGGGTTGGCAGGTCCACTGGTTGAACATGGCGAGAAAGGAAGTGTCCCAAGAGCACGAAATGACGATGTGGCTGAACAGAGTTTCCGAACCGGGTTTTTGTTGCAATGGTGACTCTGTAGTCGAACCAGAAATCTGATATAGAAAAGAAATCATCAGAGCGTTGCGTTACAAACAAACTGCTAGAAACCCGATCACTCGTAGACGTAGAGCTGACGGACCTATTAATTGTCAAACTGAGGTTGAAAGGTCCCTTTGAGGATTGCAATTACCTTTGGGCGGACGCCATACTGATATACAGATGATCACGTGATAAATTACGTGATCAGTGTCACATGATTTCAGAGGGGGCTGGACGTCAACCCCTTCACTTTTGACAATATCTCCTATTCCGCTACCCATTTTGGGCCCTTCTTCGTGTAATCAGATTAAGGGGTCCCGTTCAACTAAGTTTTTCAACTAAATCCACTTTAAATCTTCAGCTAAGCTCTTAACTACCAGGTAAGTTGTAACTTTACCTTCTGGGTAAGTATGTTTACCTTAATGTCAAGAGGAAAAACAGCCCCAAATGGACGTGGACGGAAGGCGTAAATATTAGCTCGGAAGGTTCTAAAAGACAGAATTTGATTACAGGGTATCTAACTGATTCGTTTTTACTTCCACTGTTTCAAGCGCGCAGCAACCTCCAGCATGGCAGCCGGCCACCACTGCTGCTGCAAGGAAGAAGCGCTGGAGAACCCGTGCCCATACCTCGACACCAGACCCTGGAGTGCCACAAACGGAAAGTCGCCCACCCACCACGCCTCCTTCTCCAACAGGAGCATCACGGTCAGCCAATGGGCATAGACGTCCAGGGCCAGGAGTTCAGCGGTGGATAGCTCGCGGTCGCCCTCTGTGGCGTCTGTGCGGGGATCGAGAAGCGGGAGCAGCAGGTCGATATACGTCTGTGGCGCGCTGGAGAAGAAGGCGAAAAACGAGCGGGACAGAGGCTCCGCGTGCGAGGGCCGTGGTCGTTGCAGGATGAAGTTTTGGAGCCAGCCGGGCGCCTGTGCGAGGAGGCTGTCGGGAGATACAGAGAACTTTTGCGGAGTGTTAACCTCGGTGTGGTAACGGGGGTCAAAAGGACGGGGAGGGGGGACTTACAGTGGAATCGTATTCGAACGGAATCTTGCTCCTCGGGCAGTCCAGGAATGTGCTGGACATGATGTCGTTCAAGATCTCGTAGGTCTCTGTGATGGAGTCGATCTTCTCGTCTACCTGCGGACTGGCGAGCGCACCCTCAATCCTACATTTCAGTTGCCATGAAGCCTGGTAGAATGTCGACGCCAGAATAGGATACATGGTGTGAAGGCGCTCGGGCATAGTTGGGGCTTCGGTCGGGTCGACCGGCTGGGACGACAGCATCGTGTCCCAGAACGACTTAGGCTTTGAGCCCCCATTTTCGACGAGGTTGGAGTTCAGCGCGACGATGGTCGTGCGGATCCCTCTCAGAAGCAGGATCATGTCCCGGGGCGTCACGAGGTCGGCGTCCTGTTGCGGCAACCCCCTGGCGCGAACCACCCAGTGCTGAATGTGTTGGAAGGCCAGTGCGAAGGGCACAATCACCAGCGCGCTGGCGAGCAGGGGTTGCGTGTCCGACTCGCGCGGATGCGACGTCATGGTCCGCATCTGCTCGAGCGCCAGCGTGTGGTGCTCCAGGCCCAGGTCGAGGATGTGGCGCACTTTCTCGGGATCGGCGTCCGCCTGAGCCATCGTGTCGCAGCACAGACAGGCGGCCGCGAGCGCCAGGACTGCGTGTGAAGCCAGTTCGTTGTCGAGCGCCAGCTTGGCGATCCCGACTTGAAGGAGGAGCCGGTCCTTTTGCCAGCTTGGGGCGGCCCTGCAGGTATGGTGCAGAAAATGGAAGTAGAGGTCCGAGTTTGTGATGTTGTAGGGGTTGGCATCGTCGATGATGCTGCCTTGGCCGCTGCTGGCCACCGGTGACCTAGAGAGCTGTTGTTCTGTCGGCTGAGCCCATGAGAGACCACCTCCAAATGACCCGGGCGGCGATGGAACGGGAGACGGAAGCGATGACCTCGACGGTACAGCAGTCGATTCGCCTGATCGAGAGGATCCCTGGTCTGATGATGCATACGTGCACGTCCTCAGACTCGTTTCACAGAGAGTACAACATGGCCGCTTCTCGTCGCACTGCCACCGGTGTCAGACTTGATATACCTCTATAGCCCCAAGTGAAGATGGTGATGTGCTCACTTTCTTCCGACGTTGCTTGCACGTCAAGCAGCCGTTTCGAGATTTGGCATGAGATCGCCTCGACCGAAACCCGGGCGGGAAGGATTGAGTCGGAGATGTCGACGACGAGGAGCTTGCATGCATGGCTTTGGTGAAGGTTGAGGTTCGTATACCTGGAAATGATGACCCATGTAGAAGAAGCTCAAGAAGGGGCTGCTCTGATATTTGTGTCTTCCCAGTGTCCTCAATCCCTGGAGCCATTAGGGGCATGTCGTCGACGTACTAAGGCAGTTAAGTTAAGCTGACTCATATCTGGGGGGATCAACAAGTCTTGATGCTTGTCTCAAAAGGTCAAGGCGGTTAAGTATGTAATGTAGCAACCCTGCCCGAGTCTTGTTACAAATTCTGGTGCCCACCAGCCCTGCAGCTCCACCTTGATGCGAGACGCGTTGCGCGGTATTCCGCTAGACCAGCTAGCCCTGTTGGCCTTTTGAGTGCCTGTTCGATGGGCTGACATACCTACAGTAGTTTGTGTTACCATCATACCCCTGTATCTTGGCAAAATAGGGCCGTCCACCTGGGATGAAGTCATAGAGAGACCTTTACCTGGGCACTAGGGCACCCATATGGTATTGTATTTCTCATGGTTCGGTTGTGGGTCGGCTATCGTCGCCATCGTGGCTGTGAGCCTACGGTAGTGAGCCTCACTAAGCTTTAGCTTTCCTTCGGCCGGCGAGGCTGAGCATGTGCGGCCGCTAGGCTGGCCCTACAACCGACGTCGCTCCGAAGATCGCTACTCGTCGATTTGGAATGTCGGTTCCGACGCTGGGTGGGCGGTGGGGTTTTATGCCTACCTACCTCGGTATGATCCATATCAATACGAGTACGGCGACACTTAATTTGCCGGAAAGGTCACGGGGACGGAGACGGGAGAGATGGGGTTGCCGCTCTCTTCGGTGCCGACTTTGCAGTACTAATTAATGAATCCGCTACTACTGCAGGACTTGTGGATATGCAGAGAGTGGGAAAGTGGAACAGGATGAGTAATGGACAGAAGGACCCTGATTACAGTCCAAATGCCTAAACAAGGCTAGCTTCTGTAGTATTCCCCGCGCGAGTTATTGCACTACAATACCTGTACCTGGCCCTTGCGGAGCGATGGCAGCGAGTCAGTGGTCTCAAGCGGCTTGAACTGACGCAGGATATCTGATAGACTTGAAACGATACTACTCCCTGCTATAGCTTGGGACTGTGTCTGGGTTGGGGACGGTCGTCTCCAGCTCAGGGTATAGACAGACTTCTTCACCAGCTTGCGAAAGCCACCTGCGGGCGAGAAATTCGAATAATGCCACGCTGAGGCTGAGCCAGCGATGTCAAGCCTCACTGTCAGGGCTCGATGTCTGCGAGTCTGAGTCCGAGTCCGAGTCCAAGTCCGAGTCTTCAACCCTATCTCTCCTTCCGTCCATTTGGTGTCTTTTCTCCCCAGCATTGGGTAAGCAGCCCTAGAAGGTAAAGTTAGTTAAGAGCTTAGTTAAAGCTTGAGGTAAACTTTGTTAAAGGCTTAGGTAAAAGAACCTCCATTAACTTCATTGCCAAAGAAACAAGGCGCTAAATGTACGGAAAGGGAATTCGTACCTAGATAGGCATGGATCAAATCTCTTCTCAACATAGGACACTACTCAGACCCAATCATGAGCAAAGAGAGAAGACCATGTTTATAATTTGCGATTCTCACTGTGCCCTCTCTCGAGAGATGGCATCATCCGGCTGCTGCGGGTTGTGATAAAGACCGCGCAGCATCATGTGGCTCCGGCTGCACGTTCGGCTCTGGTTCAACTGGGTCCTGTGGATGGGCTTTTGAAGCAGATCGAGCTTCCGTCGTGTCGTCATCGCGTGTCTGCGTTTGATGGACCGCTTGGGGTTCTGCTTGGGTGGAATCGCGAGGTTGCGCTGCATCGGCATTCCGTTGCCGTTGTTGATCGATACCATGAGACCCTGACGATGCGGGATTTTGGGGCTCTGGTAGATCCCCACCCTCTGGTTGTGCTGGTGGTTGGACATGACCATTTCCACTCGTTGGGAAATGCTGCTCGATGAATTGATTCTCCGAGGCCAAAGGCTGCAGTGCGATGCGAGTTGCCCGCTGGTCGCCCTGGTACGTGGCAACGAACATGGGATCTGTCCCATCTCGTGCATCGAGGACCGTCATGGCGTCCTTTCTGGTTTTGCCTTGGTAGTTTGCTCCGGCACGGATTGCCGCCGCGATCTTGTTGACGACGCTGTCTACCAGCAGCCCGGCGTACCCAATGATCCCGATCGGCTCCTCGAGGAGCATCGAGCAGTGGCTTGCTGTATATTGGATGATGAGGATGAGCATTGCGGCGACAGCGAGCAATAATCCAAGTATGATGGAGATAATGATGTTATAAACAAAAAGTCGGTTCGTACTATAGGTCAACTGGCCGCTGAGAGAGGTGGGTGTCTGCTTGTGTCGGATCATAAAATCATTGACCAGGAGCGAGTACACGGTTGCGAATACCTGCTGCGAGGACTTCGTGAGAACTTCTCCACTCAATGCTTTCTCTGTGTCGATGAGGCGCGCGTTGTCCAAGATCACCCTCCCAAAGTCGGTGGCAGAGTCGGCTTGTGTCCCTCCTGCAAGGGTCGTGTCGATGGATGTAACTTGATTCAGTTGCGACTCAAAGGAATCCCACCATTGAGGCCTAAGCTCTGTGGTCGCGTTTGCCCTGAACCAAAAGATGGGATTTCGGGAATCCTGATCGAGGGTCATGTTGATCTGTCCCTGCGAGTTCCAGTATGTCGGTATGCAGCTGATGACGGTGGGCAAGGTTTTTTTGAAGTTCACATTGGTAGCGCCAATGATTATCAGACGCCCGCTGTAAAGCGAACTACCATAGGCTCCGCATGTAACGTTTGAACAAGTCTTTAAGTATGTCGTGAAGCCATTGGAGATTTGGAAGTTCGTACTCCAGTAGCAGCCATGGTCGGTACCATTCAGCCACCATGTTCCCCCGTTACCATTAGAACTGTCCTCGATGCGAATCATGTGGGCGCCAACATCATCCGTCACGTCTTGACATTCAAGCCTTGCAAAATACGCCTGTGTCGCAGCCACGATGCCCGGCTGAGAGACATTGCCGCGTGGCAACTGGGGAGACGAGAAGTTCAGGAAGAGATGAGTTCCGTTGGACCACCTTGGATAGCTGCCACCATACACCAGCGTTGATGATGCAGCACCTATGACGGGCGAGAGATCCCAATTAATCGGTTCGCTGAGGCTGGTTGTGGAGTAAAAGGAAGAATCCTGCAGCAATGACACGGTCTTGTTGTTGAGATATGCTTTCTCGACCAGCATGTGTGCCGCTAGCGGACCAAGACCGACTCGGAGGATCTGCGATAGCGTGAAGGCAACGAAGAGATGCCAATGTCCATTGCGCCAAGCTTTGTATTCGCGCTTGACCGGGAAAAAGGACCCGTAGTCCAAGGCAATCGTCTTTCTGGCGACGACTCCTCCATCGCGGGCAAGCTCAATGAAAGGCTGCCGAAACCCGAAAGCATCGACCACAGCCGCAACGCAGAGTCCGTATATCTGGAAGATTAACGAGGGTAAAGTCGTCCACGTCAGACTGATTCTCCAGTCGACTCCGGCGACTGTTTTGGAAGTATTCTGGACACCAACAAAGCCGTGTTTGATGTTGGACAGTGCAATCAACGTTATGATGCCGCCAATGAACGCGAGATTGACAACTGAGAAGATGAGCAATGTGCTTCGTTCAATCTTCCACGACTTCCAGTCATTCCAATTTGGCGTGTTCTCCTCCGTGGGCGAGCTCTTGACACGTCGTCGTTCGCGGCCTAGCCAACCTTTGAGCCTATTGTGAGCAACAGGTTGTGAAGTGATCTTCGAGGTTTCCGACATATTTGACGTCTGTAAGCACCTCGTTGAATTCTGCTCTGGGAATGCAACAGGAAGGGAAGATTGCCTGTCTGCACAAGGAGCCAGAGGAGCACTCATTGCCGTGGAGATCAGTGATTACCATGTGATGTTCAGGCTGGTGCTTAAGCATTCGCCTAGCATTTGCCTGGCATGCTTGATTCTGCGAGCGCCACCAGCGACTAATGCACCACGACCAACTCGGCCAGCTTTCGCATCAGGCTGAGATACAAACTTGACTGCACTCTGGACAAGGGACTAGTGGCCATGCAACACATTGGTTCAGCTCCGCCACATAGGATAAGGATGCCCGGCATTCCCTGCCTGGTTGGGCCAAATAGAGCCCAACGCAGGGCCCGAAAAGTTGTGGCTTGCAGGTGTTTTCAGACTTGATGTTCAGCTCCAAATCTAGAGCGGCTGTGGGGAATGAATTTGGTATGTGGAGACGCACACTTCTTGTTCGAAAGAGCCAATCTCTGCCCTTTTCAGGCGGAGATGCTGCCCTAGTGCTCGCCTGATACGAGAAGGCAGACTTCCCGGTCAACGACAGCATGGCCGGATAACCGGGTAGAGCCTCATCCTGTTCTCAATGTGTGAGACAATGGGGAGGTGCGGAATGACCCCTTGTGATGCGGAATTGCAGTCTATCAAGAGACGTGCCTGCACCAGTGTTTCCGAGCACAAGAACGCCGGTCCTCTTCCCATCCACTTCTCAAGACCTCTCCTTCCTCAAACCTCTGCCACGCCCATCTGGTCATTCTTTGGGCCCAGTCATCATCATGACCTTCTTGATATATGTAACAGCCCTTGCTGTTTTCACGATTTCCACTGCTAGAGGACAGGGCGTCGGCCTATATGGATGTCAGTCGCAGGCTGGCATCACATCGTTAACAGCGTGCAATGAGCTTGCGGCCACCGATTCCTCATGCTTCGCGAACCCAAAAGCCACTGCCTTCATTCAAGAATGCTTCTGTAAGCAGGCTGTTCTCAACAACATCGTGGAGTAGGTGGCCATTTGTTCTTCACTCCCCAGAAACTCGGACTGAGAAAAAGCGGGACAGTTGCGAGAGCGAAATGCGTCTCTGCTACCTCAACGACCAATTCGACTACTACGCCCGCGATCTGCTCGCGGACTGGCATACCTGGTGCAGCACATATATCACCTTTACGCCGACCACTCCTGTCCTTAGCACTCCAACAACAACAGTTCCGCCGGGTACAAATGCCTTTTGTGAAGATTATACCACATCCTGCGCGGTATGGTCGGCCGCAGAATCGGCCTGCTTTGACCTTGACCCCTCAGCTACAGCGTCCTCGTTCTTGAACTGTGCCTGTTCCACCGACCTCCTTTCACTTGCCTCGGTGTGCTTGTACGACGTCTCGACCAGCTGTTTTGGCCGTAGTGCGGTCTTGACTGACATAGCCTTGTTCTCAATTTGTGGTGTGAGTTAACTTCTGTGATACTGGGATGTGAATGACAGACTGATGGCGTATCATAGACGACTTACAGCAATGATCAGTTGATCACTGCGGCGACTGCGCCTGCACTAGCTGGTCTGGCTGGCAGTACTTCAACATCACCATCCGCAGCACAGACGCCAGCTCCGCCGTCTTCGCAGACCGTAGCTAGTACTGCCACTGCCCAGAGCACACGGAGCACACAGACGAGTCCAGCCACTCCTGCCACCAGCAAGCCAACTTCTGGAAGTAATGTCGTTGTTGCAAGTCCCGCAAGTTCGCTGCGAATAGGATTTGCCCTCGCGATAGCACACCTAATGTCCCACCTATGGTAAACTATTGCCACGGGTCACGCACGGCTGTCGACTTGGGCTCGGTGGTATAACCTTTGCAAATTGAGAAGTGAAATACCATGATCGCACCAATCCTTTACGCATCTGCCGTTCAAATCGCCTGCACGGCTGATGTACGAAGAGCACTCGCGCTATGGGGGCTAGCTTTCGGAAATAGCCGATTGCTTGATGAAGGTGGTTTTGAGTTTTGTTCTTTTTTCAAAGCTAGAATGAGCCAAGGGAGGCTTGGGTGGCGGGTTCTGAAAGTTCCCCTGGAATATAATATCCGGGGGTGGATCTCAGCTGTTTAACCCCAGGCTGGGCCAGTTTATCGAGCTCGTGGCACGTATGTAATGTAATGAGATGCTCATACTTGCTGGAGTCATTGGACAGCTGGTTCAATAGGTTATCGACGGCCCAATGTGTTAAGGAACCATTGTGATTTTATGTTCCGAGGCGATCTTCTCTACCTACCAGTCCACCTTTCGGCGCAGCAAGAAGTCTTCAAATCCCCTGACGGTCACAGAGGTAGGTAGGTGGTGCCGAGGGCTAGATTTTATCTACATTCCACACCCGAGAGCGTTGCGTCTATGTTACTTCTCTCAGCATCAAACCCTTGTCTAAACCTGCCTGAAAGCTGGAACCTTCGAACGAGCTATCAAGTGACGCTATAAATGTCAAAAGGCTGCGCAGCGGACGAACCCATCGACAATTTCCCCGTGGCGTTAATGGTCATGAACATCCCCTGGCTGTTCACCAAGTTATAGCCCTTACCACCTCCGAGGTAGGGGATACTGTGCACCATCGCGGAGGTCTTGTTGACCAACTCCATGTTGGCGCCCATGTAGCGTCCGTCGACCGCGCTGCTGATGGTGTACATTCGACTATCCGTGGCGGTCTCGTGGATGACCCAGCGCTGGGCCGGGTTAGAGTGAGAAGCCGTCGCTTTTGTCGCATTGAAGTGCGTGGCTTGGCCGCCGGGGTTGGAGAGTGCATAGCCCGACGACTCAAAAGTGAGATAGCGGCCCTCGGTAAGATAGCCGCGCACGGCCTTGAATCCCTGTTCCGATACAAGGGAGGTCTCTTCGGTCTGGTTGCCGTAAGGAACAGGGGGACGCTGGACGGCATATTGCGCCTCGCAGTAGGACGAGCCGTCCCAGACGCCCTTGCTATCTTTGTGTGGCGTCTTCGCCAGTGGGATGACAGGAATGGAGGTGTTGGAACTGCTGAAATCGAATGCTGCGGTCAAGTCGGACATATGGGCACGCCGCCAGGCAGGCATCTGGTTCGTCGTCACGTTCTTGTAGCCCTTAGCTGCCAACCACTTTTCGAGAAACATGATCTGGGAGTTGTGATCGCATTTCTCGGTGAAGACGTTACCGCCGCGCGTCCACGGCGAGATGATGTAGAACGGGAGACGGAAACCAGGGCCCGAGAATGTGTAACCAAACAGACCGTACGGATCCTCAAGCCACTCGCCCGCTGTCCCGTTGGGTGAGTGGTAAGGGGACACGTGGTCGCCCCAGCCGCCGGTCTCGTCGTAGCTGATGATCAGAGCAGTGGTGTTCCAGTTCTTGCCCTTGGTGACGGCGTTGACCACCTGCTGCTGGAGCCATGCTCCGTCGTGGGGAGAATATGGCGGATGCTCCGAGAGCTCAGTCGGGCCAACAATGTAGGAAATCATTGGCAAGGTGCCATTCGCAGCGTGGTCGTAGAAGTCCTGGAGGCCAAGGTAGGACATCCCGCGCTGATGGAGGATGGTACCGTTCTTCGCCGTCTGATATTGTTTGAACCATGCCAGAGGATTATCATCGAAGTTGTCGAGGTCCTGATACAATTGCCATGTAACACCGGCTTTCTGATAGATCTCGGGTGTCGTTTCCCAGGAAAGCGGATAGCAATTCAAGCCTGGTGCTTCACAGCCAGGCACTTCGTTGTTGTCGATGTAGACACCGCCTTCATTGGCCGTCTGGGGCGATCCAGGAACCGCTATCGAGCCACTAACCCAGGTCACACGGTTCGGGTTGGTCGAGGCTATCACGCTTTCTTGGTACATGTCACCGATCGTCCAACCTTCAGCAAGCGCAAACTGGACGGGAAGATCGCTCCTCTTGTAGTACCCCCAACTCCACGGTGTGTTCTGTTGTTGAGGGGGCTGTGTCAGTGAAAGCGAACAGACCAAGAACAGGAACACATGTGGTATCCTGTCCGAACAGAACTTAGCTATTCAGAACTCACATTAAGGGCCCAATGGTCGTTGAGGCCAAAATTGTAGGCCAGATGGTTCTCCTCATACCCGTTGGACCCTGCGTCCATGCATTGAGTCGCATTCAGCCAGTGACCGCCCAGTTCATTGAGGTAGAATGGGAGTAAGTAGTCAGCCCTTGTGGTCATGGTCTTGTTCACTTTCCTAGATCTGTCTCAGCTGAAGCTCATCACTATCAATAACATCTTACTTACTGATACCACACGGACTTGCCATCGGGGTTTATCTGAACGTTGGGATCTGAAAAGCCTCGAATGCCGGCCATGGTGCCAAAGTACTGCTGAGATATAAGCAAAAAGTCTCGTCGATCAGTGTCCTTTCCGTACATGGTCAAAGGCTCGATTCTCCTGCATGAATAGAACAACATGATCGATGCTTGCCAGAGAGTCCGCGTACACCCTGCTTCCGAGGAAGCCTGTGGCAAGCACAGCGTACAAGCAAGAGGGTAACCGCATGGTGGCTGTTGTAATTGTTGCTGGAACGCTCAAGCCCGTCTATCACTCGAGACGTGCGGGGGGAGATGCTATATAGCGTTCATCCTAGTCTTGTCCCTTACGAGGGCTATTCCGTTCAATTCATCGTTGTCTGTCCGCACACGGAGCTGCAACGACCTATCAACAAGGCTCAATTGGAAAGCATGAATGTACCTCCCGTGCACGTGGTGCTCTCAATTGCCCCTCGCGATACCATACAGGCCAAGGACGAGGCTGCGGGCTTCATGCCGAAGTCACCTTACCGAGCAGCTGAAGGAAGTCGAAGGGTGCGCGATGTGACGATGGGAAAATGTCGTGGAGCCAGGATCTGCTCTGTGCAGGATATGCAAGGTTGTTGGTGTCTAGATTGCCAGATATGCAGACACGTTGTGGCGGAGCCAAGCATCATTCGCTTGCCCAACTTAGCGGACATCCACGCAGCAAGCTTCGATCGGCCGTTTGACAGCAACAGGAAGGCCATTTGAATCCTTTAAGATTACAACCAATGGGCAAGGACTTCCAGCGTGGCGTCCTTGGTCAATTGCCCTGCATCAAGTAGGTGCCGGTGCATCGTCAAGGGGATTTCTTCTTTTGCAAGAGTGGACTGAACGGATTGACGCCCACTTTGTGATCGATGCTGGATGCCGATATGGACTAAAATGGGTCTTGAATGTCGCCGAGGTGTCCGAAAACCAAAAACAGCAAAGGGTGAACCAGTGAACATGTCAACTAATCTCCCAGCTCATAGCCATTCCACTTCCCAAGTGCCATCCGACATGACAGTGCATCATCCAGGTACCCTTGTTGTCGGCTCGAAACCTGATTACGACGTAGCCTCTTTGGGGAACAAAGACCGTGTCCTTGATGATAGGGTTCGCTAAATTGTATGGGCCGGCCGGCGAGTCTGGTGTTGGGGTGTCGAACGGATTGTAGTTGTACATGCCCGTTCCCCCAGCGGTGAACGGCGGCTTCTCACTACTCCAAGGAATTGGAGGTGGGAACACAGAGACAACATAGAAGGAGTAACCATGTAGATGGAATGGGTGGCCACCATCGTCGAGATTATTGATGACAATTTCGACCCATCCAGCAGAACCATCAGCGATGGCAGCATCGTCCTTGGCCAAAGGGATGTGAGGCGACAGCTGGTTTTGGTCATACTGTGCCCGAGCCAGGGAAAGCAACGGTGGCGATTGGGGTGACCAACTGGTGTGATTGATGAACCCCATGGGGATATTGTGGTGCCTGGCCAGTTTGAGTGTTGTGGTATAGACGACAAACTTCCACGGCTCGTCTGACCACGGAATCGGAAGACTGTAGTTGGGCACGGCCGCCTGGAGGTTGTAGTACTCGAGCTCCGGTTTCAGGAATTGTTTTTGGCCGGTCGATTCTGATCCTACTTTGACCGGGAACTTCTGTAATGGATCGAGGGCCGGATTTGGGTACTTGAAGTTCTCATCGTCCATTTCGATCTCAAGATAAGATTGCCTGTCAGGTGCTCCGGTCTGGAGGATTACATCCACGCGCTCTCCGGGATAAACGATCCCCACGCCTTGAGCCTCTGCCATACGGATCTCGTGACCACCATCGACCTGGAAAGGAGAGAAGCTGGCGTTGTGCATCCTCATCGAGAAACCAGTAAGGGAGCCGGTATTGATCAAACGAAGACGGTAGATCCTGCCATTTCCGAGTTGTAGGAAAGGGTGATGACTCCTTTCGCTGAACGGGATACAGTCCACGGGCCTTGCAGGGACCGCCATGTCGCAGGAAAAATCTCCCTTCCCGTTGACGACCAGAGAGTCAGGCACTGGCTCGTTTCCAAAAGACCGAGAATTCATGTACCAGCGGAGCACTTCAGTGCTTGGTCGGTGATACCAATCACCTACCAGCAGCAAGATTTCCTCATCATAGCGATATATTTCTTTCTCGTTGAGCTGATCGAGCGGTCGATGAACCACAAGACCGCCATAGAGCCCGTCGTCGCGCTGTGTCTTTTCGTGGCCATGGTACCAGAACGTGCCGAATTCTTCCTCGGCGATGGTGAAATTGTATAAGTAGCTTTCGCCTTCTGGGATGGGGTCCTGAGTTAAACCAACTGCGCCGTCCATGTTGTTCGCACCTTTCATCATTAATCCATGCCAGTGTATAGCAAGACCCTCGTCGCTCAGAAGATTGGTGACGTTGACAATGATTCGATCGCCTGAGCGAGCCTCAATCGTCTCGCCTGGGAGTTGGCCGTTGATGAGGTATACCTCTTTGCGGACACCATCTGGGTATCTAAAGCCCTTGGTGATCTCCCAACTGAAAGTCAGTGTTGTTGGCGGGCGGCCAATATGGTTATCGGGGTGGAGTCTTATTGCAATATCGCCAGCGGTCTGTGTTTGATCCTGCAAGCCAGGCCCCCATAGCGTTTTCTGGAGGCCTCTAAGCAGCAATGAATCCTTTGCAAGTCGATTGAGAAGCACTGCTGACACTATGAGCAGAAGAACCAAGCCAGAGATAAATCCAGCCGTTCTGAACCCCCAGGACGGCGCCTGGAGAGGTGCTGCAAATTGGTCCTTAGGGGCTGAACTGACGACGCCATGAGTGTTGTCTGCTTTCAAAATTCCAGCTTTGCGTCTCCTGGAGTTCGTTCTCTCCATGATGTTGAGATCAGACCGATGGTGTCGGACTACATAGAGCCCAAGGTCAGGTGCGTCAGCATCATGAGCCTATTGACGTGGTTGGGGGAATATGCCTCTGGGCGTTCGCCGGAATGAAAAGCGAGGCTGCTCAGGAAAGGGTCTCTGTGCTGTGGGACTGGCAGCTCCTCCCGGAGGCTATTCGTCAAAGCTTCAGAGACCCAAAGACAGATCATTCCTCATTGAACTCACAAATCTGCACCGTTCATCTCCGTCGTAAGGGCTCGGATCCGGCACAACTTCGCTGAATGACAAAGCCCGCTGGCCACACTTTCTCCCGCAAAATAACACCCAAGCACAGGACCTGTATGAGCCATGATCTAAGCAAGGCTTCGCTTTCTGTGTAAAGCGGCCGAACGTGACCGAATATGCCGCCAGATCAAGGGACACAAGTCAGTGGAACTCGCAGACGTCCTAGAGCGATAGTACAAAATGTTTTTGTCCCTCCATCAAGCACCATTCCTCTCTCCAAACCACATCCAAGGGAAGTCGCTGCTCTGAAACATGTCTCTGTCGCCGCAGAATTTCGGCCTCGTTAGGGAAGGGATAGGATGTGCTGTTCTCAAGCCCATTCCTGTCCCAAAGCTGAAGTCCGACTACATCTTGGTTCGCACGGTTGCCGTCGCGCTCAACCCCACCGACTGGACAAGTCTCGACGCTGTCGGACAAGACGGAACCATTGTCGGGTGTGATTACTCTGGGATTGTCGTCACTGTTGGTGAATTGATGAAGGATAGGTTCAAAAAGGGGGATCGCGTGGCTGGCTTTGGCCATGGAGGTGAGTTGCACGACTCATCCATGAACTTCTGGGTAGGCGAGCGTGTTCTTACCCGTCTCCACAGCCAACGACTTCAACCCGGAGAATGGTGCTTTTGCAAAGTATATCGCCGTAAAAGGCGCCCTCCAAATGCACATACCCGAAAGTGTGAGCTTTGAGGCCGCATCTACCGTCGGCGTTGGGGTTCACACCGTGGGCTTTGGGCTGTACAAGTCCCTGGAGCTTTATCCCCCAGGAGAAGGCAAGAATGTCGACGCTGACAATATCCTCATCTACGGGGGAAGCACGGCAACTGGGACCATTGCTATCCAATTCGCACGCCTGTGAGTACTGCCTCTTCCCAAGAATAAGACTTTTGTTGGCGTCGCCGCTCATTCAGCGATTTTCAAGTTCAGGTCTGAATGTCATAACGACCTGCTCTCCAAAGCATTTTGAGATGGTCAAAGCCCTCGGTGCGAGCCAGGCATATGACTACGTAAGTTCTGCCGGTCCATGTTTCTTCCCGTGCCTGCTATACATCACACACACGCTGACAAGTTTTCAATTCATGATGTCTGTCTCCAGCATGTCCCGGATGTTGGCAGACAGATCTATGCGGCGACAAATGGCAAACTGAAGATTGTGTTTGATACGGTCGCCACAGAGGCCACGGCACAGATCTGTGCGGACGCCTTTGGTGACGCCGGAGGGGTGTACTGCAATCTCTTAAATGTTGACTGCCCTCATCCAAAGGTCCGATCCGAGTTCTTCCTCGGCTACAGCCTTTCGGGCGAGCCATTCATCTACGAGGGAGAATTCTTTGACGCACAGCCGGACGATCTGGCCTTTGGCTCCGCCTTTGCGCGAGTCGCCGAACGGCTCTGGCGTGAGGGAAAGTGGAAGCCGCATCCGCAGCGCGTGGAGCGTGGCGGCCTCCTCGGCGTCGTAGATGGGCTGCAGCAAATGATAGAAGGGAAGGTTAGCGGTGAGAAGCTCGTTTATCTCATTGAGGAGACAGAATGGCCTTGAGGTGGCCAGTTTTACCCAAGACTTGGAAGATGTGTGTCGGCTCTCCAGCCTCACCAACCCCTTTCCCACCATCCTTGCTTGGCTCAATAAAATGCTATCAAAGTTTCGGTTTCTTCACCAGAACAAAATCATGCTCCAGTGTCCAGAACCCGACCGTTTTATTGCCCTGCGCGTCGACCCTCTCGATCGTCTCAATCCCAAACTGCTTCGCCAGCTTGCCATCTTCCGACCATCCGAACTGCTTGATGAGACTCTTTTTCACTCCAAAGACTGGGTCCAGCGCGACATTCGTGCTATCACTGGAGTACAATGCCGTGGTGAGTCGGACGCACTCAGGGTGTTGAAGCACAAAATGCTTTTCGCGCGACAAAGATAGCATCAGCACAATCTCTGCAAAATACCTGGAGTGACTGGGGCAGACATACCACATGCGCCGGCCGCACATTCGATCTGTTGAGCAGTCTCAGCAGAAGTCCGACGGGTCCATCGTACGGAATAGGGTAATCGACTGCCCTGACGCCGACCAGAGCAAATCTGCCTGCTTCGTCCGTGTGAAAGATTCCGCGACAATCCGGTTCATCCTTTTCGGGATCCTGCATGTCGTAGAAGCCGTTTCCATTCGTCTCCCACACATCCACTGCGGTGCCGGACAGCGGATTGCCGTCGGTATCAGAGACCGTACCGCGGATGAGCATAGGCTCTCCGATAGCACCCTTGGATGCAATCGATTGGCCGTTCTCGAACTCGTGAGCGTCGTTGTGGAAGGGTCCGAGAACGGACGACTCTGTGGCTCGAGGGGCACTTGGATTGTTGATCGCGTCGACCAGTGCCGATATACCCAGGACATCAGAGAGGAGGATCATTTCTTGTCGGTCTGGGGTGCAAAACTGCCCCACCTGTGAAAATAAAACTTTCAGTCCTTTTTGAACCGGAGGCACACAGATCGTGAGCAGCGATTGTGGTTCACACAAACCTCTGTAAGGTATTGCCATGCCGACTCCCACTCGGCGGTGGTCAGTTTCGTGTCACGGACAAAGTCATGTGAGTACTGAATCAGCTTTGCGACAACGAACTTCAGTCGCTCGTCGTTGATGTTGGACCCAAGTTTGATGACATGGGGCGTCAAGTTCTCAATCGTCAGATCGTCTGGTGAAGTACCATTTGCGACCGCCATCTTTCGCGAGCTCAGATTCTTGTGAAGTTCGTAAACCGTAAGCACAGGCACCAAGCAGAAGCACGCGGGCTGTAGCTCGCTTTATGGGGTTTCCTTCACCTGTAGCACCACCAGTGAAACCCGGTGACGGGCGACATAAGAGAACGCCGTGTGCCACATGTCTTCAAGCTGCGAAGAGCCTTCAAGGCCTTTGACTTGGCATCAGAATCTTAATGCGGAAGTACGCCGTTGCCTTTTCTGGCATTTTCCTGGGGCAAAAGTGAGGGGAAACGGAATATTCCGAGAGTGACTGTTCTCAGAAGGCTGCGGAATAGTCAGTGATATGTAATCCGAGTATATATACCGAGCCCATGGGACGGGGTGTAGGGGTTATTCCGGGCTCAAAGATGACTGTTTACCTTGAACTTTCTAAGCATCATCCCGTGTTCCTTGTCCGGGCCGATTTTGTCTTCAGTCCATTTTAAGCACCTCTGCTCCTTTTGCCGGCCTTTTTCTCAGGTCTGCCGCTCACCGTGACGGCTTACAGCTACGTCGAAGACCATGCTGTAAAGGGTTCCCATCTGGCAAGAAGAAGACCCAAAAAGGCTGCACGTGAACTCTTCGTGGTCCTCGTCGCTGCACAAAGACTGTTGGTGAAGCGCATATAGTTCTGGCAGCCAGTGACACGAACGATGACGATTCCCTGTTGCTGGATGACCATTTCAGGAGGTTATCATCCGATATATATTGAAGAGCAAGTTTCGTTAGTGTTGACCAGGCTAAGGCGGTGAGTCAGAATGATCAGGCTCCGAATTCGACGCAACCTCCGCTGTCAAACCATCGCCAGATCGCAGGTCCCCGAAGTCTAGGCGAGGCAAAATGGCTGCAGCTAGAATAGAAGCGATGCATGACGTGAATGCGATGACTTCAAAGACTCAGAACCTATCCGAAACCAAGGTATCTCGGTTGAAGAAAGTTGACTTACGGCAACATCTCATCGCAGCAAAACCGTACGCAGCTTGCATAGCAGCTCGCGTGTCGCCCGGCACAGAGCTCAGGTAGTCCACATCCTCTAAAAAGTGTCTGAACATCTGAATTTCGGACATCAGTGATTTGCTTAGATCCATTGCGCATTGTTGACGCCAAGTTACCTCTTCAGAAGCTGGATCCGTGCCGATACGTTCTCGAAGCTCTTGTATTGCCAGAAAGCGCAAGAACGCCGAGGTGATCGTGACCGCAAGAACTCCCCCAAAAGCTTCAAAGACCTGGAACATACTGATCACAACCGCTCGATCTATCAATTTGTTAGCCCCTTTTTCTTATGTAGGACCGCACCTTGACCTTGTGATGGGCTGAAGCGGATGACACAAACAAGCAGGCAATTAGGTGGTGTGCCTGCCAACAGCCCAATGAGGCCCACTGTAGGCAAGAAGGCCCAGTGATTTGGTTCTAGAGGATGTCAGTCACAGTGATCCATGATTTCAAGACAATTACGGTACCGGTCAAGCCCTGTGACAAGATCCAAAAACACAGTACCAATAATGACAGTGTTGCGATCAATGGGGACCTTGGTCCATATCGCTTTACAAATCTTGCACCGATCACGGCCCCCACTGTCATGGATATCATGAAGACCGATACAACGATTCCATGGGATTTCCCTAGTCCAAAGTATTCTACTTGGGCATACAAAGGGAGCAGGAAGACGACCTAAAAGCGGATGAGTTTCTGAAATCCCTTCGGAACTGCAAAGAACTGACTGAGTTGTGAGCGACCATGAATAGAAGCAGGCATATGAACGGTCTTGAGAGATTGGCGCCAAAAATGAGGCGTACAGGAATGATTGGTTCGCAACTAGTCCGAAGCTCCCATAAAACGAACGCAGCGACGGCTGGGACAGTCATGACAAGGAGCGAGATGATCACTGGATGCCGCCAAGGAAGATGCTCGCCTCCTAAAGACAGTGCGATGAAAGGCGGTAGGAACACAAAGACGCAAAGGAATGCTCCGATGGTATCGAATCCGGAGTGCTCTGTTTGACGCTCTTGAACCAGGTCCGTTGACTTTCTTTTTTCGAGTCGTCCTGGCCATGTACATCGAGGGGGAAATAAGACCAATGCAAGAACTGGCACTGCTAAGGAAGCTTGGGCAGCAAACATCCTGACATGGTCAGCTTAGTCTATGGCCAGAGACTGCTGCCATAGAATGAGGTTGAACGAACGCTCGCCAATCGCTCGCTTCTGTTACTAGCTCACCGGTTGGGCCGCCGGTAACCCATCCCAATGTCTCAGCGACGACTGAATAACTATGCCATATTGCAATATCACCGAGGGTTTGAGTGTCTGAAAACAGAATCAGTCACTAGTCTGTCGATGTTTGCAACCGGACTGATGTGTTGCGCCAATCCTACCATTCCACAGCAATGTCGCCATCAATCCAAGACCAGCACCGCCGAGGCCCACGAGCCCTCTGGAGGCCACGATGAGAGGCCATACGGAAGAAATTGAGCAGCAAGAAGTTAGCGGTTAACCCCTTTGTTATCGTGAAACTAAGCTCTCACCATAAGACATTGCCGACACCGAAAAGGATACTGCTGGCAATGACCACGGGCAACTTGGCCCCCTTCTGGGCTAATTTACCCAGCTTCTCTGAATGTGAGTGACGCTCTAGGTTATTACGGAGAGTAGGCTGCACAGACCAAGGGATTGCTGACGGTATTGACGATAGCATAGACGATGACCAAGAGGCTTGAATTACGAAACTGAGAGTATTGAGACGCTAGGGTCATTGACTTAGTAAGAGAGAGAAGCAGGAAAGGCCACCGCACCTATCTTTCCGTTTTGCGCGAGTACAAACGATTCATCCACGGCCGTGACGAAACCGCCCCAAAGCAAAGCTGCTCCCAGTCGTGCAAACGCCAATCGCTTTCTCTGAGAAGTGCTTGGTTCGTCGGATCGTTCCAGAAGAGGAGTCGTATCACTTCTCTCGGAAGACATAGGTCTCGCAGCTGAATTGGGCGGATCCCCAAGAATCTCGCAGTTGTTCGAGGGTAATGAGTGTAAACAAGCAGACTGCAGGATTGCACCTCGTACTACTAGTATTGCGTAGGTGAAAAGGCTTGGCAAGGAGGGGGAAGGTATTGAGATTATTAGTTAAGAGTCCGTGGTATCCTGGAACCATCGATAAGATTGATGAGGACTATCTCGCTACAAACAATGAAATCAGGCAAGATCCAGAGTCCAAAACAAATACAACTATCTGAGCACGTTGGATATGCGACGTTGCGGTCTTTTTCTACTGACTTCAGGTGTCAAGTCTCCCTGCCTGGTCGCTCTTCTATCCATTTTGACTCCACCCACTATAAGGCGCTCGCTTAGCATGAATAGGGAGCTCCGGGGGGGGAGTCTTCCTGCCTGGGGATCGTACCATTGCCATAAAGCTCCTCCCATTGATCTTCGAGTGTTGGTGGAATCTTCCAACCCAAGCTTTGGTATGCCCTGTTAACTGCGAGCGAAAGAATGGTCCGATGGAGTCAACTTCTGCTCCGAACTGTGACTCGAGACGCACAAGAGGCCGTCAATTGCCTAATAGTCCGCCAACAAATGGCGAGATATTCCGTCTTTGTACTGAAAGACAAAGGGATTGAGGCTCTGTTCCTGCGTTCACGCACGCTATCTTACATTGCTGTTAGGAAAGAGGTTGCCTTTGCTTCTGCCGGACTTGTGTAGGATCAACCGATCGGACCAGACTTCTTCGGCCAGACTGAAATCTCATTGTGTTCGATACAACCCATGCTCAGGCACCAACTACTGTCTCAAGCAATGAGCAGTCGCTCTCTAAGGAGCCCAGTCTTGACTACACATAGCCTCACAGTTCACTCCAGGCAGACAATGCATTTTCAACCCATCACATCCATATTATGCCGTCCCCTACCCTTTTTCGGCCTCTCTGGACGCTTTACTTGGCCTCGACGGTATCCCAGAGAAAGTAGAGCGCTAAGTATATACAAGCTTCCCGAAGGCTTGTCTGATCGAACATTTATCAACCGGCTGGCGCGTGCCGTAAGTTTCAGACAACATCCATCTTCGTTACTCATGATTTCTATATGATTTCTGCAACCATTCTCAGGTCCCATGAATAAATCGACGGTGAGATTTCCCCCGAGGGATGTTCGCGTCCGCATGGGGTCTTCTGCTTGTTTAATGGCCCCCCAGCCAGGGGATATAGTCGCTCTGGCTCTACCGTAGATCTTAGAGTCAATCGACAGCATTGTCGAGTCCGGACTGCTAACAGGTGGAGCATTCTCTTCTTGGCCTTCAAATCCGTAGGCGGTCAGCACACGGCCCCTGACGCGGCTCAAGAGTTGATCATTCCGCATCTCATCAATCTGAAAGAACATGGCGATCATTCCTCAATCTTTGTCCAAAGGGAAGCGAAGGCTTGTGATTCCCTGTGCAAAAGCCCCACGGAATGGCACAGTCCTAATTCGTCTGGTGGGTATGCTTATCCTAGGTACTCATTCCAAACAAGCAAGAGGAAAAATCCTCCCAAGCTCCTGATATACGTAAAAGACGCCGATTCCGCCCCGCTTCGGGCTTTCCATCCCTGAATTTTCACCAATAAGGAAGTCTTCGGAAGAGGGCCATCGTCGCTAAGTCTGGTTATAGGTTGGCGGCCCACTCAACCATCTAGGCGATCGGTGCTACCCTGGCGTCGGATGTCACCTATGCAAAATCATTGGCCTTGAGCCCTGTTCAGCCTATCGCAATTTCGATATTGGCGCAGTCTAGGCTTTCGTCGATCAGTCTTTTGGCTTTTCCGGGGCGTCGCCCCTCGCATTCGGTCGATTCAGCTTTCAGCTCTCAGCATTTACAATTCCGACTGTACTCGATATTGCAATGCTCTTGACGTCCCAGTCTCAGGCATTGGCCTCCTGGAACCTTAAGGAAAGCTGCAACGATTTCAATGAATGTCGATAATGAATACCACGGACCCGCGCGTGGGCTCGGCCCGCGACAACTCTACAAGCCCAGGATTGTCTCGTGTGGTTTCTGGATCAAACTCATCTTCAACGAGCGACCTTGTCGCGACGCTAGTGCCTGTCCTGATCTGGGCGGCCCTGTGCATCATCATCTTTGTGATTCTGCGACGCAAATGTCCTCGAGTATACGCTCCAAGAGCATTACTGAAGAGCCTGGAACCACAGTATGTCTCTTCGTCCCGATTTCCCACAGATACCCGCTTGAGGCTGACATGTTTGAAAAGCGAAAAGAGTGCACCTCTTCCCAATGGGTGGTTCAACTGGTTCACCGAGTTCTACCGCATCCCGTCTGTGTTCGTGCTTAATCACTCATCCCTAGATGGATATCTCTTTCTGCGCTTTCTCCGAGTGCTGGCTGTGATATGCCTGGTCGGAGTGATACTCCTTTGGCCAATCCTTCTTCCAATCCATGCGACAGGTGGTGCGGGCAATCAAGGCTTGGATTGCTTGACCATGGGAAATGTTGTGAACCACAATCGACTTTACGCGCATACGCTGTTGGCATGGGTGTACTTCGGTAAGTTATCTCGAGTCTAGATAGCAGCATGTCCAGTAACGTGCTATGCAGCATTCATCTTGTACATGGTTTCACGAGAATGCGTATACTATATCAACTTACGGCAAGCGTATCTCCTTTCACCGTTTTATGCGAATCGCTTGTCGTCTCGCACGGTGCTATACATGAATGTACCTCGACAGTTTCTGGATGAACAAAGGCTTCGATGGATGCTTGGAAGCTCTGTCAAACGGATTTGGATCCCTCAAACCACCAGTGAGCTTGAACGCCTCGTTAAGGAGAGGGAACAGACGGCCATGCGCCTGGAAAAAGCAGAGTTTGAGCTTATCAAGATGGCCAATGCCGCAAGGACGAAAACACTGAAGAAAGCAAAGGGTGAGAGCACGCAAGAACCAAGTACAGACTCTCTTGAGACGGAGCCCCGTAGTGAGAATGGGAGAAAATCGGTCTCAAGGTCTGGCACCGCGGAAATCGTACAAGCATCCGACAATCCACAGGACGCCCCTTACCCTTCGAAAGAGATACAAGAACGGATTCTACCGGATGTTAATGGATCAGTTGCATCACAATGGATTCCACATAGCGCGAGGCCGCACCACAGACCGATTGCAAACTATGGACGCCGCGTGGATACTATCAAGTGGACCAGAAATCAGATCAAAAAGCTGAACAGCCAAATTGCCAAAGTTCGACGTGACCAGCTTTTCAAAACTGACGGCATGTTGCCCTCCGTCTTTGTGGAATTCGAGACGCACACAGATGCACAACACGCCTCCCAGACGCTGACGCATCATCGCCCGCTGCACATGGCTCAGCGCTTTCTTGGTGTACGGCCGTTTGAAATACTATGGGAGTCATTGTCAATGTCGTGGCTGGAGACCATTGTGCGAAGATTCTTAATCAAAGCTCTGATCACGGCGATGATAATATTTTGGGCCATCCCATCCGCTCTTGTGGGCACAATTTCCAACATCGACTATCTGTCGGAGAAAGTCAGTTTCTTAGGGTGGATAGAAAATCTCCCAAGCGCCATCAAGGGTATCTTGAGTGGTATCGTTCCGGCTATGGCTCTATCTCTGTTGATGAGCATCGTCCCCGGAATCTTGAGATGTAAGTCAATGCTCAGCTCCCACTTGTCCAAATTGCTGATAGTAAACCAGACTGCGCGAAACTCGGGGGGGTCCCAACTCTGAGCATGATCGAGCTCTACACCCAGCATGCGTACTTCGCTTTCCAAGTCGTTCAAGTGTTCTTGATAACGACCCTGACATCCGCAGCGTCCGCTGCCGTTACGAAGTTGCTTGAAGATCCGACAACAGCAAAGGATTTGCTCTCGCAGAACCTGCCCAAGGCTTCCAACTTCTATCTCTCGTATTTTCTTTTGCAAAGTTTGGCGCTTGGGTCTTCAGCACTTGTTCAGTTCGGCAATTTGTCCCAGTTGTATGTGTTTCAAAGGTACATCAGCAGTCCAAGAAAGTTGTACATGAGATGGCACCGGCTGCAGCGAATTCATTGGGGATCAGTCTTTCCCGTCTACACCAACCTTGGTGTCATCAGTAAGTTCCTTCCAGGACACATGCTATGCTTGAGCCCTCTCTAACAGTGTGGCAGCTCTCAGTTATGCCCTCATCGCGCCAATAATCCTCGGATTTGCCTGTGTTGGTCTCCTTTTTCTACATCTGGTGTACCGGTACAACCTCATTTACGTTTACGATTCTGAAGTCGATACCAGAGGGCTCGTTTATCCTCGCGCTCTCATGCACCTCCTTTTAGGCCTATACTTCTCCGAGATCTGTATGATTGGTTTGTTTTCGCTCAAAGGCGCTTACATCCCAGTCGTGTTAACTGTGGCTCTTCTGATTCTCACTGGTCTGGTCCATACTTCGCTCCTTGAAGCACTTGGACCACTTCTATGGAGTCTTCCAAAAAGTTTGACGGTTCAAGAAGACCAGCACTTACTGGGAAGTACTCCCACGAATCAACGCAATGCTGAAGGTCTGGACCGTTTCGAGGAATATCATTCCGACAAAGAGGAACACGAGCCACACCAGGGCAGCAGTAGGGCCCTCGAAGGCGCAAGCGGAACTCTCAACGCCCTGGGAGGAGGCGTCAAAACGATGTTCAGAAAGAAACTCAAAAAGGAGGTCCCCGAAGCCCACATGATAATGGATGCTCTCACAGCATTTTGGATGCGATGGCTATCACCAAACCCAGCAGACAAGTCCAACTTCCTGCTACGATGGCTTCATCCCGAGGTGTACTCCGACTATACTCTTCTTCGTCGAATGGTCCCAGCAGACTTGCCAGATCCGGTGTATCCGGAAGATATCGAGCGCGATGTCTACTACCCACCATCGTTCTTTGCAAAACCCCCGACTTTATGGATTCCCCGGGATCCTGGCGGAGTCAGTCGGCAAGAGGTGGAACACAGTGGGAAGGTGATTCCTACCACGGATGAATATGTACATATAGATGACAACGGCAATGTGATGATCAATCTGGAGGAAAGCCGACTCGTCTTTGATGTCAGCCGGTTGAGATATTGATAATGATAATGACAACTTTTGAAAATCGACGTAAGCCATGGTATCTGTTGGAATCGCGTAGGGCAGTAAAGGGCGCAAGGCTGCGGCACAAGGCTGGACAGGCCGCAGACGCGGGAACTCTTAGCGCGGCGGCAAGGAGCAGCCGAGAACTTTCAGATGCCGCACCGCAGGTGAAAGACAATATAATTTACCACCAGCAAACATTCGAATCAGACCGATCACGTCGCTTCACTTCACAAAATCGGGCGTGCCAAAAGTACAACCTGTCTTGTATCACTTGATTTGTTTGTCTTCTTCATTTCCCTGGTCTTTGTCGACTCATATTCTCCTCGCCATGAGCTGATCGGCTTGCGCCCTTCCAAACTCATTCTCTTGTCCCTCAACTGATCTCCTATACCGTCAACATGGCGGCGACAGCAGTGCGAAATGGCAGTATCGCCAATGGCCTCAACGGAGGGGCCGCGGGGATCACGCCTGCGTCACGCTTCGCTGATATTCCGTCCGCGATCGATATCCCTGTCTCCGGCGGGCTTGATGCAGACGAAGCGGTCGAAGTCAATCTCGAGGACCACCTGGACGATCCTACGGAGCTATGCCAGCTCCTAGAAAATGAGAAAGCTGCCAAAAATCTATGGATTACAATCGCTCTGGCGTACGCAAAACAGGCGCAGATTGACCACGCAATCGAAATCTTGATCAAGGGCATGGGGTCTCTGTCAAGGAGCGGGCCCAAAGAACGCCTGAGCCTGCTAGCATGTGTGGCATGGTTGAATCTTCTCAAAAGCAGGCAGGCCCCCCGAGTGTTACCGGAAAATCAGCCCTCGTCCGATGCGAAGACCAAAGACCATTACCTCCGAGAAGCCACCGCCTCGATCAATGATGCCCTTCGAATCAACCCGGCCTTCCCTCCGCTGTATCTCACCAGAGGCGTCCTCTTCCTCCTCCGAGCTTCCTTGCAAGCGTCAACTAAAGCTGGGTCAGATGCTGAAAGAGCTGAGTCTCTCAAACAGGCCCTCAAGTGTTTCGATGACGCTCTACGGGCCTCCGAAGGTCGCAACATGATGGCAGCAATTGGAAGAGCTAGGACACTTTATTTGCAGAAACAATATGGTCCAGCCTTGCAAGTGTACCAAGACGTGCTTGCGAAGATGCCCGGCCTTACAGACCCCGATCCTCGGATAGGCATTGGCTGTTGTCTGTGGCAGTTGGGGTACCAGGACAGGGCGAAGATGGCTTGGGAGCGATCGCTGGCACTGAACTCCGAGTCAAAGATTGCGCATGCTCTGCTGGGGGTGTACTATCTACACGAAAGCGCCAAATACCCGGCTTCCGACCCTCAATTCAATGCTCTTTACAAGAAGGCTATGATCGACCATACGAAGAAAGCTTATACTATTGACAAGAACTTCCCCCTTAGCTGTGCGACTTTTGCTAGCTATTTCCTCCTGACTGGTCGCTACGACACTGTGGAACCTTTAGCGCGAAAGGCCATCGAACAAACAGACATCAATGCAATTGCCAGTGACGGGTGGTATTTGTTAGCTCGAAAGGAGCACAACAAAGGTGACTTGTCAAAGGCAAATGACTATTACAACAGATCGGATCAGGCACGAGGCGGTCTGGATCGAGGCTACTTCCCGGCGAAATTCGGCCTCATTCAGATTATGCTCCAGACCCAGGACGTCCAGGGTGCCAAGTTTCGACTCGAAAATCTCTCACAGATCAACAGACACGTAGAGGCTATGACGCTACTGGGTTGTGTCTATGCCGAAGAAGCGTTCTCAGCTCAGAGCACTGCAACCAAAGATGAGAAAGCAACCGCAGCGCGAAAGGCCATACAACTGCTAGAGAATGTTCGAAAGACCTGGAAGGATGAAAAGACGAAGAACAAGCCCGACGAGTCGGTTTTGCTTTATCTTGCACGTCTGTACGAGCTTGAAAATCCAATTGAGAGCTTAAAATGTCTTCAAACGGTCGAGCAAATGCAGCTAGAGAAAATTCCGGACGAAGACAAGCCAGATCCAAACGAAGAGGAAGCAACATACATTACTCAGCTCCGCGAGAACCTACCTCCCCAGCTTCTGAACAATATGGCGTGCTTCCTATATTCTCAAGAGTCGTACTCTATGGCTCGAGAGACATTCCAGATTGCGCTCAATGCCTGTGTTCGACTCACTGAGAAGCAAGAAGCCGAAAAGAAGGCCCTGGAAGAAGAAAAAATCAACGCGGAGGATGTCGACAACAGTGATACTGATGCTTTGGTGACCACGATTTCATACAACCTGGCCAGGACTTTGGAAGCACTAGGCCTCGTAGAGGAGGCTCAGAAGGTTTATGAAGGTCTCCTTGCCAGACATGCCGACTACACAGACGCTTCCGCGCGCCTAGCGTTTATAGCCTTGGAAACGTCACCTCGAGACGAAGGGCCGCGAAAGATTCACGCAGTTTATCAAAATGACTATGGCAACACTGAAGTCAGAGCCTTGATGGGATGGTACCATCATAGCGCCAAGAAGAAAACTAGCAACATTGCAGAAGATGCTGAGAACCGCCATTACAAGCACACATTGCAGGGCTATGACAAGCATGACCTTTACTCTCTTGTTGGTATGGGCAACATTCACCTCACAATCGCAAGAGATATGCCTCGAAACACGGACCAAGAAAAGGAAAAGCGGAGCAAGATGTATGCCAAAGCATACGAATTCTTTGATAAGGCACTGCAATTGGACCCTAAGAATGCATATGCCGCCCAGGGTGTTGCAATCGCTCTCTGCGATGACAAGAAAGCATACTCTGATGCTCTACAGATATTCACCAAGGTCAAAGATACTCTCCGAGATGCTTCAGTCAACACGAATTTGGGCCATGTGATGACAGAACTTCGGCAGTATCAACGCGGCATCGACAATTATGAGATCGCACTGAGAAAAGATGGCAAAAGTGAAAACGCCCAATTATTGGCGTGCTTGTCGAGGGCATGGCTGTTGAAAGGCAAGGCTGATAGATCCATCCCTGCTCTGAACACTGCTCTCGATTACATGAAGCGCGCTCTGGCCACGCAACCCGATTCTCCTCATTTGCAATTTAATGTGGCTTTCATCCAGTTCCAAATTGCACAACATGTGAATCAAGCCAAGGAGACGGATCGAACACTTGAAGATGTGGATGCCGCCATTGCCGGGCTTGAGCAAGCCATCGATACCTTTGAACAAGTTGCCAGGCATAAACAACCGCCATATCCCCGGACAGCACTCGAGCAGCGTGCAGCTATGGGTAAAAACACCATGAGAAATCAATTGGAGCGCCAACGTGTGAGACAAGCCGCCTACGAAAATGAAAACGCCACGAAATTGAAAGAAGCAAAGGAGAGGCGGCAGGAGGAGCTTCGAAAACGCGAGGAAGCGGCAAGAAGACGCAGACAAGAGGAACAGGATCGCGCACAGAGGATCGCAGAAGAACGGAGAAAGATTGTCGAGGAGACAGAGAGGATTGCCGAGCAGATTCGCGCCGAGGCAGCAGCAAGAGAAGCTGCCGAGTACACGGACGATGAGGAAACTGGGGAACGCGTGAGACGGAAGAAGAAGCCTAAGGCTGGCGGCAAGCGGAAGAAGCGAGATGATGAAGATGGGTTCATCGAAGACGACGAAGATGGGAAGAGCGAAAGAAGCGTTTCCCGGACTCCAATGAGTGGCTCGGACAACGAAGCTCCGGCGGAAATGCCAAAGAAGAAGAAGAGAAGGTTGGAGAGGAAGAGTGCTGCAAGAGAAACTCCCCGGAGAAAGAATGACAAATTCAAGTCCGCAGCCGTGGTCGTGGACTCAGATTCTGAATTGGAGGACGAGGCCAGCGCTGTTGCGACACCGGAAGAGGCAACTGTTGAAACCCCAGCATCCGACGTCCCGGATAAGGATGAAGAGATGGGAGACTTACGTGATGAGCCAGAAGTGGAGGAGGACCAAGCTCAACCCAGACCACCACCCAGGCAACGGAAGCAACTACGAACAATTGCCGACGACGATGACGAGGATGAAGATGAGGAAGAAGCCTACAATGCAGGCACTAATGGTCACGCAGATACAGCGAGGGCTTCAGCTGATGATGGCGAGTAGGCGTCAGGACCTTTCACATTCATGATTTCTCGCCCTGTGCATAGTGAGCAGGACGGCTGGAGGATTGCCTCAGTAAAAGTGTGCTTTCGACATCAATGCATCCCGTGTATTTGCCTCTTGGGATTTGGAGAGGCTGTGCCTGTGCCTTAGCTAGTGAGATGACCAGGTTTCTACAATGTATAACAGCACAGCAACTTGTATTCCGTTAATTAAGTAAACGGGCAGAGCAGAAGATCATTTAGTGTCTCCGGATGACCTTGAACTTGGACCTAACTCAGAACATCAAATGCAGTGACGGGTCGACTTGATAGTGCAGATTGAGGGAGTTTCAGCCTCGTCCGAGCAGAAAGGGGTTTGCATGGTAAGGCTGAAGTATGACTCGCGTCGCATAGCATTGTCACATGATTCGAGTCATTTGGCTGCCCGCCTGCCTGCTTGCACCTCTAGAAAATGTTTAATACTCTCGCCGCATATTTAGTTGCCTATGAGAGCTGTCCTCAGATCACGACTTCATGGCTACTTCACAAGCGAGTCAAACCCTTGTTAGACGGCCATCTGCAGGGGATGTCGCTCTTATGCCCCCGCCGCCCCTCAAGCGGATCAAAAGACCACCCAAAGTTTTGGACGAAGACGAATATACCCAGGCGCTGTCCGACATCATTGCGCGCGACTACTTCCCGGGTCTCCTCGAGAGCCAGGCGCAGCATGAGTATCTGACGGCACTCGACTCCGGAAACGAGTCTTGGATTGTGGAGGCGGCGCAGAAATTGAGACAGGCAGCCGCGCCAGCAGCGGGCAGCAAGAGAAGGTCAGCGCGGAACACTAGATTCGACAGGACGCCTTCAGCAACGCCCCGAGTGCTGGGAGATACGCCGGTGGGGTATACGGGGAGCGAGACACCCATGACCGTCGCGGGAACCGAAGTTGAGGACGACAGGAAGGAGGAGCCAAAACAGTTGGATACGTCGAGATTTTCGCTGGGTTCTTTCCAGGCGAAATATACTTCCGAGGACAATGAATCCTTCAACGCTCTGCTAGACAAACAGAATCATAAACGCCGCGAGAAGCATGCCCACCTCTGGACTCAGGATCAGCGAGTCCCCTCCGCACGACAAATCGCGTACCGGGCCCGCGAAGCGCGACTCCTCAAGGAGCACGAAGAAAGTGAAGCAGCAGCAGGGAAAGCTCTTGTGCCGATGACTTCAGGGGCGACAGACGCTCGTCTCGCGAGACCTGATGCCTGGAAGATCAAGCGTCCCGACAACGGCTTCATGTTCAACGCGACTTCGGTGGACGAAGACGGGCTCCAAACCGTGCAGGAAGTCAAGGAACAAAACTCCAAGGCCGGGCCCAAACATGTAGTCTACGCAAACACGCGGTTTCCGCCAATGCAATACGTCGACGACGAACCTGGTCCTGTCCCTCCATCACCGTCCCTGAACACGGAAATCATTGCGCAACGAACTGCCGCCCACGCCAGACAGCGAGGGGGCGGCGATGCAGAGACAACTACGGACTTCCCGGGGAGTGAAACACCGCGCGTCAACGGCTACGCATTCGTCGACGAAGACGAGCCCGAAAACCTGCCAGAAACGGAATCTTCCGCCCCCAGCTACCGCGACCTCTTAGCCGGGCAGGTGGACAGCACGCCCAACCCATTCAAAATCAGCGAGATCCGCAAGCGAGAGGATCTCCACCTAAGAATGCTGGAGAAGCAGGCGAGGAGGAAGAGGGAGAAGGATCGGGAGACGATCAGAACACCGGCCGGTGGTTCTGCGGTTGGGACGCCTTCTTCTTCGGCAGCAGCAGCAGCAGCAGGAAACATGACTCCCGCCGCAAGACGTCTGATGGAGAAGCTGGGCGGGAACAAGACACCCGCGAGAACCGGCCTTGGACTGGACGGAATTGATGCGAAGAAGATGTGGACTCCTGGCCGGACTCCACGGAGGAGGCATGCTGGGAAATGATATAATGAGAGCGCTGGATCTACATGCATGTGTCCATCAGACACCCACTCGGTACGGATATATCATACACGACAGTGGACATATGAAGGCTGCCAACCCGTCAAGAGCAACCCCTCGTCCGCGCCCTGTCCATAGACCGAAAAACATGCTACAAACAAGCAGCACCACCAGCAGCATTCTTTCTAGAGTAACACTGCAACAGATTCAGATTCATTTCCTCCTCTTTCGTTCCCCACGCCCTCCTTTCCCTCCCTGTACAGGTGTCCTCCCAGACCAAATATGTAGCTACGCCTCTCTCCAGCGGAGGAAATCTCGCAAACTGAACAGCAAAGACAAAGGTCAGTGGGACAAGCAAGCACAGAACGGAGGAGGGGGCTCTTTTTTCAAAGAGAAGAAAGTTGGCACCTGAATGACCGCCTGCAAACCAAATTCCTTGCTTGTATTCGTAAAAACTCCATATATTCTAGAACCCATTTCTAGACAAGGTTCCTCAGTCCCAGGGACACGGCCAATAACGCCATGCTATACACGCTCGGTCGCAGAATTGTGCTCCCGCTCAAGTAGTACGCTGCGCCCAGATAGCTGCAACTAATGACCCCTTCCGATCCATTGACCCGCTTGCCGTAACTGTCTTCCAGGCCTTTCCCTTGCAGCGGACAAGCAAATCCCAAACTCGCCGGGCAGCTCTGCATGAGATCGTAGCACAAATCTTGGCAGGGCAGAACTTCCTTGTACGGTCCCGGTTGGATGGACGTGTCGATGAGCGGGTTCCGGGAAGAATTCGTGGCCACGGCGTTGAGAAGCGCTTGGTTGACGTTGAATTCCGACGGGTCGGTTGAAATGCTCGAGCCATTGATGAATTTCTGGCCTAGATTTCGTGGCTTGAGAAATGAAGCTGTATTGGAGAAGTCTGCGCAACGAGGAATGGTCACCGCGCAGAGCCATGTTTTGTAAGCCCGGGCGCAATCGTCGCAGTTGCGAGCTAGAGAGTATTGAGCGCTGGAAGTTGCGTTGCAAGGGATTTGTTGCAGGGAGTAGTTGAAGTATTGGTACATTTGGGCCGCATTAGAATCATACAGTGCGGCTAAATCTGGGAGACCTGTCTCTGGGGAGAATTTGTCCGGATTGGTGGGCACGGCGTAAGCCACTTCTGAACAGAAAGACAAGTTGTACATCAATGCACAATTGTTTTCAGTTTTGGTCTGGAATTCCATGGCTGCCCAGACGGTGCCGCCACCTCCAATCACGCCGGCACCCGAGTTTGTGGAGTTGCCTTCCATGACCAGCATTCCCCAGTATTTTGAAGTGGCGTTCAGGCCGGTGATGTAGAACTGCTCTTTTGGTTTGCCGCCTAAGCCTCTGTTGGTCATTTGCGCAACATTTTGGTTGGTGATGTTGTCAATATTAGCCGCTAGTTGGGCGTTGTTTTTCAAGCCGCAGAAAGATTTCTGGACCCCAAGAATTGCCCGTTGCTTCTGATTCGAAGCGAAGACACCCCATGGAGGACTTAGTTTCATCCATTCTTGATAGACAGTCTCGTTGGGCAGAGCCTGTGTGGTGTCGTTTGTAATCAGGAGGGCGGCGTGATTGTCCCCGTCGACGAAATATAGATTCTTCACTTCCGGATCCTTAAAGCCGTAGAAAGGTGCATCGATCGACGCGGCGATATTATAATTCCAGATGCCTGAGAATTCCGTGGTGTTGGGCGCAGAGATCCCGACATACACATCACTGTCGGCGTCCGCCTCAAAGATCGCATACCCTGCATCAACTGTAATGGTCTGTTGATCGGGGCCACCGGAGCCCGGCCCTGGTTTCTGGTTTGACTCGGACAAGGAAATGTACATTTGCAACTGTGGAGGCACCTCATTGGTCGCATTGGGGGAAGGCTGCAGACATGTGTTGAGAGTAATGTAGATTTTGCTCCCTGCCTGTCTTTTCCTGAGTTCGTGTTGTTCCGGTAGTAACTCTGTTTCCTCTAGCTTTTCGCCTGGCAGACCGAACCCAGGCGTCCCATGGGGACCCTCTATAGCATCCTGTGGAAACACCCAGTTCTGGGTCTCGCCGATCTCGATGTTACTATTCGCAGGGTCGTTATTGGCAAGCGCCGACACCCCATTTTCAGCGCGGACTGTTATTGTATATTCCTTCGCCTCTTCCTGCTCGCTCTCATCTGATATGACGTAAAAGTTGTGGTCTTCAGAGGATATCCGAGAGGAGTCGGACTCGAGGGCGTAAGCGAAGGATGGTTTCGTCAAAGTCAGGTATAGCAGCAACAAGAAGACTGACGCCGAGAGACACGCCGTGAACCTTGCTTGTAAAGGGGTCAACTTGATCAGCGGCATGTTCAAGACCCGCTCGACTCGATGCCGCGATGAGAAAGGTCGGCCAGTCAACGAGCGCTATAAGGACATGATAGCGGGTGGTAAAGAGCTGCCCGTAGCTTTTGCAGCGAAAAGCCTCTAATTAGAAGGGGTGCAACGAATGGTGGGCAAGACGTGACATGGGGATGTGGACAATTGTGTTGGAGGAGGTGGGAGGCGCAGGTTACGAAGTCAGTCAGATCTGCGCCTCGTTCAGCCTCGTTCAGCCTTGTCCAGCCTTGTCCAGGCTTGCACGCCCCGCTTGTGGGAAGTTTTTGTTCCGTTCCGGGACAAAGCAAGAAGTGAAGGTACTTAGGTACCTAGCATTGCAACTTCACCAGCATCCCCATTGCCGTGGCTAGAGCATTCATCGTATCCTGGGCGAGGCTCCCACTTCAATTGACACAGGTAAGGCCATTGCCAGGCATTGGCCGGAGGCTACGATGCAAAACTATCGTTTTTGGCACTGTCCCTAACCGGCTTCGACAAGGGCTAGATCACCCTCACGTTTCACAATGGCAGAGACGTGCGAACACAAGCTGGCTATTGGCTGCGCTCTGACAGCAGTGCCTGGATGCTGTGCCTGCGCGGATAAGAGACCTCTTGTAAGACTGTCGCAGATTTCTTCTGTGGGCAGGGGATCCGATGCTGCCTATTGCGACCGACGCATCCTTTCCTTTACTAACATCACCCCAGGCAACTGCCTACCCTCTCTACATTGATGGCCAAGGCATGCGACTTCAAGGCAAGCGCTGGCAACGCTACTGCTGGAAGTGTCGTGGTACGTGCAGTGACCGTTTCTTTCGCTACCTGCTTGTACCTTGAGTCTTGGTCGTCGGCATAATCAAATTCCAACTTCAAGTCGCTCGCTCATAAACATATTGATAATTTGCATCAAAGATTACTGGGATTTACACTCACGGTCGACGACACATGCGTCCCTCCTTATCAACTCTCCAGTTCCCAATGCTGCGGTTCCGTCGGAGCACGTCCCAGTTCCACCAAGTGACGGCATGGACCATCCGTATCACAACCCCTTCTCGCTCTCCAGTTCCCAGCAGCAATCCTGGTCCTTTGACGGTGTAGCCGATCGACTACAGACCACTGTTGGTAGCATGCCTCCAGTTCGAGCAGTCCCACCCTACGACCCCGGCGGCACCGGACATCCCAGGGATCCTAGAACAGCGGCCGGATCCTACGTGAATGCGCCAGTACATCGCGTGGATCCAACTCGACAGGCCCGGCATGCGAGGCTAGCCCATGATATCCAGCTGGGAGAGCGCCACTTGTACCCCAGATCACAGAGAACGGCGGCACACCCGTCGAACCCAACCGGCGACTCAGGCTCATCGACCGCAAGAAGGGGGCAAAGAACCGTGACAAATCCATTCGCTACCCAAGAAGAAATCCAATATGAAAACTATCAGACCCCAAGGAGGCAAAGAACCATTACAAACCCATTCGGTACCCAAGAAGAAATTCAATCTGAGAATTACCAAAGCCCCATCAGCACAATGTTTGGTCGAGCATGGAATCGCTATAGACAAGCGGAAGAACAGAGATCAGCCCTTGCAACTGAGTCCGTAGACGTTCAGGAGACGCGAAGAGAAGTTGCAGTCAGTGTGCTGGGCACTGGGCCGCCTCAAAACGGGGATACAGAACGGCAGTTCGAAACCATGATGAACCGCATGCGGCTACAAGAGGATCAGCAGTCATTCACAAACCCCAGACTAAACCTCAGAAGGTCGTCTCAAGGACAAGCTGCCAGACTCGAGCAAGATAACCCACATACACACCCTCAGATCAACCCTATTGACTCTCAACCGAACCGACCACGACCGCTCGAGCCAAGGGAGATGACCGTTAATATCGCCTGCAGAATATGTTGTGAGCAGAAGGTCGACACATTGTTGGAGCCTTGCATGCACGTCGCCATCTGTCGTTGGTGCTCGGATCTGATACAAGAACATGTCCGTCGATACCGCGCTGTACACGGGCCGTATGGGGAAGAATCAAAGTGGAAATGTCCAATGTGCCGTCGCCACGTCACACATGCAAAGAGAGTGTATCTAACTTGATGGGTCAGAGCAGGGGGAGCTGCAGTGCTCTTCAGATCAAGGCCCGGGATGGCAAGAGTATCCAGAAACCGGCCAAGAGCGACGGACATGTTGATTCGCGGCTAGTTTTACGGTGCAGGTGCTTATTGTTTTGGACATTCTTGTGTTTGTTTGTGAGCGCGGGCCTTTATAGAGCAATCTGGAGCGGGTCCTGTTGAGCTTGAGCGTTGTGTACATCTTGTACTGCATATAGACGAGCCAAAAGATTGTCTTCTTTAGAATGTCTTGACGCAGATTTTCAACCTCAGTATAGGGGTTATTGGTTTGCTGACTGCCCATTGCAACATATCCCCCAGCGAAAAGGACATGTGTCCTGGAGAGTCAAATCAAAATCTATCATACCATAATAGTCCATCTCGCAAACTTGACAAAAAGCACTAATATGGAGGGCTTTTGTTACAGAGGAGAACGACGAACATCGAAAAATCGGACCGGAAACTACAATCCATCACCTTGACAAATACTTCAAAAGCAGCTACTCAAAGTTGTGTGCTGCGCATCTATTTCACAGACCAACCACCTGCAAACGACCAACCCAGAGCCTGGCATGTCCACGTTGTGCATTGCAGACCACCACATACCATATACATTCCGACGCTGAAATGAGAGTGGAACGGGGAAATCGCGTCGGTGAGTACGACCCTGGGTTCTGGACTGGTCGGTCGGTGCGTGGGCGGTATATACCTACCTAGGTACGGAGAGCGTCCCAACAGGAGAGGAATCTCGGGATCAGAAGAAGAAGCAGGATGGAGGGGGGTTCAGCCTTTTCCGCCGTTCTTCTCCTCTGTTTTTCCTTCCCTCTTTTTCTTTTATCCGGCGTTTCCCAGCGCGGGTGAAAGAGGGGAGGGGAAAAGGGTAAGGGGAAAAGCGGGAAAACAAGAGGGAGAGGGAGGAAGGAAAGTCATGCCACCACACGAGGGATTTTTCTTTCTCTCTTTCTTTTGTTTCTTGTTTTCTTTTCTTTTTTTTAAAAAAAAAATCCCAAGATAGTAATCTGTTCCACGAGCCTCTCAAATGTGCCATTCCTCATCTGCTGCAGTGTGGAAGATTATTTTCTGTCCGTCTCATGACGTCCCAAGCCGGGTTGGACGGGTCCTCAGGTTTCCACCTTGTTGCGACACCCGAGTCGGAAGTTTGTATCTTCTTTTTCGTTCCTGCTCTCCTCGTAAACGTCCTCGTAATCTTTGAGGCTTTTTTTCCCCCTCCAAGATATCTCGCCTTCCGAGCATGCGCAGGTGATTGGGGAAAATGGGGCAATAGAAAGACATTCCAGGCACACGAGGAAGAACAAGCGCAAAAGGGGGGAAACAGCCCATGTGGTGGCTCTCTCTCTCTCTGTCAAGGCCAGGTGTTCGCTGCGCGGTACCTCGTACTCGACTTGCAATCAAGTCCAATCACTTGATCGATATAAGGCAAAGAAGAGAAGTATCTGCAAGAGCGGGAACGAAAGCAAAGATAGCATCTGCTGATCTGGGAGACCGGCTCGTAACGCTCACACATACTCTCTCTCTCTCTCTCTCTCTGTCTTTGCCCTGCCTGGTAGCCAGCCTGATTCAAAGCTTTTGCAAGGCTCCTGGAAGGGAAATAGCTAGCCAGCTAGCCCCCCGTTTTTGGTAATCTTGCCCACTCAGCCTTACCGTGGTTGACCTTTCTCACATCGGTCTCAATGTCTCACGCACCGTCGCGTGGCCCCATTCTTTTGTGATGCCTTTGGCCTTGGGGACTTTGGTCTATCTTTCTCCTGCATGTCCTTCCCGGCGTTTCGCAAAACGCCTGTTTTGGGCGCCTTTGAGATACTCCTGTCTGAGATCATGAGGTCGTATTCTCAGCCCGATGCTGAGAATATCCAGGTCCACAAACCTTGTTCGGACCGAATATCAATCACGAAATCGGTGATCTCAGGCTGGCAGATCAGGCCGAGGAGCTCATTCAACAACCAGTCCCAGCCACCTTAATTGCTAATTACACCACGAAATTTCATATGGTAGAACGTAAACTCACCGTGCAGTCCAGCCCAGACCGGTCTCTGCTTAGCCCGAAACCCAATCAAGCCGAATTCAGCCGGTTTTGTGGATGGCTGCCTTGCAGATGACATGTTATTGGAAATGCATACCGATCTCCAGATATGCTTCGATAGTCCTTGTAGGTATCGACATGTTGGTGACGGAGCACGGCAGCTGACGGCGATTTGTGTCGAGACGGGCCATTTTTGGAGCCAACGCAGACTCCGCAGCCCAACAGTTGTCTCGACGAAGTCTTCATGCCGCAAAGCAACAGTACACTGCGATTTTAGTGTCATAGAGCGCATCGCGGACTCCGGCAAATGGAAGGAGAAGTCCTTGAGACAGACCCCATCTGTGTGCTCGTGGCCCCTAATAGGGCGGAACACATGATGTTAGGTAAGTGGAAACGAAGGCGTTCAAGCTGGCCACGGCGTCGGGCGCAGGTCTCAAGCCAGCATCGTTGGAGACAGTCAGGATTTGTATCGATGCAAATTCTGCATCCACCTCCAGCTCGAACCGGCACGGCGGCAGGACCAACACCACCTTGTGAGAGGCAGTCAAAGAAATAAGGCGCTCGAAGGTTCAATGGTTCAGCTCTGTCGGGTACGAGGGAGACACTTCAGCCGGATTTATCAGACAAGGGTGAAGATGAAGTCCAGAGCGAAGAGAAGGGGAGAGACATTCGATTGCGCATCGTTTGGTCAACGTCCGCCTTGAAGGTGGGTTGGTGAAATTACAGTCAGCCCGCTCTTCCGGACTTGGCTGGTACGCCAGGTTGCCTTTTTCTCGTCTCGACCCCTTCACAAGTGGCTCCGGGGCACGTTCCGTAGATAGAGCGGCGTCTTGTGCAAGACACGACTTCAGCCTCATCACTGGCACGTCACATACGGACAATCCCAGCACTGGGAAGCATTTCTACCCGTCACATCAGTGACGACAATGAAAGTCTCAGACTTTGTCACCACTTCATCGTTTAGTAGGATGATCGCAAATACTCCGACTGGACCGATCACAGAAGGCAACCACAGGCATGCACAAGTAAGACGGCGAATGACTTGTGCGACACAGCATCAGACAGATCTGAGCCGCACGTCGACAACCAGTCAGACTGACTGACTGTCGTGGAGGGGAAATACGCTCCATACCAAGAACGTGCTCACCACAACGCCCTTGTACTCGCAATAGAGCACTTCCCCGTCTATCAGGCTGAGATTCAGGTCCCCATTGACGACGTGTTTGTACTCGGGTCTGGAGATCCCGCCATGGTCCAGCTCTCGGCGGACATCCGCAACTAGATCACCGACTGGACGCGTTAATCTCTCGTAGTGCAATGTTCTGCTTCAGCCGCTGGACCCAGCCGGCCACCGACGGCCAATTCGTAAAACTAAGAGGGCCCCAAGAGGGTATGAACACGCAAATGGATGCCTTGCGGCTGCGTGGAGATAATCAGGTTGAGGGCCGCCCGCACTCCGTTGGGAAAAGCAGATACGGACTTAAAATATTATGCCTAGGACGGCCATAGTCCAAATTGGGGAGAGAAAAAGTAAGCGGATTTCGTAGCCTGAAACCGAAGTGCTGAGATTTCGAAACGGCGTACTCGCTTTGGTTCGCAACGTTTTTGAGGCATTTTCGAGAAACAGGGGCCTAGGTGCCTCGGACCGGGAGCAGAGTCGTATACCTCTATGGTACACCAGGGCATCATTCCAGCCACAGCCATGAAGAGTCTGACCCAGACATCTGGCACAAATGCTGTGGAATGCTCACGGCAATGAGGACAAGTCTCAGGCGACATTTTATCACCGGCGTGGGCCGATTCCGTGGTTCCTTCTTGCGGAGCTCGCCGGAACCAACAGCTGTTCATGGAATAGTAAATAGTACCAAGTGATTGAATCGGAACCGGACGTGGCAAAGACAGAGCTCATACGACGTCCTTGTGTACTCACTCCACTGGCGTGAAGCGGCTACACCCGTTCGTTGTTCGTAGGAACCAAATTTCGCTCCGAGCTTGCCGCACATGGTTCGTTTGTAGCGGGAGCGGAAAGAGGGAAGAAACAGACCCGGCTGCAGAGAGCATTATTGGAGTGTCCCTCATCATCTCAATGGCAGCGTACAAGCACTCGCAAGGGGAGATGCATGTGGCAAGACCTCAGATCCGCAGCGTGAAAGAAAAATGGCTCGCGCGCAGTTACCTCTCGATTGGCGAGATACTGTCTCGCCTCTGCAGGCCACTGCCACGACCCATGACAGGCACCCGAACCAATGAAACAAAGAGAAGCCTTTTGCTAGGCTCAAGAAGGGGGATCCCGCGGGCAGAGGACACAGATGTAGAGGTGTAGGACTTGCTGGAATCGCTGTGAAGGCCTTGTGCTGGGGATTTGCTCACGAATGCTCTCCTGCGATGAGTTTGCAGGTGACAGAGAGCGGGCTCGTCCACCACCTGATGGCAGCAAAGGTACAAGAAAGGCCTCAAGCTCAAGGGCATTGTGACTGTGTTACCTCTGCTGCCACTTCATGGGTGATTATCATGGAGGCAGACGAGTTGTCGCAGCACCTGAGCACTCCACGATAGGCCAGTGTCTGCGAAGCAGATAAGCCTAGCCCTTGAATATTTCCACTGTATTCTGTGAGTTGTGTGTATCCCTTCTCTTTCTCACGCAACAGGGCCTTCCTCGTCGTCGTATCGAGCGTTCCTCCTCTTCCATGCAACGAGGGTGGCGTGGTTTTCGTGGTGGAGTGCAACGAGGTAGATTGCGAGCTGGAAGATGCATTTTTCGGCAGGAGAGGAGCTGGAGGTGAGAGGAAGCATTGAAACCTGACGGGGCGCTCGACTCAACTCGATGGCCACCAATGCAAAGCATGGTTGTCTACAGCAGAGCTTGATTGCACAGTGTCATGATGAACAAGCTGGCCTGCGTCGTCCGCTGGACCAACTGTATCAACTTGAGAACAGCAAGGGTCTGAGGGTTGAAGGAGCTCTGTGAATCAAACAGAGGCTGGGGCGTCCGTTTCAGCAACTGGTTCAAGTGACCTGTGGTAGAACAAGACGTGGTGCTTGTGAGGAGCACACGATCACAGCACATTGTCATACGTTGCTGGCAAGGCAAATTGAAGCCTTGGGCATGCCTTAATCGTAGGAGACAGACGCGACCTCCAGGTTGGGGTTTCGCATGCTGCAACATGTCAGTGATGGAAAGATGAACGCGCGCGCATTGCAGAGCAACCTAAAACGAGGCACCGCATCACATCACATGTGAGGGATGAGCATGCTACGTTGCTGCCTCGTCGAGACGGGCGATAGTCTCAGGTCGACAGAATGGCCATCAGGCTGAGAGGAGGTTTGCGGCGCCTGACTGCAGCAACTGTCGGTGCAAATGATACTACTAGTAGTACTACGAGAGACCGGTGAAAGGTCAAGAGAGTCAGGGTGGGTCTCTCACATCTGTGGATACTACCTAGGTACCTAGGTACTTAGGTACTCGTATTACTCAGTACGGCGGCACAAATCATACCTAGGGAGGGAGAATCAGGTGTATATAGTAAGCATCGGTCCCGGTGTTCCAGGGTATACAATTCTAATTCTCTTTTTTGGGGGAACACAGCTTTGTGTATTCAAGGATGAAGAATCAGCTGGTGGTGGTGACCTGGTGGGAGATGGTGGTGGCAGCTGATGACGTGATGAGGCTCTGCTTTGTACCAAGGTATCACCTCGTAATCCTTTGGGTTTAGTGGCTGCCTTCCCGGGGGTTCGCGAACCGGCTCCACCCACACGCCCCTCATGCAGCCTGCAACCTGCAAAAGGCCCCTGCATGCCTGAAACTTGCTGTCACGTAGTTGGCAGAATTATGTACTAGGTAGGTATTACGAGCAAGCGCATATTTGGCCTTGTTTACTAGGTATGGGAGCGACTTCGCCGTTCCAGTTCCCCCATAAGAGGCAGGACCGCCAGGGAGGCGATAGAGAGCCTCTTGCAGACTCTCCATCTCATGGATCGTATGCTCCTTCCAGCAACACCAAGACAGGGTTCATTCTCAAAATCTATCGCCTCCGGGAGCCAAGCCGCAGATTCTGGCATCGTGGTCACCAACACAAGCACCTGATTATTTTCCCTGTCTTTGAACCAAGATTCTAAAGTAAGTTCGGACCTTACTACAGAGGAACATCAGCCAAAGTGCCCAAAAAGTCCCTCAAGCCCTAGAGCAGAACTTGAACTTGGCGGATTTTCCCTGGCAAATTGAAAGAGAATGCTCAACAACCCTCTCTGTGCGACCATGGACTGACGCTAAGGGGCCTTTTGTCGTTTCTTCCAGGACTTTGATGCCATGACTTCTCCAAATTTCGGCGATAGACGGTTACCACAACTAAAATCAAGCAACCCAGCCGGTGGCGGATCAGCCAATCCGGCCATTGCCGCTGATTTATCCGCTCGGAAACAGCCTCCTCCCTCCAGGTACCGTTCTCCTCTCTCTTTATGCCCATGTTACACCCACGACAACTACTCCCTTTACAAGGCCGCCTGTTCTAAATCTTTCTTGGCTCTAGGACCAGGAGTCACCAGCAATATAATTCGTCGCCGCCAATCAAGCAGGAGCCCAGCGACTCCCTAAACAAGTTAACCCTTGTGGAACCCTCGCAGCACCCAAGTGATGCAAGACCCAGCAAGCGCCCCGCGGTTTATTCAGAAGACCGGCCCAGTAAGAGCAGACCTCGTCCAGGCTCCCCGGCTTACTCTCCTGGCCGCTATGACTACGAACTTTCACATATAAATTCCCCCCCGCCGGACTCGAGTGGGCGGTCACCCTCGGCAGGGGGCTACCAATCTGCTCAGCAGACGCCCGTCTCCTCTCCCAGGCCAGCCTCGCACCAACTGGCTACGAGTTCCTTGGCCGCGCGTCATAGCAGTCGTGCTCTAGTCCACCACACCGAGTCGGAGAGGAAGTACTATGATCCACCACGACCCGGTTCGGCTCATTCGTCCCAGGATGATTGCTCAGCCGAACAAGATATAAGACCACTCCTCCAGCCCGAGACCAGGCCCATCTCGCAGGAACAACTTGTCAATGAAGTTAAAGGGATATATGCTGGCCTCGTCATGGTCGAGAAGAAGTGCGTCGAGATATGTGCCCAACAAGCTCAAACCACAAACAGACTCTCCAACGAGCAGTGGCAGGCATTGATCGCCTTACATCGCACTCTCCTTCACGAACATCATGACTTTTTCCTCGCATCTCAGCACCCGACAGCATCGCTGGCCTTGCGGCGCCTTCCCACCAAATATGCAATGCCGGCGCGAATGTGGAGACATGGTATCCATTCTTTCCTTGAGCTGCTCCGCCATCGTCTCCCGTATTCTTTGGAGCATATGCTAAGCTTTGTTTACCTCGCGTATCAAATGATGGGTCTTCTAATGGAATCGGTCCCCGCCTTCCACGAGACCTGGATAGAATGTTTAGGCGATTTAGCTCGCTATCGTATGGCTATTGAAGAGGCTGACCTGCGAGATCGCGAGACTTGGTCCAACGTCGCTCGCATGTGGTACCAGAAGGCCGCCGACCGCTCGCCCGACACCGGAAGGATCCAACATCACCTTGCAGTTCTTGCTCGACCTAACATTGTCTGCCAGTTATTTTACTATTCTAAGGCCCTTATCGCCGTCAATCCGTTCCCCAACGCCCGGGACTCGATTATGCTTTTGTTTACTCCCCTATTGGAGGCATCCACATCCTCAGGCCAGAAGTCCAAGTTGGAGTCCATCCCTTCCAAACACTCCAAGCTCGAGAGCTCTTTCGTCACCGCCGCCGGTCTTCTGTTTACCAAGGGTTCCATCGACCAATATTGCATTCAGGCTGATAGATTTACATCAGAATTGGAGAGCCACATAGCACGTTCTGGCGTCAACTGGAAGGTCCAGGGACCAGAGGTGGCTTCTGCGCTTATCGCATTCCTTCTTGACTTTGGCTCGGACGAAAATTACCTCACGGCAGCTTTCCGTGCTAACCATAATCGAATTAAAGGCGTCCAGCCAGAGGCGCAAGAGCAGCAGCAGCAGCAGCAGCAGGAATGCAGTACCACGACCCCCCCGGACCCCATGACCAAGGAACGCATCCACCGCGAATTCTGGGAACAAAATGGATCCATCAATGCAAACGACTTTCGTCAGGCCCCTCCACCTCCCGAGCATCGTGTTAACATCAAATTTACGTCGGCCGACGAAGTTACCACCTACAGTCTTCCCGTTTGGTCCAAGGCTATATCGATCGTGGCTGGCAAGCTTGGAGACCGCAACATCATACCCTTTCTGCATCTTACGTTAGCATTCCTTTGGTCACTATCATACGTTCCAGGCGCCCTGATTTATGTCGAAAATTCTGTCCCGTGGCGAGCATTGGTCCTTTTTTTGAACAGCTTGAGCAGATCCGGTGTGTATGATGCAAACGTCGAATCCAAGGACTTCCCTGAACGACGGTCGGCGACGGGAAGACAGTTGCCCGAAGACTTTCCTATCCGCGGTCTGGTTTGGGCGCCGTATTATTTCCCATCGGACTTCTTCGAGGGAGAAGTGGCCGACGAAGATGAGCGCGCTTTGGAACTGCCAAGCCACACAGCACCACGGGCTGAACGGTGTCTCTGGCTGGGAGTCAGACTTGCATCGGTAAGTCTGCGCAATTTGAATCGCTCGGTTCTACCGTTGACCCTTTATAGTTGAATCGGTATTTGACATATGACCCGTCGACAAAGCAATTTGGCTGCACCAACTTTGCTTTATCGCTTGCGGGCAATGACTCGATGCATACGTTGCACGTTCAAACACCCACCACCGCTGAACGTGATCTGCAAATGACCGACATCTGAATTTGAAGGGATCAGGAAGCCCTCAGCGGCGAAGCTGGCCGGTCACGACACCTGTCGGGTGGCTCCGACCTTGTGCTGGGACCTCCGCTGCGATTTCGGCTCCGGACGATCCCTTTGGACGAGGCCTTTTGCTTGTCTTACGGACCTTTAGTCTCGAGAATCATCATCTGGACAGAACCAGTCAGTGCCCCACACGTTTGATGTGGAGGTCGGAAAGTGCTAAGTGAGTATGTTTGAGATTGTGCGGATGCGAACGGTGCACGACATTTGGGGGAAGTGGTTGCAAGTGGCGACCAGCAAGCGTAAGTGGTTGATCTGGATTTGAAGCCTGGATGGAAGCAAAGCATAGCCACACAACTATCATGCTTAGGAACAGGGACTTACCAGAACGGGTCTTCACAGCGATCAAACTCGTCTATGCGCTTTGACTTTGAAGGGATTATGGAGCTAGTGGTTTTGGGTTGGACTCGGACTCGTGATGCAAGGCCGAGAACTGCCTCAAAATAGATAATTGAACACACACGGAGGAAAGAAACAAAAAAGAAACAAAAGACAAAAAACAAAAAAAAGGGAAGGGAAAAGCTAATGGTGGTTTCTTGGTAAGGGGATCCATCAGAGAGAAAAGCGCTAGATATCTCGATCACGACCAACACAACTTAATTCTTTTCTTGCAAAAAGAAGCATACTTGATTTTCCACGTCTTGACACGCTGGACCTCTCGGGATAGCGGTTCGGGGGAAAAAAAGCATAGACTATTTTCCACGTTTTACACACCATTCTTCTCGAGCTAGAGGATGGAGTCGCCCGTGTCTGTTTGTGTCGTTGCACTTTTCTTGACGACATGTATGCCGCAGGGTCGACTGGCTCTGATAATATCATAAACACTGGCGTATAACATTGCAATCCCCGTGACTCCCAGACGAACACCACGAGAAAGAGGAAATTGAAGGAAAATTTCGCTAGACACACCTTGGAAGAAAGTCAGGGTGTAGAAAGGAGAGAAAGACAAGGGGAGAGGAAAGGAAAGTGGAGGACAGCGAAGGAAAAAGGACATGCCACCCTGAGGAAGGGAGGCTTTGCGAAGATCGTGTTAAGACAGACCGGGCATGAATTTCTGTCAGATTTTCAGGTCCCAACCAAGGCTTTGGTTTTTTTTTGGGTTTCGTCAAAGTGCTGTCTGTCTATTTCATGTGAGAGGCCATATATTATTTGGATGGCTTGACGGTTAGGGGATGTGTGACGCCTTGGACCGACACACTCGTGCTAGAACTGACTCGGCCCTGGAGGTTTAGAGCTCTCTACCTAGGTATACATGGCAACATCCCTCATCCGGCATTGGACGCGTCGCAGCTTGCCCTCCGCAGGACAGCTGGCCAACTCACGCTGTATTAAACCGCTCACAATCACGATATACAATGCGTGTTCGGACGGGGAGGCGTGGCATCAGTTCTTGCTTTGCGCTGCCTCACGCCCCGCGTGAAGCTGTATGGCCCTTGGTCGAAGCGATAGTCTTGATGACGGCATCAGGCGACACGGTTGCCGTCAGAGTGGCCATGAATTTGTCGAGCTCGAGCTCCATGCTGGAAGAAGCTTGAACTCTACCATTGAGGCTGTCTTCGGCGGCGCTTGAGGGCCCATCAACATGGCGCCGCTGGGTGAAGGCAATGGTTGAGTCCGAAGTCGTGCCAGAGTTTGAACCTGCCGCGAGGTCGGCGCGAACCATCCTCTTCTCCATGCTTATGTCGATAGCTTCCCTGTTCCTCAGATACACAGCCAGCATTGGGTCCTCGGGGACGGTGACCAGGGCGAATGCCGTAAGTGGGATCCGTCGACGCCTGTGTCTGCTCAAGCGTCAGCATCGAATATGCTTTCTTGAGCAGGAGAGTCAAAGGACATACTCTTGGCTTTCCACAGGCGCCATGGCTGATTGCTCGATGCAGAGAGATGTCTTGACGATACTGCACCTGGTCCCCGGCAGCATGCCGGTATTGTCCTTCATACGTATCAATGGCTCCAGTGTATCAATAGTAGTAATACCCAAGGCCCCCGAATTGATAGCGGTTGGATGGTCCAGGTGACGACGGCAAGTTGCGCATCTGGTGCAAGACCAATGCAATATATGGTAAATGAGGAAGAGGAGGGAGGGAAACGAGAGAAGGGAGGAGGGGGAGCTTGATGACCCCGACGAGGACTCGCCAGGCAAGAACTACGTCTTGCTTGGGCGAATGGGAGCATGACATCTGGAGCTAAATCCCGTCCAGCCAATCAATCGTGCAGTATGCCTGTGGATAACCCACCCATCCCGAAATCCCAGTATCCTGATTCGACGCATGTGACATTGAGACTAGCTGTTCTGAAGCATTCGCGCGTGCTGAGATATTTCGCCCGTGCTCTGATCTGCCAGTGCACCCTTGGGCATTGCTAAGTGAGACTCGGCCATTGTATCATTCCTTCTGAGGTTGATAGCGTACATCCGATCGCATAAGAGGGGGGGCGTTGAGTCGTGGTACCGTGGTCACCTCTGAAGCCGGGTCTCTCGATAGTGCAGTTGAGGAGCAAAACTGCAAAGCAAGAGAATCAAGCCTCCGTAGTGGAGTGTGCTTGCACATGCTCAGTCTGCCGGATAGTCGATCCTGGTCCTGGGGAGCTTCCGCCTTGGTTCGCTGGTGACTGTGCTTCGCATCAAGATGTTCTTTCCATCCGATCCATGACGACTGTCCACCTTTCGGTCATGCGTGTTGGAACGAGCATTTTCGTTTCTCGACGAAGTGTTTCTGGCGAGTTCTGTAGCGGAAACAAATTGACTGTCCTGTATAGTACGATCGAATGTGGCAAAGAGCAAGGGATGACTTACCGATAAAGGCAGAATCTCGTATACCAAGATGTGTAAAAAAGTGTTAAGACGATCAGGAAACTGTCATGGGAGAGGTTGAGAGCGCAGCGTCTGACTGGATCAAAGCAAAGCCTCATTGGCCTTGCAGGATGGTACCAATCCAATCATCATTGACGAGACAAGCATTCATGGTATGTGTTTGGGACATCTTGTCACAGCTAACTGAGGACGCACTGACATTCGTAGAGCAAGCTTCTCTTGTCCTGTGGTCATCAAAGTGTTGTGAAAGTGAAGGTGGTATGAGTGACCACCAATATTGCCGCTTGCGATTCCGAAACCACGTTCTAGGGAGTTCAATTGTGATGTCAGTTGTGCGATGAGTCCGAAAGTGTCAATAGCAGCATTTTTGACTCCAAAAGTGAGCATGCTGCAGCCTTGTCGCTCTATACATCAAGCTCAGTGATCTTTCTCGGACGCATGTCTTGACGAAACGTTCCGCCGTGAACAACGTGAAGAGACTGCAATTCTGGAAGGGGCTGGGAATGATACAGAAAGAACGGGGAATTATCGCTCTCTGCATAATTATTCCATGTGAAGTCTGCCGTCGATGGATGGAGAGTCAAGGATGAAGTGATGTTGAATCGACATCGAGAGAAAAGTCTCCATCGCCGGCGCCACATATTGATCGCGGTAGAGCTAGTGCAAATCCATTCTAGCGCTCTGCTAGCATCTACGCCACAAAAGCACAGCCGCACCACGTGGCTGGTGAGCTTCGGGACGCGCCGAAGTATCCGGACACTAAGATTTTCAAGGTTAGGCAGCTCGTGGTAGTATGTACTTTTGCGCTCGACTCTTTTAGGCGCTCGGGAAAACCCATTTCTCCGTATTGTCCATTTTCAGCAGCTCCAAGCGAGGGCTAGCACGATATCTCGCATTTCAGCTTGCCAGCATCTTTTGACGTCTTCTCCTCTTCTGTTCCTGCCTGGAGAAGGGTGGCTCTCTGTCAATAAGAGCTGATTCCGTTTCCTGTGCGCAGAGGCCGTTGTGGAACCTCACAATCCGCAACAATAAGCTCAGACTCGCTCTGTTATATGAGTAGAGGCCGCAGCCGCACTCGACCGCTCAGCCTCACCAGGAACACTACAGTTTCTCCTTGCCGTTCAGCTCATCATTGCGGTTGTTACACCTCTTTGAATGTCAAAACGGCGAGGAACGGCAGCAACATGTCGATCGTGAGCAATTCTTTTTGTAATGTTCTATGCAATTGGCAGTGGCGAAAATGCTTGCTCAGCCTTAAATTGCCACTCTCTACCAAATGTCAACCAGGACACGGTATGATGGACGGTTCTTTCTTCCAGTAAGATCAAAGCCGACTCCAAACACCCACGAGGGCACGGGGACGAGAGATGAGGGAAGCATCGAATCTTCTCGAAGAATAGCACGTTCGCCACCACCGAGAAGTCTCGAACATCTGGCCGAAAGGGCTCCAGGGCATGTCGACTGTGATGCCGTGGACTGTTGCCCCAATCATGAAACATTAGTAAGAGGTGCGCTTCATATGGAGGTTGCAGTCTTCTTGCTTTTTCGACAGGTGACGGCTCGTCGTTCCTTCTGGGCATAGGCCCAATGGCAAACGAAGCAACCACAACAATGAGGGATTTAAAAGCTGAGCCTACCATGATGCAACACCGAGTTGGCGGAGAATCACCCATTCGTGGCTGAGTTGCTAATGTTTGTGGTGGCTGTCGCCTGAGACGAATCATATTCGAGAGGCGAACAGCGGATACTTTGGTTGCATTCTATCTGGTCAAGCCGACTTTTGGTCTTTTCAGGACACGGTATCGCGGCCAACAACGTTTGAGATCACGTCTGGAAGAACCCTGCGATACTGCTGTCAGCTCCTCTAAGAGCCACATGCACCTCATGTATGTCCGACGCCTGTCGCTGCCTTGATCGAGCGGTGACCGAAAGGCTCGGGTTGGTCACAAGCACTCCGTTGATTGCAGTCTGCACGCCTCTCTGCCTGGGCATAATCAAGTTGTCAGATCCTCATTGGCCCTTCATGTCACTCTCAAAAGGCAACCACTATTGACAATGGCGTGCCACAACATCAATGAGATTTGCCGCATCTGGACCATGTGCACTTGGTCCCAAAGTTGTTGCATGTCCGATGGAATCGACGCTGGTGGCTGCCTTCCTGTTACCCGAAACCTGATTCGGCAGCACTAGATCCAGGTTTCGTCGTGGTCGGTTGTCAAAACCCTTGGAGTGACCAAAAGTGCGAGAATGCCTTGCCGCTGGGTCTACTCGCCCAAGTTCTCCGTAGCATCCGCAATTCCAAAACGCACTAGCAATTGATCAACTGACCGCATAAGGCAACCAAGTCTTCGAATCACGGAGTACATCGATTCTGCGCCCTGTCTGGCTCTCCTTTCGATTGACGTTGCCCAGGCATGTCGGCGGTGAGAAAGGTGAGAAGTTTCGAACTTACCTAGGTAACTGTCCAATTTTGTGGTGGACCCCTTCGAAGCATTGAGACCCCGGCACCCAGCCTAACGGACGGGGCAGGGATTCCCCGGGAACCAAAGAGACTGTGCGCAAATGACTTTTCAGCATCGCCTTGGTCCACGGTTGCCTGCTCATTCATCGAGATTGGCCCTCAGGGGCTGCAGAAGGAAGCTTACTTTGTGCACGGTCGCTCCTAGGTAATCACTTAGTGCAAGGCAACAACTTGCCCTTCGTTCAGGATGCGGGCTTTTGCTTTCGGGGGTTGAACCGTGCCAATCTCCCTGGCTGGTTCTGAAGTGCGGAGCAGGTACGGGTCACGCCCATACTTCGTCTCTCGAGGACGCCTTTTTCTGCGTCACCATCGTGAGCTGTCGATGCTTCCACGAGTAAGCATCCGCGTGGCAGTCCTTCAGGACATGTCTGTTCAACGTCCGCATTCAAAGACATGCGGAGCATTTGATGGTTGCCTCTCTGGCTGGCTGGGTCTCGTATTGTGCTGGGCGCGACATGTCTCAGCTCTAGATGCCGTCGACGGATGCCTTTTCAACGTAAACTCGCTGTTCCACAATTCCAAAGTCCCCAAGGGCTTTTGGAGTTGGTCCATGGGGGGCCTGTGCTTCAGGCTTTTCATGATGCTGAGGAAAAAGGCAAACACAGACCTGGAAGATAGGTCAAGAAGCTCGCTTTGGAACGGGGGAGCCTGGTCACCGGTTTACGGTCCATTGCGTGCCTACGCACGCCCCATCACATACGAGTGCCGAAAACGGGCTGCCTCTCCAAAGCTCAGCCTGATCCTTTTCCCCCGTCGAGCAATGTGCCCCCCAAACCACAATCCTCTTCTGCTCTGGCCGTGATACAAGGACATTGGGCTTGATGTAGGAGGTAGAAACAGCGAGGATACTAAGCATATCCTGCTATGCAGAATGCGAGCGCCCTTGTATGAGCGGAATGAGCATGTCACTCAGGATATGATGGCACATCATGGGCCGAGTTGAGGAAATATAACTCCCTCGATTCGAGACGGGGGGTATTGCTCACTAAGTCCACAGATCCAGGTCCATTCTATTCCTCAACCTCAATCCGGAACCGTACCTCTGTACGAGCTTCCTTTCGTGCAACTTCAATTCCAGCAACCACTCACGGGCGAGACGTTGCGCAGATGTCTCCTTTGCAAGGGAAAACACCATATTCCATACAGCGATTGTGTTTGGTTGAACTATCGAATGTTACGATCTCAAAAGGCCCACGGCGGCCACATCGTTCATACGAACTCTGTCTACATAGTCCCGAGAGTCTGCGATCCTCGGCCGACAGCATGCGGGTAGTATGTAACAAGGGGTTTCTCGCACGCACTGGTAATGCACTTTTGACCCGAGAATGAACGATTCAACGGGAAACCCGTTCCCTCTCTGCATAACTCTGCCGGCCATGAAATCGAGGACACTCAGCTTGTGCACGAGAAGAGGCATACCCGTTTGTCTTGCACCCTTTCCAAGACTCCATCGTTGCACGCCCCACGACGACCAGCGGCAAGTAAAGGCCCCAGCCAGTCCACAGCGAAAGATACATTGAGAACGAGCGTGCCAGTTTTGGAACGTTTGAATATTCGAGCATTCGTAGACACGACTATAGTAGATCCACTGTAGTTGACGGAAGGTGCCGCTTGAACAGCAAGCAGAAAGGCGCACATCCTATTCATTCTGTGTTGTCTTCCAGACTTTCCCTTCTCATCTGTACTCTTCTTTCCCCCTCTCATGAACAGTCCGGCTGTCGTCAGAAACAGAGGTGCAGAGCAACGCTTTGCTTTCGCAATCGTTCTGCAGCGTCCGGTCCGGGCGTTCGTATTCAGCGGATTCCGAGAAGCCTTAGTCATAGCGGCGAATCCGGCGCATCCCGAAGGAATATATCCCGCTTCGCAAGTAGTGTTTCGAGCACAGGGTCTAGCACAGGTGCATCGTAGAGGAACAGCTGGAAGACACGCTTGGAATCCTCGAACCCGGAGACTCCAATCTTCTCTCCAAGAGCAGCCATATGCCTTGAAAACCACAATTCCGACAAGCCCCTGTTCCTGTTTTCGTCCGCAAAGAAAACATCGCCGAGCTCTTCGGCCACGGCTCCAACGAAAAACAAATACAATAAGACCTGCCCGTGTTCTTCCAGGCCATCACCAAGCTCAGAGACATATTCTAACACCCGGCTCAGTCCAGCACGTAGATGATGGAACGGGACATAGATTGCAATTTGTTCCCAGGTGAAGAGGAAGATGATCCTCTGACAGTACTCAACAGCAAGACAAAGCGTTTTCTCAAGCTCGCATTCTAGTCTCCTGCGTGCGGACATGTTGGTATACCTGGAATATCTGTCCACGATATCGTGGTACATGACCATGCAAAACGCAGAAACCACATAACGACGCGCGTGAGCCCATGACTGAATTTCGTCAGCAGTTTCAGCATCCGGTGTAACAATATCATTGCCACCACCGTCATTAGGAGCTAGTGCATGAGCAATATTTCTGCTGAAGAGGATCTCTCGGTGGCTTGCCAGGTAGTGTCTGAGGGCAGCATCGAGCTTTTTGTGGAAGGTTTCTTCACTTTTGAGGAGCGGTACATTTCGGCACTGTGATCTAGCAATATCAAGCACTCGCCGGGAATGTGCAAAGGATTGCTGGTTCCAGGGCCCAGGATCCCATTCCCATATTGCAAATTTAGGCGGCCGTAGGAAGAGATGAGCGCTCATGTTGTCCATGACAACGATGCGCAATACCAGCGTCCACGGAAGTTGACCTAGTCCGCCCGCTTCAGCGACCATAAGCCGAACAGCTTCAAAATGCGTACGACTTTCGAGGAATTCTCCGGCAAAGAAATGCATCATTGCAGCCAGGTAAGCACCCTTTATTGTGTTGATTTCTAGAGCGCGTGCATTGACAAGGCCCTTGAGCAATGAAATGCAGGCAATTTTGTGTTCCAAGGCGGCAGAAAGCATCTTCTTCTTCAGCGGTGACTGTTGCATTGTACGCGAGACATAAATAGAGGCACCTGCAAACATAGCATGAAGCTGCGCGCGGCTTGCAATTGCTCCTTGAAGCTCTTCCACCCATGCTGATCTTGCCGTCTTCGCTGCTGCGGCGCTTGTTCCAGATGGCCACAGCGACCGTATAAAGCGAAGCTCCCAGAATTGGATCAGATGGTTGTTGAGAGCATTTATCGGTAGGGCTGCAGCTGCGAATGGGTCGGAGCCGCCATTGCCCAGCAATGTGAGCGGGTGGGGGTAAACACTGCGTATTCTGTCAGACTCCTGTGATTGTACAGCGTCTGCACGCAATAGGGTGCCATATTCGGCCTCAGCGGATCTTGAATATCTTGGAGACCGTTGAGAATGATTGGCAGGCGGTGGAAGACGTTGAATCTCTGCTGGTCTCCGTCTGGCACTCGTTGAATCTACTTTCCATTTCAGTATATGCGGCGTCTGGCTGCGCCTGCCCTCATCATCTCCCTTGGGCACGGCTTCTGCGCTCTCCACCGAGTCTGGAGTAGTTGTTGAAGAATTGCCACTTCTTTGAGTGGCATGCGACCAAGACTTGTCGAGGAGAGTCTGATTCTTTAGCGCCTTTGCCCTTCGTCGCTTCTCCTGTTCTTTGTGAGTAGCGACGTGTGAATTAATGGCGAATGCTTCATCTTTGTCCCGCCCTTTGATATTCTCGGCATTTTTGACAACGAAGAGATAATTTCTCCCAGACTGGTTGTGTGGCGTATTGCCTTCCATTGCTGCACATTTGCCTCGTTAGTCGACTAATTGGATCAGGCGCGCACATATTGAACAACTCTCAGCTCGATTCTTGCCATCACAGAAGGTTTTGAAGAATGGTATGGGGCTTTGGAAAGAGAAAGGGTTCGCGAAACGAATTCCGCTAATTCGCTGGTAAGCCGAAAGACTCCATCTTAGCTCCATCGGGAGACGCCTTGCCGATCGGCAATCATAGTTGCTGGAGGATGAAAAGCCAAACTAACCCTAGATATGGAGATTCTCCCATGGCGTTGAAGTCCACCGGAACCATCATTATAGATTTATCAAAATTTTGAGTATGATCCCAGACAACACTGTTGGCTGGTTGGTCAAGAAACTCGCCACCGACGCAAGTCGAACAAGGCTATTGTTTGTCATGCTTATCAATGACTAGGCCGAGACCGTTTAATTACTTCTCTCTGAGGGAAGCATGGGCGTAAAAGGGGCGCAGATCCTATGGCGACGGGTGGCTTTGGCGTAGGCAATATACCATAAGGTCTGGTCTTGCAATGGCTTTGTCACTCGCCTACTATCGCAAGCCGCGTCTCGTAAACAGTCACATAAAACATGACACAGCGTGCTTGGACGGGCTTATCCGCCATGACGAACGGAGCGATCTTGTCCAGATAAAAGGAGCACTAAGTACGTTCTCATTGCCTCTTTTTCATTCCCGAGGCATGCTGGTCACGGGTGGATCTTGCTGTGAACCAGGGCTTCAGCTTCAGCAGCACCCACAAAAATCCGAGGGCAATTGTAGCCATGGTCAGCGACTCGATCTTCGATGGGCTTGCAGCATTGAGGTCCAAGACTGGCGCGGAGATGCGCTCTATCAGTCTTCCTGGTGCAGCACCCTGGGTCGGCACCGGGTCCAGATGGTAGAACATAGTTCTGGGGCCGAACAATCCTTCAAAGCCAAGCTGAATCCTGTCAAAAGGGTTTACAGGAAACTTGGTTCCATCGTCAGCGGTACAGGCCCAGAAGACAATAGGCCAAGGCACTTCGACTTCGGACGAGCTGCCATTCTTTGGTTCCAGATACCGTAGGTGGAGGGGTATGGTCACATCCCATACTCCAACCGCAGCTCTCGTTTCTCCAATACTGCCATTTGGTGTCTGGAGTTCAAGCAGCATTGTCGATCCCCATTTTCTGACGACATAGTCAGGAGCCTCTAGGTCTGTCTCACCTGCAATGGAATGCAATAGGCCAACGTGATGTAATTTCTGAAACAGCGGGTCGTTGCTGAGAAACGCGTATTTGTCGGCAAAGATATGTGAAGGAAGAGTTAGATAGGTCTGTAGTGCGCAAACACTTCCAGGAGGCTTATTCTCGGGCTCGGTCAGTGAAACCGCCGAGGGGAAAGAGATTCGTAAGGTCGGATGCAGTCCAGTCGGCTCGTCAAACGAAACAGTGTATTTCTGGAACTTTGCCTGATCTGAACCAAAGGAATGATGGCGGGAAGGGAAACTGAAAAGCGTAGCTTTCGGATGATCATCTTCTCCGACAACAGTAAGAAAGCCTGATAGCTGAAGGTCTGAGGGTTCGGTTGCTGGTGATGCACTGAGAATACCAACCTCGACCCTGTCGTCCTTTCTAGATTGCACATCGAGATTCCACGCATCAAGAGTTGTGAATTCCCCAATTGGGTCGTAGAATACAGCAGGTTGCTTTGACCAGAAAATGGTGATGGTGAGAGCATGGGAGATGCTGTCGTAGTCAAAGTCCACAGAATCGGCAATGTTTAGGAGGGACACCGTGTGCAGACACTGCAAGTCGTTCGGTGTGCAAACAGAATGGTATATGTAAGCAACCAGGTGCTTTAGCGAAGGCAGAAGAGAATAGTACTGAAAGGATGAAGTCTGGGCGAAGCGTTCGGATGTCAGAGGAGGGCTGATGAAGGTTGCTTCTGGCGAGTCGCAACGGAGCTGTTTCCCGAATACCTTGTGGAGGAGATTGCAAAGGCGATCGACCTGGCCTTCGTGCAAAGGCGTGTATTGGACATGTAGACCAGGGGATATCCTTGAAAGGAACGGAGCGGTTGTGTTATAGGGATGTTCCGGTGCCCAACGGACGTGAAGTTCATGGCATTCTCGTAAGTAACTGGCTATTTCCACCGGCACTTCTTCGAGGCCCAGCGTCAAGCGTTCTTCTCGTGCTGCCTTCAATGCTCCTAGCAATAGCTGACTTTGGCGGACTTGAATATCATCTGGATTGACAGCGCGACTGGGGTGAGTGATATATGTTGATCTCCTGCGCATGACTGAAAGTATTGAAACCGGTACTAGCACCGGTATCGTATGAGTGACGATGGCTTCGTGTAATGAGCGGATGTTGGAAATCTGGAGTGAAAGAGGAGGTGCTTGGGTTGCCCATCAACTGGAAGCCAGATCAACATGGTATGGATTCGACGGTCACGTGTGTGCGCTTCTCACGCAGGGGGGATAGAGTTTGCGCTAACCTTATCGATAAGCCAAAGGCACTGACGTCCATCTTGGAACCCGAATCGGCGAATTTACAACTTGGAACTGCAACTCGTTCAATACCGGCCACAGGCTGCTGGTGCGTCTGTGAAAGAGATCCCACCAACGCTGGGAGCAGAAGCACGACTCTATACCCCCTATACCTCTATCAGATACCTCTGCCAACACCTCGTTTCCACTGCGCTACTGTAACCTCCCAACTCAGTCTCTCCATCCCCGACATGGCACCTACTGTGTCCTCTTCCAGGACGCAACTGTCTTATCCCCTCTACGCCGCCGACTTTGACCCTCTCAATCCGGACTTTCTGCTTGTTGGTGGAGGTGGAGGCTCGTCGTCGACCGGCGTCCCCAACAAAATCTCCCTGCTCGATACTTCGCAAAGAAATCAGTTGAAGGAGGTGGTTGACATTCAGCTTGCCAGCGATGAAGACTCCGTTACGAGTCTCGCGGTCGCCGACTCATCTGCAGCATCGCTCACCGCCTTTGCTGGGATCAACAGTTCTGTTGCCGACCAGAACGCTGGGAAAAACGAACATCTGAGATCGTTCAGGATTGGGCTGCCCACAAGGAAAAGGAAGGCTGACGGCAGTGTCGTCGATGGAGATGAAGAGAAGCTAGCGGCTTCGGCAACCGCCTCACAACCACTGGGCCGGGCTGCGCTGTTCAAATCTGCGACGGCCACCAAGAACGAGACATACCAGAGAGTCCTGCGGTTTTCGCCGGCCACCAAAACTGGTCAACCTCGCCTCGCAGCTATCGCGTCTGGACTTGCTCCAACCAACGAAGTCATTGTGTTTCGCCCGACCCCAAAACCGGGGCTGGATGATGTGATTTCACGCATCGAGCTGGGTAATCGCGAGGCAGGGGACGTGGATTTGGTGGTCGAAGACGACAAGGGCAGCTATTTGCTTGCGTATTGCACCGATGATGAAGTATTTATACAGCAGCTTCCGACATCATCCAAGCCTGATGCTCCAACATCTCTCTTTCGAGCTGCTGAGATATCAACCTCGCTGCCTCCCTCACAGAGACCTAAGTTTCGCGCTTTGCGCTTTTTAACCCCTCGTCATCTGCTACTTCTCAGGAACCGCCCATCACGAACTGGCGCAGATCTCTTGGTCCTTCGAATCAGCCACGACTGTTCGGAAGCCCGCATATCGTTACGCAAACAGCTCAGTATGTCCATAAAAGCGGCGGTTGGGCTGGATGTGTGCAGCCTGACCGAATCGGAGCAAGGCGAGAAGCAGTTCGTGATTGCGGTAGCAGGACAGTCTGGAGAGAACAGCTCGATAGAAATATTGGCGCTCGACTACTCGAGGGAGGCTGGACTGGGAGTTTTCAGATCATACACATTCATCAAAGCCGTTCATAATGGGCCACTCACGCGGCTTGTCTTGTCAAGCTTTAACGGACCAGCTCTTCCAGCCACCGGCACAGTTGGACCCCAATCCCTGCGCCTGGCCTCTGTCGGCGTTGATAAATTTGTGGTGGTCCATTACCTCCCGCTCCGGCCTTTCCCTCCAACCTCAACTAAGGCCCCTCGATATGTGCTCATCCCTCCAGGACGCTCCGAGGCTGTGCAAACATCATTCAGCGTCTTCTTCGCGCTTGTGGTCGTCGGATTTGTTGCTTTCCTCATGCAAGCATTCTGCGAGATCCGTGGCGCCGTGCCACCCGTCCTCGGCGCTCCGGACTGGCTGTCACCGCGTATGCGCGAACTGGTTGCTCGGCCCTATATATTCGCTGACCGAATGAGTTCCGCGGCATCAGATATTCCTGTCGCGGCGCACAGCGCAACGGAAACCCTCAAAAGCTCCGTGGACGAAATCACCTCGTCCCTTTCTTCCGCTTTGTCTTCGGCAACGGATTCACTAAAGAACCTCGTAGAGGAAAACTCCAACTTGGAAACGCCAAAAGCCATCATTGTGCGGGAGCAGTCCTTGGGCGAAATCTCCACCGAGGTTCTGCAGTCGGACGCCGAGGTCGTGCAGAAGGAGACGCTGAAGAAGTGGGAAGAACTGAGCGAGGCGCAAAAGAAGGGCTGGAAGCGCAGGTTGATCGACGCGGGTCACTGGGCAGAGCATCAGGGCGAGAACGTGCTGAAGGGCATCTTGTTCTCGGAGCTCGCTGGAGCCGTGGGTAATTTGGTCGGCGGAGTTTAAAAAGATCATACGTCCGTGATACGAGGCCACTCATTTGTCGTTCCTGATATGAATCGAAACATCTGGGCCGATGGAGAGAAACCCTGCTCAGAATGTTGCGCCTGAGGGTCAGTCCTGCAGCGTATCGTCATATATATAATAATTGGACGTTATATACTCTATCATCATAATTGTCGTTATTTTTCTTCCCCTTTTGCCCCGGACTTCCCATCCAGACGATATCATCCATACGAGGATGGATCTTCACACGTCCCGACCCCCGTCCTCTCCTCTCCAGCAACATAGGTAGAGGTAATCAATACGTCTCATCTGCACTAACCCCGTACGTTCCCCCAGCGGCATACCACGCAGCCATGATGAGATCGCACAGATCCTTGGCCTCGACGTCCTTGAGGGGCAGGTGATGTCCGCCCTCGAAATCCATGTGGAAGCAGACGTCGCTGTCGCAGGCCTTGAGCAGCTCGAGACAGCCGGGTTTGACGTGGTCGTCACGGCCCCACGCGTGCACGGTGGGGATTTGGCGCAGGAGGTCGTAGTCGCGGACGTCGACGGTCTCGCTCAGCGAAATGGGCGGGAACGGCCCACCGATCATGACGCCGAACTTGAATTTCCATCGACTCTCGCCCGATGATGAGTCGTCGCGCTCCTCGATCTTCTGCCGCAGGAGCAATCCCGGAACGAGCCTCGCGCCCTGCGAAAAGCCAATGATGCCGACAAAGCTGTCGGCGCCACCGTTGTCCTCCATGGCCCTGAGAATCACGTTATCCACCGCCTCGACTTCTTCTGGCGGGGTGGCCTCCTGGTCACTCTCGCCGGCTTTGAACTTGCGGCTCACCCAGCGGTAAAAGGGCGCGCAGGACGCGAAAACGGGCAGCATTCCAAACCCCGGCGTGCCCTCGATGGGCGCCTGCACGAACACGAACCGGAATTGCTTTTCGAGGTTCCAGATCAGGCGTCGGCACTGGATCTTGAACACCGTGCTGTTGGACCCGCCGCCGTGCAGCATCAGGATCGCGGGGAGTAAGTTGCCCGTGTGGGAATGCGTGGGTCGAGTGGCGGCCATGGTTGATGGTTTGTTTGTTCTCGTTGTTGTTGTTGTTGTTGCCCGCAATAGCGCCTGGGTTTTGTTGGGAGCTGGGTTGCCTTCCCAGTCTATCTTGGTTGGAAGTTTTGCTGGGTATGAGTAGAAAAAGGGCGTTTGCTTGGGAATGTTCCTCGTAAGAGCCCGGTACATCAGCTTGAGAGAGAGGCCGCCGGGTACGGGATCGTGAGTTCGTTCCTCGGGGATTCAGTGGGCTGTGATCATTGGGATCCTTCACCTTTTCGTCGCTTAACAGAATGAACGCTGGTACTGGATTTCCGCTTGGTTGAGTCTGATGCGTTTGCCTGAATTTGAGTTCACATTTGCCAGGAAAGAGTAGTATATCGACAATGAAATCTCTTACTCAATAGTCTATGTTGGACTTCTATGAAATATGGGAGTGAAGAAAGTCTCAATGGAACAGCAGAATCAAAAGGCAAAACCAGCCCTCCACGTGATAAGGCTAGACACGGCCACCGACGAGGCTGAGGGACTCGCGATTTAGCCTGGTCGCCTCAGCCAAAAATAGAGCTAAAGATCTTGTGCGACAGATTCATTTTGAATGTGTATGGTCAACCCTTCTTTTTCATTTCACGGTGCCTCAGCCGACTCCAAATCTATGTATTGATATTAGGTGAGGAAATACCATTCCAGTCTGCCACCATCTCACACCAAGAATGTCCCGCTATTGGAATGGATCACGATCCCTGTCGCGTTGGCATCTTTCAAGCAGTACAAGTATGCTTCGGCGAGGTCTACGGGTTGTCCGACTTTCGCAGTGGGTAACCTGCTCTCGAGGGTCGCAAAGAATGCCTTTTTGCCCTCCTCACCCATGCCCTGCCAAAGATCTGTCTCGATGACCCCTGGAGCGACACAGTTGACGCGGATGGGCGCCAGATCGAAAGCCAACTGTCGTGCTAGACCATTCAGCCCGGCCCCAATGAGTGCTAGCATGGACCATCCTCCAGCGATTGGCTTTTCAGATATAGAACCGCCGGTCAAGACGACGGAAGAGTGCCGATCCTTCTTCATGTACCGTGTTCCGATTTTGACAACCAGGATCGCAGCAATGGTTCGAACTTGGTTACACTTTTGCCACTTCTCCAGCGTAACCTCGTCGAGCGGAATCATGGGCAGTCGATCTCCAGCCATGTACACAATATGGTCAACATTGCCGACCTCCTCGAACAGAGCCTCGATATTGGCCTCGACGTTGGGGCTGGCTAGGTCACAGGCGAATCCGTAGATGCGGTCTTTGGCGTCTGGGTAGTCCCTGACAAGCTGGGCGCATACGTCCTTGACCTTGGAGGCTCGGGATGAAGAGAGGATGATTGTTGCTCCAAATTCGACCAGGGCCTGCGCAACGCTGATTCCGACACCGCCAGTGCCTCCGACCAGAAGAACACGTTGGCCCGCAAGCTTGTTCGTGAATCGTGCAGGAGACATGTCTATGGTAGGGTGTTATTGGGCTTCGAATGGGAATGCTGAAAATCCGGGAAGATGTCGAAAGACACTTGCTCTTGTATTCACAGCGGTGGTTAGGCAGGTGCTACTCTGCTGGAGGGAGAAGGCTCGATGAACGCTTCGAGTGTTTTATTTCTTTTGACATCTTCAGGTTGTCGCTTGATACTCGGTATCTTCTGTCTGCCATGTCTCCTATCTCCGCCATCTCCTCTTACCTTGACAGTCGGTGGGTACCTAGTTACAATTACCTCCATGGCAGGCCACGCATGCGCTGGTTGTTGAGGGGATTCAATGCGCATCGAGCTCGATCTCGTGGAATGGGCTTACCATCTGCTCCTCCTCTTTTCCTGGGTACGTCAAAAATGATTGGGTTGCCGAGTATGATCTTGCAAAAGATTGAAGATTGAAGATTGAAAAAGCAACAGAATAACGCAAGTTCCGCATTGGGGAAATGCGAATACGCCTCAAGCGACGTCATTGGCGTCGGTGGGCTCTTATTTTTTCTATTTCCTTTTGTACCTAGTACTCTCCTCTCTGTCGGACATGCACACGGCAGTACGATTGACGAGCTTTCCAGAGCGTCGCCAAATGATGCTTAACGCCGACGATGATTGATTCTGGCACTTGTCCGTGTGGTTCATAGGTACTCAAAGCATCTTCAGAAGCCTGTCCGCCATGTGCCATTCATCACGCCATAATTTGCAATGCCTGTTATCGCCAGTGACCCCTACTGAAGGATTGGCTCATCGCGTGCATTTTCAGAATGGTGAGACCATCGTACCCACTCACAAGGGAGATGCTGATGTATCAAACCTTCTCCGGTGAGGCCTCAAGACCTCGCTTCACACGAATTCCCGAGCACAAGGGCAATTCTCGGTATCTCACCGACAAGCGTACCCGATTGACACAAATAGAAGCAGGTAGATGCAGCATCGTGTTTTTCATTGTCTCAGGCAATGTCCGCTTTAAACACCAACGCAACGCCGTCGTCGCCGGCGGTAACAATTCTGTTTCCACCCCCACCTTGTACAAACCCCAATACACCACCTCCTTCTCCCTCCCCTCTATGTCCCTTCCACTCCTGAACGAACCCTTGCCCTGCAGCCGTTGTCCCTCCCCTCACATCCCATCTCCTGACCACTCCGTCCATGCCCGCAGAGGTCAAGAGCCAGCCGCCCTTTTGTGGATTCCTGACGAATTCGACTTTGACCACCGCGTATTCTTCATGTGCTTCTTTGATATGTCTCCGCACTGCGAAGCGATGGGCTGTGTCGAACAGGGCAATTGAGCCATCGACGCTTCCTGCGGCAAGAATGTTGAGGGGTGGAGAAGAGAAAGAAAGTGTCTCGACGCCGTCAGATTGGGCTTGTAGGGAGGCCAGGATCTGCCCTGCCGAAGAGGCCTGCTGTTGTCTCCCGCCGCCCTTGGTGCCGCCGCTCTTCTTTGCCTGATCCGCCGCTTGTGGCAGGCCCACAACTTTGATGTTCCCACCCGCACCACCCACGGCAACCATCGACGGAGTGCATGCGACGCTGTAAAGACCGCCTTCAACTTCAAAGCGTTGGTCTGCGGCGGTAAACGAGATGACGGCTTGACCTGCAGAGAAGACGTCACAAACATAGAGGCTGCCATCTTCCGAGACTGTCGCGAGGAGCGAACCGTCTGGCGTCCACGCTCCGGCGGTGCATGATGCAGTGTGGAGGTAGAACGCCTGCACAATTGTGAGGGGACTGGCTTTATCGTCGGCGTTGATCTGATAGACCCAAACCGATCCATCATTGGCGCCGAGGGCTACTACGTTCTCCTGGTCTTTGTTCGGAGATGGCGCTAGCCAGTTAATCTCTTCCACTTCAGCAGTCTCGGCCACGAATGTCCATTCTCTTGAGCCCGAGGCTTCTGATGACCTCCATGCGCGTAGTTTCCCGTCAAGTCCCGCTGTTAACACGTATTCACCACGGGGGTATGTGAAGGCTACTGCATTGACCGAGTCGGTATGCCCGTCCAGCTTTTGGAGGGGTTGAACGCTTTTTCTCTCGCCCTGAGGCGCGTTGGTGTTTTGAGTTGTGGTAGGTATCGATGCGTCAAAAAGGTATGCGACGTCGTCGCCGCCGCCTGTGATCACGATAGCTGGATTGGTGGGGTGTTGCGCTATACAGAATATGCTGTCTGTGTGGTGGTCGAAATGCGCGGCAGAGTCGTTTTGCAGTTGAATTTCTTGTTCGTCGCCTTCTATGTCCTCGTCATCTTCGTCATCCATTGGGTGGTCATGGTCGTCGTCTACTATTTCTTCGGCTGCTTCATCTGCGTCCAGCAAGTCGTCGTCCTCCGGTTCTGAGTTCTCGGGCGGCCGAGGGACCGGTTGAGGGTGGGACATGCTGGGCGGACAGACGAGGGTTGCTTTGGGGGTAGTGTATATGCTAACAGAGCTCAGCAAGAAGGAGGAGGGGAGCGAAAGAAGAGTTCGAACGGAGCAAGAGCAGAATATTATGAGGGATCAATGCGACGCCCCCCGCTTAGAAATGCGTTCCTTGTGGTGTTTACCCGCACGAAAAAAAGACTTGGGTTCGCGAAGTTTGGAGATGGCCGGCTCTTGCGTCATTGGCTACCTAGAGCACTCAGCCTTGCGACTGAGGCTTCAGCCTCGTGGCCCCTGATATTCATACCAAGGTAATTAATAAGCGACTCAGTCGATTTCGAGGAATCACAGAGTACGCTGCAATCTTGAGGCAAGTGAACTGCTTGTTACGAGGCAGGCGTCGTCATGATTAAGAGGAGGTTCAACTACAGAGTGCTGGCCATATCATGGTCATGGATTCTCGGCCAAGTGGTTCGCAGCACTCACACAGCCAATTTTCCCCTGGGCGGAATATACCATCCGGCAAAATTGGGCCTCTTTTTGGGTTCTCACTATTGTGGTGTTGTGTTTGGAAAGATACTACCTAAATCCTCCTTTGGTACCAGGGGGGATATGAATCTGAGATCGGCACCAGTCACTGGAAGGGCCATGCTCATAAGCTGTGGGACGGACCGCACCCCTTGATCGCTTTTCAGGGATGGAAGGCAACTTTTTCCAGTCGGGACAGCTTCATGATGTTCACTGCCAGCTCTCAAGACAGATGCAGCCTCTGCCATTCCGTCGGCGATCAATCGAATAAGATGTCGCCTCATGATCTCCTGTTTCTGCGACCCTCTGGATCTCCGAGGTTTTATCCTTCTACCAGATTGTGGAGGCAAGTTCTGAAACACTTCTCCGTCTCCGTAGCGGCGGAGAGGCTCAAAAAGTGGCTGATCTGGCTGGCGACCAGGGAAGACAAAGAACACCATGATATCCCAGCTACAACGCATCTCATTCGCCATTTGGGCTCGATGGTAGGCACGCTGTGGAACGCAGAGGCCGGACTTGTTACTAGGAAAAGCAAAAGCAAGTAACCATGCAGGTGGCACGCGGCTGGGGCTTGATGGCGTTGGATCAAATGCAATTGAACACAGTCATTCGGCGAATTTGCAACTCCTGAGCGTGTTTCAGATACATCCGAAAAGCCACCCATGGTGACCCTGGGGCCAAATCTCCCAAGCTCCAAGTGAAGATCGCACCTAGCTAGGCGACCCTAAACCCTGGTTGTTTAACTGGAATCCTTACCGCAGAAGGACCAATCTAGGCTGCTGATGCCCAGCCGAGGGGGCCACGGATAGCTTTGTCTCCCCCAATCGCCCTCCTCCTTCTTCCTCTGGGTGCTTCTTCTCCCCCCATTATTTGTTCGCCTCCGACGACACCCTCTTTCTTCCATCTCTTCCACCCATTCGACCCTTTCTAGCCGCCCACTGTTACAGTGAAGAGTTGGCTGCCCATTGGGCCAATCCAGGCCAATCCAATTGCCCTCTTCCTGGTTTGCAGGTTTCAGCCTGATCCCGAATCGACTCCATTGCTGTCTGCCTCTCGTTCGTTCGCTCGCTCGTCCATTCGATCCCACCCAATACGAGGTACCTGAGAGGCCATCGCTGGTCGCCCTATTCCTGCCGGGCTACCTCCCGTCACCTACCCTTGTCTTCAACGTTACTCCCCAGGCCAATTCTTGTTCTCCAGCTCGAAGCACCACGACTTTAGACGTCGTATAGAATCCTGCTGTACAATGCCATTGTCTGTTCACTGATACTCGCGTCAAAGTACCTTCTTTGACCGGACAGCGCCGCCAAAATATCACCGGTCAAGGAGTGTGGATCAAACTGCGCTCACCAACACACGAACCCCGGGCCAAGACTCAATACAGGAGTATCTCAAACGGATTCACTGAAACTTCCAAAGACGGTTTCCGACTTCTACTCGTCTGCTACACGTCGGCATCCTGAGATTCGCGGAGCCGCACGTATGCTGTCGCTGTCTGCGCCTGCTCAGCCGACTACCGCACCCCGCTGAATTCTAGCTCTGCTACAATATCAACCTCTTGTCTTGCGTCTCCCGCCCAAGACCAAAACCAGACGTGTAACAGAGGTCCTTCAGACGCCGTCCCGACAATGGCTTCAGGACCCGAAAATGGGTAAGTGGCACAGCGACCGAACTGCAAAACCTCTGCCGCACATTTGTGGTCATGCCACTGACTCTTTCCCAGTTTCTACTCCTCGGGCCAGTTTATGAATCCAGGTCCTGCTCCTCGCCCTCCCACCGATCGCCCTCGACATCTGGAGTTACAGCGCTCAAACACCTCGATACCGACAAGCACCTTCGAGTCCATGTCTATAGGCGGCCCCGCCTCTCCGGCCGTCAGTACTCCAAGTGCCCCTTACTTCTCTAATGGCAGTTCTCTGTCCCTATCAACAAACGGAAAACCCTCGGGTCCGGTCACTATCATCAAGGAAGGCCATGTGCGCTGCAAAGAAGACAAATTTCTCGCTCAATGGAACCAACGATACCTGATTCTCCGCGAGTTCAGACTGGATTTCTTGAAGAGTGAGAACGGGAAGCTCATGCAGTCCATTCAACTGAATACTGTGACGGGGGTGACTCGTTCTGAGGAAACCCGGATGGCCTTTGAAATCACCCGCGTTGCGAATCCCAAAGATGCCGGCGGCAAAATCGTCATGGCTCGTGATCTGCCGACCCGGACCATCACCTGTGAAGTCCGCAACGACGACGAAATCTACGACTGGATTGACAAAATATACGAGCGGTGCCCAGGCATGGGGGGCGTCAGTAATCCCACAAACTTCAGCCATCGTATCCACGTTGGCTTTGACCCTCAGACAGGCGGCTTTGTCGGATTACCGCAGGAGTGGGAGAAACTGTTGAATAATTCTGCCATTACAAGAGACGACTACAAGAAGAATCCCCAGGCCGTCATCGAAGTTTTACAGTTTGTTTCAGACCAGAAAATGCGTGAGCAGCATCCCGAGATGTATACCCCCGGTATGGTCACCCCGCCGGCCACCCAGCCAAATAAACAACTTGGATTCCCAACAGGCGGCAATAGTGTTGCACCTCCAAGGCCAGCGCCACCCACAGATGCACAGCGGTATAATGCTAATCAATTCATCAACAAATATCAGGAAGGCCCTGCCCGAATAGGGACCCCCCCAGCAAAACCACCCTTGCAGCGGGCGCAAACAGACAAAGGTGCATACGACATGGAGGCTGATGCCGCCCGGATTAAAGCAATCGCCAATGAAGAACAAAAGCGTCGTCAGATGGAAGCGGAAGCGAAGCGGGCGAGAGAGGTCGAAAGACAGAGGGAACAGGAGCGAGAGGATATTGAGCGCAGCCGCAAAGAGCAAGAAGCCTATAATGCTTCATTACCAAAGTCACGTCCGCCGTTAGCTCAGCAGGAGATCGGAGGATACGGGAGTGGCTCTGATCGTGCGCCCAACCGGCAAGATCCTAGATATAATCCCGCGAGAGCCGCGCCAAGTGCTCCCCAGCAATCGTCCTCAGGGTCAGCAAGGCAAACTCCCACAGCGCAAAGACCCGCCCCTTCTGCTCCGAGCAGCAATTCCCAAAAATCCGTTCCCCAGTCACTTGCCTCCAGCCAGAGTTCATTACGATCACCAGAGAGCAGAGAGCGTGATCGCCAGCCTTCACCAAATGCCAGATATCCTCCGAGCGAGGTGTCCCGGAAGGACTCTCCTCCCAAAACACAGGCCAACGGCGTGAATGGACAGTCTGTGAGTCGATCACAAGGATCTGTACAGCATCCCAAGCCTCTCAATGTCGCCAAACAGCCGCAAGCGAAACCTGCAGTTGACCCACGCAAAGAAGCCGAAATTGCACTAACGGCGAAGAAGCCAGTCGAAGAGCGGGCCAAGGAAGTTCGGATGTCGAGTATGAGCGAAAGCGAAGTCATGGCCAAGCTCAAACAGGTGGTGTCCAAAGATAATCCTTTGGAGTCATACAGCAAGCAAAAGAAGATTGGTCAGGGCGCTTCCGGCTCAGTCTATGTTGCCCGTGTCAAGGAAAGCGCAACATCAGCTGTCGCACGTGAACTATACCGAACACATGGTCCGAAGGGCCAAGTCGCCATCAAGCAGATGGATCTTCGCAACCAGCCGCGAAAGGAGTTGATCGTCAACGAGATCATCGTCATGAAAGACTCCAAACACCCCAACATCGTCAACTTCCTCGACTCTTTCCTCCAAGAACAGAACAATGAGCTGTGGGTGGTGATGGAGTTTATGGAGGGTGGTGCGCTTACGGATATCATCGACAATAACCCTGTGATCACCGAGGATCAGATTTCCACAATCTGCTACGAAACCTGCAAAGGGCTCGCCCATTTGCATTCTCAAGATATCATCCACCGAGACATCAAGAGTGACAATGTGCTGCTCGACCGAGTGGGCAACGTCAAGATCAGTAAGTGACCCCGTCCCCTGACCGAAAGCGATGATGTTGCTGACCCAGACTGCATAGCCGATTTTGGGTTTTGTGCAAAGCTCACGGAATCAAAGAGCAAACGCGCGACAATGGTCGGCACACCCTACTGGATGGCCCCCGAAGTCGTGAAGCAAAAAGAGTACGGCCCCAAGGTTGACATTTGGTCTCTCGGTATTATGGCTATTGAGATGATTGAGTCGGAGCCGCCGTATCTAAACGAAGAACCGCTCAAGGCCTTGTTCTTGATTGCGACAAACGGCACACCACGCTTGAAGAACCCCAACAAACTGTCACGGGAGCTGAAGGCGTTCCTCAGTGTCTGCCTCTGCGTCGACGTCAGGAGCCGCGCTAGCGCCGACGAATTGCTGCGGAACGACTTTATGCGCATGGGTTGCAGTTTGGCGAGTCTGAGCGAACTTTTGAAATGGCGAGAAAAGGGTCGGCAATGATCGACTCTCGCCGCAATTTCAGGCCAGGGTAACATGGAACATTACTGGCTGACGGACGAATTTAATGGCCATTGGGAAAGGATCATACAGGCGTCGACGTTCAATTCACTCCACACGCATCTTGGATACTGTGCTGAAGTTTATTTGGAGCTGCAGTTATGGAAAGTCTAGACCGACGAGAACAACACGCCCGCGGCTTGCAAGCAAGCGGACAATCACCGAGGCGAGGAGTTTGATTGTGTGTTTCTTATCAAGACCCAGAGACGCCTGAAGAGAGAAGAGACTACGATGATGGTTATTTCACGGTTGATGACTGAATGGGAAACGGATCTTGCGTTAAATGCTTGTCAGTTCACAGGGAGCATCTTACCCCTTCAACTGCTTTGCACAACAATATGCCTGGGTATGAAGGAGGGATGTTGAGGCATCATGCAAAGCTCGTACGTGGCCGCAAGCCGCTGGATACATGGACACAGTCTGCACGAGTCTTGGGCACCGGCTTGGTTTCGGCCATGGTTCCACTCAAGGGCGGACGAGGCGCTGGCAGGAGATGGATTGCCACGTCAGGCCAATGCCGCGACCGCGAAGAGAAGAAGGCGAAGGTCTGCGCTATACACATTGAACACGGAGCGAGGGGAAGAGAGAAGATAGGCACAGAGCGAGAGAGGCGCTTCCGCCAAAAAAAAGGGGGGAGAATCAAATCCAGATTTCTGAAAGCTTTATTACCCCGTAACACTCTGACCTTGTCTGTCCAGCCCAAGCCCATCGGTAGTCGGCAGCGGCCTGGGCCGACCGATAGATGATGACAAAAGGGCCCCTTGGGCTTACGAGGTTCTCGTACAAGTGGCACAAGGCAATCCATGCCCCTTTTTGCTTCAGGCCCCATTGAGCTGTTGAGCTGCCACTGGGAACACGACACGACACGACCCGAACGACGGAGTCTTAGAGAGGACGCCAGGCCACTACAAATGCCCGAAATAATGATAATGGGCCCCCTGTCCAGCTCCTGTAGTACCGGAGTACGAGAAGAGGAAATAGAGCAAACTCGTGGGTATCAAGTAGCGGAGTAACTAAAATCCAACAGGGACCCGGGCAAAGCTCGTATTCATGTTTCCACATCTGGCGGTACCGAATAGTTATTAGTAGTACAATGTAGATAACCGGAGATTCTCCATCCCGCAAAGATACTAGTTGTCAATGCGCCAAACCTGGCCCTGCAACCTCCCTGCATACCGAGTACTTGTACTTGCATATCTCATCCGGTTCGCAGTTCTCCGAGTCGGTCCAGTAATCCACGTCCAATACAATATCGTTGCCTGTGGTCGATACTTAGACTATTACGTCAAGACTCAGGATGATACTCGTACCCCAATCCTTTTGATTGATATTATCAATCATACCAGCAGCTGCTTCGACCTGGACCATCACTCAACCCCGAACCCCTCTCAATACCACAGACAGGGTCCAGATGCGGTAGGGAGAGATCTCTTCCTCAATCTGTCCGGCCGACAATCCTCCTCCTCGACTCTCGCGCCGAAGGGAACATCTCTCTCCACACGAATCTCCCTGCGTTAGCCACGATGCTGGACCATGAAGATGCCTTCGCGGAGGAGGCGCAAGAGGAGGTCAGACTGGCCGAGGAAAGCCATACCGAGTCTACCACAAACGCGAGGTTTCACATCAGCGACAGCCAAGATGACGAGGAGGACGAGATGAGCCCGTTGGTGAGCCCTGACCAGCGTCGAAATAAACCCACCGCATATGCAAGAGCTCGCCCGAGTTTTGAAAGGGCCATCAATGAACCTTGGAATGGCGCTCACGGTTCAAGCGATCTCCCCTGGTACAAGACACCTTCAGTAAGTCTGCCAATGCTGTGGGTGGAAAACTGTCGCTGAACTCGTCACAGATATTTTGGCTTCTTCCTGCCTTCTTCCCCTTCTGTATCGCGTTTGGCGGAATCATTGTTCCCAAGACATACCTCATCCTCGACCTGATCTGCAAGGACTATCTCTCGGAGCAAGCATCAAAGAACCCCAACTTCAGGTTTCTCCCTGTTGTCCTAGGAGAGGAGAATCCGCAGTGCAGAGATCCACATGTGCAAGCCCGGGTTGCAAACTTCAATCTCTACATCAATCTTCTCAGTGGGGTCTTTTCCGCTCTGATATCCCCCCATCTAGGGTCGCTTTCAGACCGGGTCGGCCGGAAGAAAGTCATGGTCTCCGCCTCTCTCGGCGCGCTTGTCGCCGAAATCATCACTATCATTGTTGGGCAGACGAACGGCCGGATTTCTGTCTACTGGCTGCTTCTTGGAGGCCTAGTGGATGGCCTCTGTGGCTCTTTCACCACCGCTTTGGCTTTGGCTTTTGCGTATGCGTCCGATTGCTCGCCCCCCGAACGTCGAGCAGTCGCTTTTGGTTATTTCCACGGGACTCTTTTTGCTGGCATTGCGTTGGGCCCAATCGTGTCGGGTTATCTGATTAAAGTGACAGGGACAGTCATGATTGCATTCTACCTTGCTCTTGCGTGCAACGCGTTTTTCATCGTCTTCACCCTATTTGCTGTGCCAGAGTCTCTGTCTAAGGAGCGACAACTGCTGGCAAGGGAGAAGAGACAGTTCGCTCAGGCGGAGCTACCGGACAGTGACTGGATTACGACCATCAAAAACTACAACCTCTTCGAACCACTCTGGGTTCTCAGGCCGAGAGGCGAAGGCTCGAGCTCCGCGTTGAGGAAAAACCTATTCGTGCTCGCGGCTATCGACACGATGATGTTTGGCGTGGCGATGGGAACCGTGCAGATCATGATCATATATGCAGAATACCGCTTCGGCTGGACCGCCGTCAATTCCAGCATGTACCTCTCCGCGGTCAATATCTGCCGCGTGTTGGGTTTGGTCCTCATCCTGCCGTTGCTCACCAGGTTCTTCCGGGGCCCTGCCAAAGCACACTCCAAAGGGCACAAGGGTTCGGATATGCTCGACATTTGGATCATCCGTGGTGCCATCATTTTCGACCTTGTCGGCTACATTGGTTACGCTTTCACTCCGAATGGTGCCATCATGGTTCTCTCCGGCATGATCGCCTCTCTCGGTGGGATCGGCTCGCCAACCCTGCAGTCCTCTCTCACGAAACACATCCCCGCAGATCGAACGGGCCAAGTGCTTGGTGCATCGGGTCTTCTGCACGCACTGGCACGTGTGGTGGCACCGACGGTCTTCAACCTGATTTACAGCCAGACGGTGGGCATCTACGCCGGGATTGTGTTTATTTGCCTGGCTTCGATTTTTGTCATTGTTTTTATCCTCAGTTGGTTCTTGAGGCCGAATGGTATGTTCCCGTCCTCCTTCTCCCTCTTCCCTCTTGATTCTGTGATTAGGTAGGGGATTGCTAACACGATCTACATAGTCTATCTTGCGGAACCATCCGCCGTCCATCTAGATCAAACGGAGGATGATGAGGACCATCTTGAATGATTCGATTGAATTGCATGTATTAGCCATGTATTATCTATTCGATTTTGCGATATATATTGTACCGAGTACACGATAGGAATATAGATTGCAGGCGATCTGTTCGCGTTGGATAGCGAAACCCACCACCACCTTTGGGTGCCTTTTTTTCCCGCACAGCACTTGGAATCCAATCAATTTCGCCCCGTATCTGTATTTTTCTCTCTAGCATGAATTCTGTGTGCTGATATATCTATTGTATGGTATGTACCGCGACTGGGGCAAACACCAGAAGGGGAATGTTACTTTTTGTTTTAACGCTGCACTCACTATTACGTCTTTCCTCAGAGGTTCATTCCGTCTGCGGTCGCTAGATACCCCGTTCTCGGGCAGGGGGTAGACGGTAATAGACCACGCCTTTTGGCTGTGAGATAGAGAAGGAGGGCTGTTTTCCCCCAGTTTTGGCTGGCGTCTTTTTCTTTATTATTGTAAGCGTGGAGGGCATGTATATTCTAAATATGTATGGAGAAGTATGCATTGTGTATATACAAGTCATTCTCTTTCTCTCTCCTTGGCAATAGAAAGGGCGGTTAGGCCTTCAACTCGCGACTCATCATGTGCGACAGACCCAGCGGCTCGATCAGCGCGCCTCCCTTGTCCAGCCCGACGTTCCACTCCCAGACAGTCACGCCGAGCAACATGAAGGCCGCGATGCCCAAGAACAGGTCGGCGTCGATGTTGTGGGCGGCGGGCACGCACGGAATCACAATGATGTACACGATGCGGCCCGCGAGGCGGATGTAGCGATTGTTGATCTTGAGCGTGGCGGGTTCGTCGAGGGATTTGTCGAGGAGAGCCAGGGCGGTCATGCTGAGCATGATCACGCCCAGCGAGGTGGCGCATGTCCACACGGCCCGGTACAGATAGAGCGGGAGGTCGTCCTGGGGGATCTTTTCTGCGGATGCTTGGCCCGTCAGGGAGTTGTAGGGCGCGTCGGGCTGGTGGCGGATGATGAACATGACGCTGGAGGCAAAGGTCAAGATGGACGAGAAGAGCGGGATGTGCCAAAACACCCACATCAAGGTCTTCTGGCCCCTTTTGGTGGCCGCGGGCACGAACTTCCGGCTCCCGTCGCGGTTGAAGTAGAGGAAGGAGAATTCGTAGTAGATCATCAGGATCCAGATCATCACGCCCGTGCTGCCGTTGAGGCCGAGACCCAGGGGCCCGTCCTTGACGAGTTGCAGGACACCCTCTCCCAAGATGATGATGAAGAAGTTGGACATGCGCGACTGGAAGTGGTGCACGTCCAGCGCTTTCTTGACCTCGATCGGCGTGAGTCTCGCGGTCACTTGGGAGTCCATGATGATGGGACAGAGATACTCCCACACGATCGCACCGCAGACGGGGCCTATGGCACGGGCGCCCGGTAGCTGAATAGCGGTGACCCAGAGAGCGATCGAAGGTAGTCGAAGGATTGTTTGGAAAAAGACCAATTTCCGCAGCCATTTGATGAAGATCGAATACGCCAGTTCAATGAGCCAGAAGGCGCCGAAGATGACGAGATATGTCGAAATGACCCACTGCTTGACCTCGTCGATATCTTTGGTCAGATAGGCCAGTTGATTGCCGTAGAAGACTGAGAGCAGCAGAATCCACAGCGTGAAAGCCCGCTGCACCATGTCGTCCATGTAGTAGTTGTTCAGAAACTCGCGCATGGCGTCCCAGATGCGCCACGAGGGCAAGAAGACCAGGGTAAAGACGAGCTAGACGTTCCAGGATCAGCATTGGTGATGTTATTTATGACCGTTTGCGTAATATCGGGCCACTGTTTCTTACAATTGCAATCCCTAGGTTTGGGTCTTCGGCCCTGAAACCTAACGACGAGAAGACTTCTGAAAGATTGCCGATGATGCCAACCCAGATCAGGTCGATGAAGAGATCGAGTCTTTCTCTCTCCTTGGCGATATCTTCGGGAAGGTGGCTGGAAATGCTCGACCGGCTGTTTGTCTCATGAAGCCCGCGTTCGTCCCCGGCATGGATGACCTGTGATCGATACGAGAACTGAAGGGCCCGTGGTCGACGGATAGTGTATCGGTGTCTTGCACGTATCTCTGCCTGAAGTCAAAAATGTCAACCACTGGCTTCTAATGTGCGCATATGATTCTTCAAGAGGAGAAGAACCACCACTCACATGGTGATGCGTGTGCTCATGACTAGCATGAGAGTCGACATGCACGTTCAATGACAAGCCATGCTTGTTATCCGAAGGAGGAGATGCATCTTGGATTGTAAGCTTGTCCCTGCTGCCATCCTGCTCTGCGTCGGGTATTGAGGCTGGACGAATCTGTTCGGGCAGACTGGCGCTGTCCATTGCCACATTCAGAGATTCTAGTCTCTACCGTGGTATGTGTGAGGGCCGACGGCGTCCTCGAGGAGGCCTGGGCAGCTGGAAGGGTTGGGCGATCCAATTTCGACATTGCAAGGACTACCTACCTATATAGTGCCATTGCACCAAACCCCGAGAGAGAAACTTGGAGTAGGGCGTCCCGTGTATGCAAGGGTGCGTGGTGCGGCTCTCCTAAGTGGTGGGCGTTTCAAAAGATGTGCGTTGAGGCCGTGAGGCCCAAGAGGCCTTATCACCGGTTGATCACCAACTGGAGATCAGGCCCGTCCGTCTCCCGTCGAGCCGTGTCTGCAGCGAGTCTTGGACTCTTGGCAGATTCAGGTTCATTCTCCGCAGGTGGAGACGTCGAGGCGTCGAGGGCGTGAACTTCGAATCGCATGATACAAGCATCTTTGTACCTACATTGCCTGCAAGTGGTCAATGCCAGTTGACGCTGCACATCCCCGATCCCAGACCATGTCACCGTCTTGACAAAAGCTCCCTCAATGACCGCCTCAGCACCGCTGGTTCCGTCTAGGCCTCCAGCGCACGAGCCCCGGGGTACAACCACATGATGAATCCTCGAGTACCTCCAGCTGCTCAATCGTCCATCGTTCCCTCCAAGAATGCTTTGCGAGCTCTGCGTCGCTTGGCCCTATCGTCTCCCGTCCTCGTGGCTAGCACTCTTGGTGGCGTCTGCGGTATTGTGACCCTCAACTATGAAGTCAACCGGCGAGTCCGCCTGGCGGAACAAGCCCTGGAATCCAAGAAAATCATACGGGCGTTGTCCCATGGAAGAGGCGCCAATCAACTCAATGCAATGATCGGGGCTGCAGAAAGAGGTGAAGATTTCACACTGAGCACGAGGAGTACCAAGAGGAAGAGGAAGACTTCAACGAGGGATTTCTCCGCTGTCGCTCTTCAGGAACAATCGGAGCATACGCACGACATGACGACCGAGAACCTTCGCGCAGACGCCGAACTTGAAAATGTACCCTTCATCCCCCTGAGACCCACGCATCCGCATCGTGCGCACGGAATGGCTGTTGACAAGATCTCGAAGGCCACCGAGTTTCCACACAGACTACCGAATTTCAGAACCACTACACATCCCAGACAGCAGCACAAGTCAGAATTCGACAGAGGCAAAGATGAGCTTCATAATTTGTTCAGTGAAAACTCTGACGGGTCGGCAGAGAGGCACTCAGATTTCACAAAACCGAAGGAGCTTTGGCGCAAAATTACGCCCCAGAAGGGACAAAAAAGAGGTTCAGACTTGCTCGTGAGAAGAACCGCTGTGATAGATCCCCGGCAAGCGCAGGAAACCCCAGTCCGAGGTGAAAGCGATCCCCTTCCTTCTACAACCTACTTCCCAATACCGCAAAACAATCTCTACACGAAGGATCGTCATAGCCCACCATCTCTGTCCGAAAACGAAGGCAATGCAAAATCACTATCCATTGATCGCTTTCTCGACCAAAAAAATTCCACTCCATCACCAGAACATGAGAACCAAGGCGCCGACGGCCCGATGCGTGGAGCATTCTTCGTTCATGGGGATCGAGTAGCGTCTTTGGTTGCTTACCTCGATGACGAAGCCGTAGATGAGGCTCTGAGAGACTTCCTCAACCAAATCCCACAGCTCTCCTGGGACCCAGTTGCGGTGGAATCCTTGCTGCCATCAGCACCGCAAGATTTCGTCAATCACGCCATAAACGTCCTGGACCCAAAGACCCTCTTCAGCCTATATCGATTTATCTGGCGCCGAAATAAGACCCCGAAGTCGAGGCGAGAGAAACGGTACCGGTGCTGGCTTGCTGTCATGAGGCATTATACAAGCCAACCCAGTGCTCTGAACTGGACCATCGCAGAGGCTGTGTTCCACTTGTATTTCGAACATCAGAGGCCGTTCGACTCCAAAGGCCTCAATGTCCGGCCGGTCTTCGATCTTGTCCAGCATCTTTTGGCGACAGAGTCAACTCCCAGCAGAGTTCAAAACATCCTTTTCCCCCCTTTGCTGCAGGATTCTGTGGATCCAGCGGAAGTTTTTCAGTTATCGGTCAAGTATTTGAACTTTTTCTGCGAAGATCAGCACACTATTCCCGAATGTCTTGAAGAGACGAGAAAGATCGTCAGTATCGCCAGACGTTGCTCGCTCACCCCTTCTCAGGACATTATTGTACCTGTCCTCAAAGCACTGGTTCGTTCGAAGGACTTTGAGGACGCCGAGATTATCCTCGATCAACTTGGAGCGATGTTCGAGAATATTGATTCTCTTGCTCTTTTGAGCGAATATGCATTTCAGCATGCCTGCGAGGGTAATTGGGCCGTGGTCGAGTCTACTTTGGACAAGATTCACATGGTCAACAGGTCGAGGGACCGGCCTGTGAGCTTTGCCCGCCTGTTTCAAAGACTTTTGATGCAGCACACGGCGCAGAACCCCTCTGTCCAATCCTTTGGCTTCACGGTCCATGCCATAAAGTACGCCGGGCTGATACCCACAGGGGTTATATCAAGGACGCTTATCTGCGCCTGCATTCGAGATCGCCGTCACGACCTGGTTGCCGAATGGACTCGTCTGGTCAGGGAGGCATTTCCCAGGGTGAGCTTCGGGTTTGATCTTCTTCAAGGGGGATGGATCCTCGCAGATACCCTCATGGAGGTTGGTGCCAGCTGCGAGGAAGTTGCCAAAGTCTGTCTGGCAATTGCTCATGGGTGCCGGAAAAATCCATTTGGTCCAAGCTTCAGGGAGTTTGCTGTCGGGCTCATCAAAACAGATATGGTCCAGAGGTTATGTGCAACCTCTGCTCAACTATCGGCACCAAGGGGTGATATCTCCGAGATGAGCCTGGAAAAGCTGCTCATGCTTGCTATCGATATTCGCAAGTCGTCAACGACCTCACGGGCAAACGATGTGCACGTCGAGGGGTTAAAGAGTGATATTGCAATCCAGATGTCTGCAATCATAGATCTGGCCAAAATATTCCGAGGCGACATGAAGCTATTATTTTCGGGCAACAAAGGCCAGACCGAGATTGTTTCCAAGCGCCGTCGCGATGGTGATTCAAGCCGGTGGTTTCGCGGAATGGGCGTCTTGAAGCGGACTTTCCCAGAACTCTTCGAACAAGACCGGTCCAGCGGGGCTAGAAGATTGACAGCCGCCGTGGTGGAATACTATGATCGCCGTGAGAAGAGAGGTCTTCCCGTGGACCACGCAGTGCTGAGACAAGTCATCACCCATGTCGGTCCGCAACACCCAGCAGAGACCCTTGAGCTGGTTGAGGCCATCTACGCGAGCGGGTACGTCCAACGGCCCGAGGGAACACCTTTCGACACGGATCTTTTCAAACAATGGCTCCTCCTGGTATCGACCAACGGAACCGTCACGTCCGCTGCAGCGGCGCTGAGGGCGGTGGTCGAATCCAGGGATCACGTGGAGTGGACTGCGCATTTCCGCAATCTGTGTGAGTGGGTGACCCAGGTGGAGAGCTACCCTAATGGCAGCTACTGGGCCGAGAAGCAATATCCCAAGAAACCCCAAGGCGGAGAATTAAGACCGTTGTTCGAGAGGATCTGGGAGATCTGGATGGAGGTATATAAGCAAAGGAAGGAGACTTCCCCGGAGACTTTCAAGTTTCCCGAGTGGAGTGGCTGGGAGACGTAATTCTGTAGCCGTTGAAACAGAAACTGATAATACATAGTCAGCATGTACGAATGTCGCATAGGTAGTTTGTGTAAAGAGTATGCTACTGTCGTACACCTTCTCCTGTGTTACACTTGCAATATCTATTTGTACAGCGGGCGTGTGGCGGAGTTTGCGGCCGCATTTGTCCGACTATCATTCTACAGGTGAATACATCATACAGCACTCATCTCTACCTGCGGATCCATACCTAGGTAGGTATATATATCCAATTCTCCGATAGAACAAGGTCCTTTTCACTAATATCTTCTCGCTCTTCCTTCCCTTTATTCATCTCTCGCCCGAGAAAACATCCAACTACATACATTCATTCCTTCCCCCAACCTACCTACCTACCTCCCCAGTCCGTAAGAGGTTCCCCCTCAGCCGTTGTCGAAATCATGGCACAGGCAAGAGAAGAACAGCACCGGCAGGCTTCTTCATCGGAGCCAGAGGGGGGATTGCCCGCACAGACCTTACAAGGCAAAGTCGCGATCGTCACGGGCTCGAGTCGCGGGCTCGGCGCGGATATGGCTCTGGATCTGGCGCGGAGGGGCGCAAAGGTTAGTTCAGTGCAGTACCTCGTACTTTCTTTGGTGTCGTCTGAGGCGAGGAAGAGGCGAGGAGAGTCCATGTCGGTGGGTCCCTGAAGGTACCCAGGCTACCTAGGTGATGTATGGCGCAGCGCCGGCTTGGGGCTGGCATGGATGTATACTGTCCCCTCGTGGTCCGAGGATACCTGGGGATGTGGGAAAGGAGACGGGAAGTCGACTTTTCTGGACCATGTCCGAGGTTCATCCTCGCGTTGGCTGTTAGGGGGAAATAAAGAGAATTGGGCGAAAGGGATGGAGGTCTTGTATACTACTTACTATCCCTGTCCCATCGTCGGCCTCTGTTACTGCTTCGCATTGGGAACCATAACCCCAGACCCTCCCTCCTCCCCATGTTCAACAGTGTCATACCAAACCAGTTATCCTCCCGTCCACGTCCAGAATTAATATCTCACGCACCAACACCTCTCCTTCTCTAGGTCGCGATCATCTACACCTCCCCGTCCTCCTCCTCCAAAGCCGCCAGCCTGGTCTCAACAATCACCTCCCTCCCCAACACCTCCTCCGCCATCTCCATCCAAGCCGACCTCTCGACCCCATCCGCGCCAGCCTCCATCGTCTCCCAAACCCTCTCGCACTTCGGGCCCGAGATCCACATCCTGGTCAACAACGCCGCCGTCCAAATCACGCGACCCCTAACCGAGATCACGCTCGCGGATTACGAGAGCGTCTACGACGTCAACGTGCGCGGAGTGATACTGATGACCCAGGCGGTATTGCCGCACATGCCCTCCCGAGGACGCGTGGTTAACATCTCGAGTGTGGGCGCCAGGGCCGGGTTCGGTGCCTTGTCGCTGTACACGTCGAGCAAGGCCGCCATGGAAGGGCTGACGAGATCGTGGGCCGCCGAGTTGGGCGGGAATGGCACCACGGTTAATGCCGTCGCGCCGGGGCCCGTGCAGAGTGAGATGTTGGACAGTATTCCGAGGGAGATTGTGAGGATGCAGATGGACAATACGCCGGTGGAAAAGAGAGTAGGGACCCCGAGCGAGGTGAGCAGTGTGGTGAGCTGGCTTGCTGGGCCCGAGAGCGGTTGGGTCACGGGCCAGGTGCTGAATGTTAGTGGGGGCTGGACCATGTATTGATATTGATTTTCTCGGTCCTGGTCTGAGGCCCTCAAAATGCTTGTTCTTGGGAAGGGTTTGGTGTCTCAAGACAAATGCGTGAACTTGGCTCTAAGGGAGCGCACAAAAGGATATTGGATGCTGTGCATGGGTAGATACCTGGGCATTTGCCTTTCCGCAAGCATGGTCGGAGTATGGATTAGACATCCTTCCGGAAAGCCGGGTCTGGAGGGAGCAGATGGGGAACAGAGAATAGAAAAGAAGCATTTAGAAGGCATTACCACCATAACATGCATGGAAAAGGAAAATTGGGGACACCAGCTTGTGAGATGAGATGGTTGTTCCATCGTTTTCATTTTGTGTCAGTAGACAAGGTGTTTTTCTCACTCCAAAACAATACCTATCGTACAGTCGGTAGGATCTTTGCATGCTGGCCAGCAAAGAACTTTTTCTGCTCCAGACATCTCTCGCTGGTGCACCCTTGACACCTCAACCCCATCTGCCTGGAACAGCTCTCGCCGCTCAGGAGATGCTTGTGCGCAATGTCGGCCAATGCCTGGATGAAGACCGGGTTGTCGTTGAGACTCTCCGCGCGCTTGACGCCCGGGTGGCCCTTGGCATCTTCGTGCATGACCTCCTTGTCGATCTCGTAGAGGGTTTCGATGTGGTCGCTCGTGAAGGCGATCGGGACCAGAATCAGATCTGTCTGTCCTCGCTTCACGTATTCCTTGACAGTGTCGCTTGTCTGGGCGCCCAGCCATGCAGAAGGCCCGACTTGGGATTGCCAGCACAGTCTGTACGGTTGGGAGTGACCCAGTCGGTGCATGACAGCGTGTACTGTTGCGGCAACCTCGGCGGGATAAGGGTCGCCTCTGTTGACCACGCTCATGGGGAGACTGTGTGCTGAAAACAGGATCACCACGTCTTTCCGGCGTTCTTCGGGGTATTCGGCCAGTTTGGCTTCGATGTTCTGCGCAAAGGCCTCAACTAACCCTGGATGCGTGGGCCAGCGGTCGATCACGCTCCATGTTATTGCTCCTTCTGGATCGACCTCCCCCGTCGTTGCCCGTTTGCCCTCCAGTCGGTTCCGCCACTTCCACAGCTCGTTCAATGAGCTGCCCGTAGTGGAACAGCTGTATTGGGGATACTGCGTGAATGCTACCGCTCGACCTCCCTTCCCGCCACCAAACCCATCTGCCAGGAGTTGTTCATACATGTGCTCCGTCAACGGATTCGCGTATCGGAATGCCACGTAGGGTTTATGTGGTGCCGTTTCTGGCGACAACTTGTCTAATATCTTGCACATTTCCGAACATTGATACTCCGACCATTTCCGTATGGGAGAACCCCCGCCTATGGCCGAATACTGTTGTTGGATCTTCGGGGTGCGGCGGCGAGAGATGAGAGGTCCCAGATATGGTTGTAATGGGCCCAGGGGGATGAGATCTCGGTCGGCGAAGAGACGGGAGAGGAAGTCGCCTACTTCAGAGGTGTGCGAAGGACCGCCCATGTTCATAAAGACCATTGCGGTTGGACCTTTCGAGCCTGTCGAATCTTGTGTCACAGGAGGGGCGGCCGTCGCCATAGAGGCACTCTGGAGCGCCGAGGGAGCTGACACGCCATTTCTGACAGAAGGCGTCACGGCCGGGCGCTTTGTCGCCAGTCGGCGGGAGAGGCGGGCTGTCGAAGTGCGCAACGACATCTTGTATTTCTGCGACTGTAGATTGATTGTTACCGGGCCATGAGAGAGATCTGAAGAAGAACAAGTACCGCGGGGAGGGTCGCGCTCAAGTCGGAGTAAGATTGTCAATCGTAGGGAACTATCCCTCTTAGATCTAGCTGATGGACTTTTTTTCGCCGCCGGCAAGGACAGTAAGAACAAAGGCCTAAGCAGTTCGATGATGATGACGACGACGACAACGAATCAAGCGGATGCTATTGAGAAGCGGAACTGCGCCCGTTCACGTGAAAGCGTGTGCTGCCTTGAGCGCGCCTAGTCACTTTGAACCCTGACGCCGCCTTACCTCGATGGCATTACATCAACTTCTCCCTCTAGTAACTCCCACCACCATACCTGCTTCGGTCTCGATGAGTGCACAGTATGGGTGATAACCTACCATACCGATCAAAGGGCGATCCGGAAGACGCTGGCAGGAACGATGACCCGGATGAGGAGGAAGAGGACATTGACGAAACTGGCTACAAGACCGTCCGAGATGCGGTTCTGTTCGCCATCGAGGTTAACAAGTCGATGCTCACGGTGCCGCAACCATCGTCTGCCTCGAAGAAGTCTGACAACAGTTCGCCCCTTCTGGCTGCCCTGAAATGTGCATACCATCTAATGCAGCAGCGCATCATCTCCACCCCAAAGGATCTCATGGGAATATTGCTCTTTGGAACAGAAGCTTCCAAGTCCTACGATGAAGACGAAAATTCAAAGGGTGGCTGGTCTTTTCCTCACTGCTACCTGCTCACAGACCTTGATGTGCCCGAAGCAGACGATGTCAAAGCTCTCAAAGAGTTGGTCGAAGCGGAGTCTCCAGAGTCGGCCGAGATCTTCAAGCCGGCAAAGCAGCCCGTCTCCATGCACAACGTTCTCTTCTGTGCAAACCAGATCTTCCAGCAAAAGGCTGCTAATTTCACCTCCCGCCGGTTGTTCATCGTCACGGATAACGACGACCCTCATTCATCCAACAAGGAGTCGCGGTCTCAGGCTACTGTGAGAGCTAAAGATCTGTACGACCTGGGTGTGATCATTGAACTGTTCCCAATCTCGACCTCGGACCACATTTTTGATACAAAACTCTTCTGGGACGATATCGTCTACCGGTCATCGCCTTCCGACCCCGATGCGATCGTTCACAATCCGCCTTCCATTGTGGACACCGATGGTTCGAAGTTGGTGAGCGGTGCTGGTGACGGCATCTCCTTGTTGCAGTCCTTGCTATCCACCATCGCCTCCAAAGTGGCCCCCAAACGTGCACTGTTCTCTTCTGTCCCACTTGAGTTGGCACCAGACTTCAAAATATCTGTGAAAGGATACTTGCTTTACAAGCATCAAAAGCCTGCTCGGAGTAGCTACATCTACCTCGGATCTGAACGACCCCAGATTGTCACTGGCTACACGGAGCAAGTCGCAGACGATGAACGTGACCGCCGACCAGTGGAGAAGGCCGAAATCCGCAAGGCATACACTTTTGGAGGGGAGAAAATCACGTTTTCTGATGAAGAAGTCAAGAAACTGCGCAACTTTGGAGCCCCGGTGATACGAGTTATTGGATTTAAGCCAATGTCCAGATTGCCAATGTGGGCAAACATCAAAAACTCCACCTTTCTGTACCCATCGGAAGAAGATTTTGTTGGCAGCACACGCGTATACAGCGCACTGCACCGCAAGCTGGTCCAGGATCAGTTATTCGGTCTGACGTGGTTTGTACCGAGAAAGAATGCCGCTCCAGTGATGGCCGCTATGGTTCCAACACTTAGTGCTGAGGGCAGCGACGATAAGCCTAACGCTGCAGGTGTATCTGCCACGGGCGCACCCCAGGGCTTACACCTGATCCCTCTGCCGTTTGCAGACGATATCCGACAGAATCCACCTAGTACTCATGACACCCCATTGCGTGCACCGGATCCGCTCGTTGATGCGATGAGGCGCATCGTCCGTAAGTAACAACACCCACGCGGGAAACATATCATCTGTGGTGAAATACTGACCAAATAATTAGAGCAACTAAACCTTCCCAAGGGCATCTATGACCCTTCAAAGTATCCCAACCCCAGCTTGCAGTGGCATTATCGGATCCTCCAAGCCCTAGCCCTCGATGACGAGATTCCAGAGAAGCCCGAGGACAAGACAATACCGAAATTCCGCCAGATAGACAAGCGAGTAGGAAGTGAGACCATAGAATGGGCCAATATGTTGGGGGAGGTCTACAAGCAGTATCAAGCGCAGAATCCAGACGCAGTACCTACAGGGTCGAAGAGGGTCACCACGAATGGAGCAGCTGCGTCGTCAAGCGCAGCAAGTAAGAAGGTCAAAACGGAGGCAGCGAATGGCACGAATGAAGAGGAGATCCGGAGGCTGTGGCAGAAAGGCCAATTGGCGAAACTGACAGTTGCAGAATTGAAGGACTTCTGTGGGACAAAGAAGATTCCTGTCACGGGAAAGAAAGCAGACATTGTGGAGAGGATTGAGGAATGGCTTGAAAGCAAGTGATTCGCAATCCAAAGAAAAAAAGCTGTTCAGGACATTGGCATGTTTTTCAAGTCCGTAGAACGATGTGATACCCCAATCCAAGTTTATCGTAACTTATGTTCTCGCATTATCAAAATGAATTAGATGTCGTGTGGTTGATGTGTGGTCAATCATTGCAATCCCAGTCACAACCTCAAAGGGGAAGACTGACACTGCACCCAAGATCGACTACAGGTGAATTGATCTCCATTCCAATAGACGATTTCCGTACATCATGGATCACCGCTTGGAAGTAGTAACCTCGTAGGAAGTGCTTTTTGAAGGAACGTTGGTATTTTGCGTTGTTCATATGGAAGAGAAAAGAAGGAGAAGAGGAAGAGGACGAGGGATCGAGTTGGACGCGATATAAATTTTGTGTAGAAGCCATGCCCGAAATGGTTAGGCTTGAAACTAACTACTATCGGCCTAGCTGATTGCCAAGACTCACTAGTGCAAATGCGGGAAATGACGTTGGGCCATTGAAACTGCGGAATCCCATCCTTGACCACCGCCGTTACGAACGCAGCGCATGTGCTCCTGGTCCACTTGCTCGTACCCCATTATTTCAGACCACTTGCACGGCATTGCCCATGGCTTCTGACGTTCTGCTACAACTTGTACCTCTTTGATCTCTCCTGAGCGCAATGGCACGGGTGCCCTTCATCGGTAGGCTGTTTTGGTATGTGATCCCCCAGCCCCCCATTTCCATCCTCGAGTCTCTCCGTAACTGAGTGCTGTTGACCAGGAGGGAGTACCTGGCCCTGTTTGGATCTCTGATACTTGTTGCCCTCGAGGTCCTCGTTCGCATCATTACCCTGGGGCTTCCTCAACCCATCATTCGATTCTGCTACAACACTTCCAAGAACCTGTTCAACCGACTGTCTTCACAAAAGTCTCGACACGCCCGCTCCCAACGAAAGCACACGTACAGTTCTATCGCAACCTGCTCTGACTTCACGGAACTCTGCGCCTTCTTTGGATACTATGCCGAGGAACATGTTGTTCAGACGGGAGATGGATACTTGCTGGGTGTCCACAGGCTCCCCTTTCGCAAAGGAGAGGAGCATACAGGGATACAGGTCAATGCAGGGGCCGACTCAATCAGGAAACCCGTGGTCTACCTTCATCATGGCTTGCTCATGAACAGTGAGGTTTGGGTTTGCCTCACAGAAGAGGAACGATGTCTTCCATTTACGTTGGTACAACAAGGCTACGATGTTTGGCTGGGCAATAATCGGGGCAACAAATACAGCAAGAAATCCACGAGACATTCGCCTGCGTCCACAGGGTTTTGGAACTTCTCGATGGATGAGTTTGCCTTCCACGACATTCCCAATACAATCGACTATATTCTCAACACGACTTCACAACCTTCGCTCTCCTATATCGGCTTCAGTCAAGGCACCGCCCAAGCATTTGCTACACTCTCTATACATCCCCAATTGAACGAGAAGGTCAACCTCTTCATCGCCCTGGCCCCCGCCATGTCCCCTGCCGGTCTCAGCAACGGCATCGTGGATGCACTGGTCAAGACCAACCCTCACCTTTTGTTCCTCGCGTTTGGCCGCAAGTCGATCCTCTCTTCAGCCACCATGTGGCAATCCATCCTCTATCCGCCCATTTTCGTCCGCCTCATCGACATGTCTCTCTCCTTCCTTTTCGCTTGGTACGGTCGCAATATAAGCGTGCAGCAGAAACTTGCTGCGTATCCTCACCTCTACAGTTTCACAAGCACAAAATCCGTTGTGCATTGGTTCCAAATTATCCGTAATAAATCGTTCCAGATGTACGATGACGACAGCGCCCACAGATTCAGCATAGGCGCCAGCAATCGATATTACAAAGTCGCCAAATTCCCGACGAGAAATATCAAAACGCCCATTGTTTTGGTTTATGGGGGGAGTGACTCGTTGATCGATATCCGTGTTATGCTTAGGGAGTTGCCCCGACACACCATCGCGACCGAAATCCCTCACTTCGAACACCTCGATTTCCTCTGGGCACAGGAAGTGCACACATTGGTCTTCCCGCATGTGCTAGAAGCGCTCCGCTACTATGCCCAAGACGGCACAACCAATGGCGTTCCGAAGGCACTTGCGCTCTCCATGACCGACACCGCACAACTTCACCGCCGGGAGAATAGTAACAGCAGCGCCATGAACTGGTCCGAAGATGATTCTGCTGGCGGATATTCGGACTTTGACGGCGCGATCGATTCACCTCGCACGCCGAGAGTCAAGAGTCATGCTCAGCTGCAGAGAGAAAAACAATACTTGCACCCGTCGCTAGGCCCAAATCATTCGCCTTCTCATTCGCCCTTGCAGTATCAGTATCAGTATGCCTCGCCTATGCCGAACAGACCTGTGCACGGAAGCTCGATGTCGTGGATGGAAAACTACTACAAATTCCCCAAGAGGGAAGCACAGGCGATGACCGAGGGTGTAGGGACGAGTAGTGGTCTTAGAAATCATACTGAAGCAGAAGCAGATGCAGATCCGCAGGGAGAACAGCAAGAGAGCGAAAGCCAGCAAGGCCCGGAAGACCAGCACCAAGTGCATGATCAAAGTCCTATGGGCACGTCACAGCGGGGACGAGACGACGCTTCCCGAGACTCGGATTTTGGAGCAGCCCTTTCAACTTCCCGGGCACTGCCTCATGAGGGTGGCGACTCAACCAGCCCTGTTTCAACAATCCGCAATCGAGGTGGCGCGTTCAATGGCCCTCCTGTGACTCCAGCGCAACAAGGTCCCGAACCCGTTGCCACCGGCGACGAAGACAACGCGCCAGGAAACGCAAGCGCAAGCACAAGTGGCAGCGGCAACGGGAACGAAAACCGACGACGTTCGACTTCGGTCGCTGGAAGTGTGTCGAACGCGAGCGGGCGCACGACACCCGTGAGTCGAGGCACGCCGCCGAGTTTCACGGCCAAGGGCATCCGTGTGGGCAGTTCGAGACCGAGCGTTGGAGCGGCTATTCCTTGAACCCCCAGGGACTCAGAAGGAACACCAAAAAGGCGGCTGCGTGCGCTAAGGCGGAAGGAGAGATGCGGGAAAACAGGGAACATACACACCGGGCTCCCCTTCTCCCGCGTCGACTGCGGATTCTGCGCGAGCACAGGGGAACAATTGGGGGGAGCTATAGTATAGAACATTCTATAAAGACGGGGCGCGCGCGCTGGCGAAAAAATATAACTACCTAACGTTTCAATAACAAATGCAAAAGACACAAGCCGATTTGTTTTTGGGGCCGAGGATGGTTCTCGAGGCTCGCCTTTTTCCCGTCCTGCATGCGCTCTCTCCCTCTCCCTCTCCACCCCCCAAGAACCGCGCACCATGAGAACCGTCTCGCCGTGTCTTCCTCTTTCTTTTCCCCTGCAAAAAGCGCCTTGGTAGGTATGGTAGTACGAGGTAGATATGCGCCGTGCTCGGGGTCCAGTAGGTGTTCTTGTCCTTGTCCTTGTCCTTGTTCTTGATATCCACAAGTATCTTACTCGCTATACCTAGTTCCATGATTCTGCGTCTCTACCTACGGATGAGCTCTGTGCTCGGTCCTCAGTACAGAGTGTTTATTACCAGAAACAAGAGAGACATGGCACGGCGTCCAAATACTGCGGTGTATGTTTGACTAGGTAGTAATACTATTCGCAATAATACTTTGTACTTCCAAGGTACGTACTATAGGTACGTTTGTAGGTAGGTGTAGATAATCTGTGGGTTGATTCAGGGCTTCTTGTGACCGGTGCACATCAAACCTCCACCTAGGATTCTAACTGAGGTGTCACTCGTCTTTTTCCCGTGGTTCGTTTGAAGACCCTCGCTTCCGTTTTCCCAACGCTATCGTGAAGTCGTTTTCATTTGTCTTCCCAAGGAAAGAAACCCCAATAAACGCCGACAAATGCTCAAATGTCATGAGTATATCCCAAACACCCCACGCAATGCAACAGACCGGCCATGTGCCGCGTGTGGAACACTCGTCCTGGCGCGGACCCAGAGTCGTGATCGTCGCCCTCGTGATTCCCAACTTCAATTCATCAAACATGCAGTGACATGACATGACATGACATGACGTGCGCCCCCTCTCCATATGTATGGACCAAGGTATATGTATATACAAGGGCTTGCATCATTACAATTCTTACTTTGGTCCGTGGCCCCTTGATCCTCGACAAATGGGTCCACAAAAATAAGCAATCAAGAAAAAACAATCACCTCACATCACCAGTGCGGCAACAGCCACAACAGCGGCAATCATGGCAGCCATCGGTCGTGCGCTACCCTTGTCCAGGGAGCCGGAGTTCGTATCTCCCAGGGGAGTGCTCGAAGCGACAGTGCCCAACCTGGCTCCTCCAGTGCCAGCAGACACGTCCGTGACGGGGTTCTTAACCGGGGTCGCGTTGGGCACGGCTTTCTCCCCAGTTGTGATTTCCTGGACGTTGTCGCTCGTGGAGTTGAAGACTGTCTGCGCGAGAGAAATCTCATTGTTGGCCAAGTCATAGACCACGTAGGCACTCCTCAAAAAGGTATCTCCGAGGACTGCCATTGAGCCTTGAGCTGGGGCAATCCCAAATAAGCAAGCCTCCTCGCCGTTCTCGAAAGTGATGGGTTGGCCAAAATTATTTGTGCCTGCGTCGAGGAATAACTCATTGAACGGAACGCTAATGGTTTGACCGGAAAATGTGAAATCGATGGTGGCGGAAGAGGAGGATAGACTGCAGGGAGCGTATGCGGCCCCCACATCGGTTTGATAGACGGCCTGGACCTGGTTGTAGATGTCCTGGGTGATGTCGTTGGGCAGGTAGGTGAGGGTGGCGCCGGAGTCGAGGAGAACGGCAGCGGGTAAGGAGGAAGAAGAGGAGAGGTCGGTTCCGGAGCTTTTCAAGCCGGTGAGGGCAATGGCGAGTTGGAAATAGACCCCATTGCTGGGAATGATGGGTATGGTAGCGAGTTCTCCTTTGTACTTTTCGGTGTTGACGCCGCCAAAGAGGATCTCTCCTGTTGAAGCGTCCAGGTCATTGAGCCAGAGGCTGTACGCATTGGAGTTAATGTGGCCGGCTTTCACGAGGGCTTCGGGCAGGTTTGGATAGGGATCCATCCCTGCACGCTGGACCTGAACTTCGTTTGACATGTACCCAATGCCCAGCACACCTTGTTCAGAGGATGAGGACTCGCCAATGCCAAATTGGAAATCGGTCAAAGTAACACCGCCGAAATGCAAGGTGTCGGCCACGTAGTCGCCTGCAGCTCCCGTGCCGTCAACGTAGGAGATGTTAAACTGATCATTGACGAGTTTATAGGTAGACGAAGCTGAGGAATCGTAGGTGCCGCCTTCGCAGGCATCTTGGCCAGACTCGCAGAAGGCAGAGGTAGCCACGTTGACCCATAAATCCGAGCTGCCCGTGTCAATGTGAAGGCGTAGGGACTGGGCGGGTGTTCCTAGCGTGATGTTGGCATAGTAGAGGGATTGTTCATTGTCCAGGGATTGTTCGACCATTCCTTGCGTCTGTCGTTTTCTCATACGAGACCTTTCGTGGGCGAGGATATCGGGAACATGTCTTCGCTCAATGGGCAGGCCGATGGCTCGGGGCGGACTGGAGGACGAGCGAGGAGCGAGGTGGATAGCCGAGACTAGAGGGGCAGCCAACACAGCGGCCGCCACCACTGCAACACCGGTTTTCATTCTTGTTCTTCTCTCTGTCCTGGTCGGGAATTATTCTATTGCTTGCAGGAGGAGTGAGACAAAACCCCTTCGGCTTCCAGTCACGATTAAAAGAGTGTCTCTCTGAACCAAGATTCTAGGGACAAGTGGTTGGGGTAAAGGGACTGGAACAAGGCGTAGAGGCGTCGAGGGCTGGCGGATTAAGCGAGAGGTGACCCTAGTAGTGATAGAAGCGGGAGAGAACCACCTCACAAACAGGGATTAACTGAGAAGCGAGTGACGCAGTATGCAAAAAGCAAAAACAGTGAGGAACGATAGTGAATGAGTTACTCGTAAAGAAACAGAAAATTCAAGCGGCAAAACAAGAAGCGGGACAAACAGCATTAAAAGTAGTTGGTGGTAGAAGAGGCGAAGAGGGTGATGACGAGGATGGAGTGAGAGAGAGGCGAGTGAGCATGATGGCGCAGTTGCTCAGTTGCGCAGTTGCGTCGGACTGCGGAAAGGCACTTGACCGGGTAGTGAGGCCTGAAGCCTGAAGCCGGAGCTGATTGTTCAACAGTGGTAACGGTACTTCCCCATTATTGTGCCGTTGCGACACTTTCCACGAGGTTTGGATTTGCGCATTTGACTTTGGGGGCTCGCATGCTGAGAGCCTGAGAGGCACAGGCACAGGATGGGGTGGATGGAGGGGATGGTCCGCCCACTGCCGGTCAGTTGGAGGTGGAGTTACCGGCGAGCAGCACAAGCACTGGCAGGTTACGCGGCACCTGCCAAGGCCCTGGGGGCCACCGGTGCACCACCCCCAGTGCCAACGTCAGTGGCTGCAATAGGTAGCGAGATAGGCACCTAGGTGGATACTCGTACACCTGCCACCCACTGCCTACCGATCCACGCATTCACCATCAATGTGAATTGTCCTCAATCCTGCTGAGCTCTGGTAACATGACTTTTTTCAAAGGCCCCTCTCTAATCTTTCCTCACGCCCTCTTCTTCTCCTCGACCGTTAACAGTGCATGCAACCACAATCCACCTTACTCGGTTTTTGGAGGGGGCTGGTGAGGCTGTAGCGGCCCGTCGGGATTTTTGCTGCTAAAAATGGGGGGTGCCGCCACTAGATGCCACATCAGCCTCCGGCCACCCGCCCCTAAGGGTGCCTGGGTGGGTGCCTTTGGCCTCACCAGCCTGAGCAAATCCACTCCAAGCGATTGGGTCAACGGCCTTGGACCGTTTTCCTCGTGCCTGCCTATCATATCATACTCGGTAAAAGGTGCCTTAGTAGGTACGAGTACACCTCAGCCTCCCCAGCTTACTCGGTACAGATCGCGACTTCACAGATCACGCGTCCTGGTCACGACATACTCAAAACCCTCTCTTGATGTATGTACTCGTAGGCTTCTCAACCATGCATAATCCATATTGAAGGAAGATGGTGGGAGGAGGAAGAGGACGAGGCGTACGCTCAGAGGACGTACCCTCCACACCCAACATTCCCCCAGTGTCGGATGGGCCGCGTATCCTCCAGTTCGACACACCACCAGAGAATCTCTTTGGCTCTGTCCACCTCGCCGCCCAGTTCATGAGCTCGGGCCAGCGCAAACCATGCTTCTGAGTTGTCCCAACCCGACCCCAGTTTCGTCAGTGTCGACAGCAGTCCATATGCCCGGTCGCGGGCTGCCAATCTATTGAGGTTCTCTGGCGTCTTCTTAAGATCTTCTTCTCTGCCCGATGGAGTGCTCGACGCACCGAGAGGCGTGTTCGCGTTCGCCGTTGGACCATCCATCTCAAACCAGCCGTTGGTAGTCGGGCCCGTCGAGATTCGGCTCCATTCGCGCTTGTGCTTCGGCCGGCCTGATTCGTCCTGTTGTTGTTGTTGTTGTTGTGGCTGCTGTGCTTCTTCTACCCTTGGCTTGCCGTTGTCGATTCGCCGGGCCAGCTCCACTTTGCGTTCGTAGTAGTCCAGGAGCACATTACTCAATCCCACAATCCCTCCCGGGTGGTCGGCAAAGTACATCAGACACTGCTCGTAGTTTTCCACCGCTTCCCGGATTCCTTCAGAGGATACGGTGCCTTCTTTCTCTTCGCGAGCGCGGGCGATAGCCATCAGCAGTTCCGCTCGCTCACAGTACACGTCAGCCCAAAGCTCATCCGAGCTTTTTCCACCACCGCCCCATCCACCATCACTGAATGCCCGTGCTGAACTTTCCACACTGGCAACCATGCCCTCAATCTTCAAGGCCACTTTAGCCGCCTCGTCGCAAGCTTCCCGTGAGTCGTCAAACATCTGGCCTCTTCGGTATAGCGTCGCAATGATCAGCCATATTTTAACCAATATACTCAGAGCATGCCTCTGAGACGCCGTCCGCGGGAACCGAGGTATGGGGTCCGTTCGCAGTGTCCCCGGTCCCACGACTGGCAGTCGCACGTCCTGCTGAGGAGGTTGATCTTGGTGCTGCGCCGGTCGCGGCACCTTCTCATGCGTCGCGAGGTTGTGCGGTATCTCCTTTAGCGGCTGTTTGGCTCCTTCGCTCGCGTCGTGATCCGAAGACACAGGCACCTCTGGGACATCGGCGGATTGAATGGTTTCTAACCGGGTTCGCTGCTCGGGTTGAGCGGTCTCTGCCGTTGCCTCCGAGCTGGGGACTGTCTCCTGCGAAGTCTCAAATGACTGTGCGGTACTTGATGCGTGGCTCGGCTCTTTCCTCCCTCGACTCAGTGACCTCGAGCGCCTCGACCCCAGACCCTTCATGGGCAAAGGTGCCGAGGAATGACGCTTCCCTTCCTTCCCATGGTCATGGATATGGAATATTTTGTGTTTGTGCGGCGACGATTTGCCGTCTTCATTGGTGACCTGGATAGTCGGTGCTTGGGTCGTCTGAGTAGCCTGAGTCGCTTGCGTATTGGGTCGTACTTCTTCCGCTATTGAAGGAGCGATATTGATCGGCACTCCTTTGGACGACTCACTCGACCTTCCCAGTCTCTTTCGATGGAACAGCTTTCCTGGTAGACTCCTGACCGTGCCACCCGAGCTCTTGGGAGGTTGAATCGATCTTTTTCTGGACGTTTCTTCGCTGATGGCGATCACCCCATGTCGTCCAAACAGCCGGGAGTATAGTGCGAGCAAGTCGTTGCTGTTGTTAACCGCATGCTCTGGACCTTCCATAAGCTCCGTCAACGCCAGTTCAGTGATGCGAATCTCAATGATCTTTTGCAATTCGTCACACTCCATGTCGTCCACAAGCCCGACTTTCCGATACCCACTGGCCACTCTTCCACCAACCACCGAACCATTGGGGAAGTCGCCAAAGATGACCTCTGGAGGAGAAAATTGCTCAAATGCTGCCACACAGCTTTGGCCTGCCGTCTCAAAATTCTGCCGAGACGTGAGGAGGAGCGATAACAAGTGCCAGAATGGCAGTAACTGCCGCTGTATGCTGTAATTTTTGTCTTTCTCAAGCTTCTCTGCTTCTCTGGCTAGGGCTCTCTTCACAGTTGCAATCGCCTGGTCAATGTCTCGAGTCTGCGCGAGCAGCTGGCTTAGCGCATACAAGGCGGGCAGTTGCTTTTCAATCGGGAGATCTTGTGCTACCGCCTTCTGTAGACATTCGATGGCTGCAGTCTGCAGGTTGGTCCTCTCCTCACTGAAAGGTGTCCATCGAGCCCACTGTGCTTTTCCTATACCGATGGCCCGGTAGGCAGCTTCCAGCAATTCGGCGGACAGTTGGGAAGGGACCGACTTTTCCCCGTTGACCTCTCCGTTGACCTCTCCATTGCTTCTTGCTGCGAAGCCATTGGGAACGGAATCTGTAGATGACAGTTCAAGCTCTTCCAGGAGATCTTGGAGCTTGTCGCAAAGCTCATGCGCCTTTTCCGCTTCAACGTACCGGCCAAACGAGCACAGGCCTTCAATTCCTTCAGCGATGGTTCTCATGAAGACCTCATCACTGTCTCTGCCGGTCGCTGGAGTTTCAGACTTGGCATCTCCGGCCCGCGCTCGTTCCATTAGCTCAACGTAGGTGTCCAAAGCCTTGTAAGCCAAGCCGAAATCCGTCAAAGCTTTATGTACCTGGAATAATCGGCGAAGGATAAGTGTAGAGTGAAAAGACTTGGTGGCGGCTCGGTAAAGCATGTCGAGCACGTTTCTGCCAAATGAATTGCGACCACCTTCGCCCAAGTCCGACTCCGACCAGTTGGGACCGCAAAGAATCTGCCAGTTGCGAATGAATTCCTCTACCCACCCTTCTATGACCGCATTGGATTCCGTGGCCTTGGGAAATTGTACATTCCGCAAGAGCTCATTCTCATAAGACGTCTCCACCCGCCGTAGCTCGATCGCCAAATCGGAGTGTTCGATAGAGACGTGGTCCGCGATTCCTTGTCTGTTTTGCAGAATGCTGGACATGAACCTGTAGTAGGCTCTCCATATCTCGAGCTTCGACAAATGTCCGGGGCCATTGCCGTAAGTTGAAGCCAGCACCTCCTGGTTCTTAACCGCAAGTACAGCCCAATGACGGAATGCTTGGAGCCTGAAGGAGGCCGACTCGTGGCCAATGGCGGTTGTAGAGTCCGTGCTTGACAATCCTAGGCCCAACGCAACTCGCCCGAGTAGTTGTTGTGCCCAGTAAAGGAGCTGAGGGGTAGAAACGACCAGGCTCCTGTTCGCGTCTAGCCAAGGAAGCAGAGAGTCAAGCATTTCCTTCGCCTCTTTACCCTCACCAGCTTGTGTAAAGAGCATTCCTCTGATGTACACCGTCTTGACCACACAGATCTTTGTCCATAGCGAAGTGGCGTCCGCTGCGGTTCGTACAGGTTCGAATGTCAGGGCGGGGACTTGACGGTCTGTTTTATGTGCTCCTACCCAGCGTGCCCAAAGCAAACATGTCTGGCCTTGTACCACCTCTTCAAATGGATGCCCTGTTGCACGAAGTAGTTCTTCGAGAGAAGTAGCGTCAGCCTCTGGAAGAGGCTGGTTCGTGTTGGCAGTGCCCGGTCTGCGGGCGAATGTAGAAGCATAGTTGGCGACATCGTGTTCGAATTTTGCGACCCGTGTCAAGCCTGCCTTGAGGGTTAAGATTGAATTCTGTGGGCTTGTTGGGGCGGCGTACATTTTCGATCAGGGGCATGCTTGTTTACTTTTCTTATAAGCTCTGGAAATTCTTTCCAATTGCCGGCAACGCGCGCCGCGTCCAGCAGACCGATATAGCGCTGGGCTTTCTCATTGTGCGCCTGGAAAATATATCAGCAGCCATAGAGAGATGTGACAGGGATGCCTGGATGGTATACACTCATTCTGGGGAACGCGGAGATGTACTCGCGACTGTCAGCGTCCTATACTCGGGTCATGGTTGCAAGCACGTTGTAGCAGCTCCATTAGACGTGTCTCTGCTGCCGGCAGCCTGCCACAAATTGCAAACAGTGAGATGCGGTCGAAAGAAGCATTGGGGGATAGAATGATCGAGTAAGGTGTCACTGTCTTTGGCAGAGCAAGCAGGGCGACCCGTGCTCTGGCTGTCTGGGCATTTGGCTGCCGATGCGCGATGCGGTCATTGGGGGCCGCAAGGCGCAAAAAATCAAAAACCAACCAGTCGCTGCTTGCCTCGTAAAAAAAAATAATTCCGAGTCTCCAACACGTGTGTCCATCTCATCTTTTTATACACCAGAAATGTCTCTACACTTTGCATCAGGCCGACAAGTTCTCTGACGGCAGCAGGAGCAATGCAACATGATATCGCTCTACGGGCCATCACTACTCGGTTGAGTATAACACCAGTCGAAGACCTCCCTCGAATTTCCGGCTTCCTCGCAACTTCGCTGGCTCAATGTCCTGCCGAATTGCTTTCCTCAGACGGCAAAGGCAATAGTTCTTCGGTGGTCGCACACAAACTCAAGACTCGAATTACCTCCTTGCTGCAAGACAAATCTACTGGGAGCCGGCTTACCGCTGCCGTGCTCATCAAGGCAATTGTCGACAATGGCGGCTACAAGGTTCTCCCTAACTGGGAAGTCTGGGCTAGAGGCTTGCTCAGCTGCTTGGGAAAACCTGACCCTTTTGAAGTCAAAAGAGTCTATTTGGCTACTGTCTCTCGAATTTTCATCCTCTCCCAGGACCATCCGGTATTGTTGCGGGAGGTCACAACGCCGCTCCTCCCAGCCTTCATAACAACATGTCTTAGCCTTATCAAGCCAGTTAAAGCCCATGTTGACAGCAACCTCAACCCTATCCTCCAATCGGTCCTACAATGCTGGATCCAGCTGTTGCCACAACACGCAACCATCTTTCGGCCCTTCCTGGCACGTATCAAGCTGATTTGTCGGAGCTTTCTCGAAGATGCTCGGACTGCGACTTCAATCAGAGAGCTCGCGATTCAGCTTCTCTGCTCGTTATTGTCATGCGTACCGAAGAACGCAATGGCTCAGGAGTGGTCCCAGGCATTTTCCGACCTTATCAACAGTGCTCATCAGGCTGCCGACACATTGTTCAGGGCCGTAGTCGAGGAATACGAGTCCAACGACAAAACCCGTCCAAATGCAGGTGGAAAGCATGATTTTTCCAAGGAGCCGCACATTTCTAGCGCCGACGAGGTGGGATTGGGCCAGTGGATTGGTATGCACGACGGTAGCACCAGGCTTGCAACCTTCCTCGAATGGCTAGGATGTTTACTCTCCACACCCACGTCGCAAGCCATCACGGTCCCTCTGGGGTCTATGCTGGACCTCATATCTCGTATACTCCTTGTGACCGTACCTGGAAGCGGGGCAAGCACGGTGGATACACTAAAGTATAACAAGGAAGCAAGCCGAGAAGAGAGGGAAAGTCTTTGGATGAACTTGCCTCGCCTTCACGTGGCATGTCTTCGTATGTTGCAGAAACTGTGCGAAACTTTTGGACAGTCCTTTCTCCCGGCAATCGGAACCGTGGTCAACCACGTTATGGGCTCATTCATCACCATGTTAGGTGACGAGATGGTACGGCAAGAGGTCTATGCGACCTTCAGCTGTCTCTTGAGCAATTTGAATATCAACGATTGTGGGTTGCGCGAGACCACCTTCTCAACCTTACTTGAGCACTGTTGCAATGACCTGCGAAGGGGCATTCCGGGTTCCGATAATCAAAGCAACCTCAATCCTTCGAAAGATGGAATTTTGAGCGCTCAATCCACTTTGTCAATTGCTGGAGGTTCTGGCTGCTCGGAAAGACAGCCCGAAGTATTCCGAGCAGCTTGGAGATTGCTGCCAGAAATCTTTGTCCATTGCCCGACGTCCATGATATCTCGACAGGCAAGAACAGAAGCGGATAGACTGTCTGTGTTGCACGATCACCACGATGCCATGATGGCAAGTGTCATGCGTCCAATGCTAGGTAAAGATGGGAAGATGAGGACTGCCAGTTTGCTTCCGTTTCTTGCTAGATCTGCAGCAGATCGTCTCGACACTGAGGCTCTCTTAAGGCCTCGGATGCCTCTTGTCCAAGTTAGCGAGATTTCTGCGCAAGCGTCTCTGGATACTCAAGTCCATCATGATGACCACCAGGTGACAGACATGCTTGACGAGAACGGCGAAGCAGTGACTAACCCCGAGGACCCCGCTGAAGCCTTGGGGACCGACGCCGAACAACAGGTAACCAATAGTTTCGAAAACCAAGAGGGAGACGAAGCAATCCAGGCTTTGACGGCGAGGAAGCGAAAACTTGAGAGTGTTCAAGACGGTGATTTCCAAGCACGTGCTCCAACAGCATCCGAAGACGCCGAAATGATTGATTCGAGACTGTCTAAGGTGCCACGGATAGAAGATGGCAGCATTGAAGAGTCAGTATCGGAGGTTGATGTGATCGAAACACCAATGGCACAATCTTTAGTTGCCACAACTTCTGGGATAAATGAGCGGTTCTCCAGCTCAGGAGCCCAGCCTGCAGGCACAGTGTCCAATATGGTTTCCTCTGAGACCATTGGGAATGACAACAGTGACAGCAGTGACTTTGAGATTCCCACAATTGACCCAGGATTGGACACGGACGAGGAGGATCTATGAACAGGTCGGCCTTGAGCCAGCATGCAACATTAGCTGCCTAGTCTCCTGTTAATGTGAGCAGAGGGAGGTGTGCTTAAGCTGTCAATTCAATACCTAGGTAGTTATACTACTGATGCTGGAGCCAAATTGTACAAGTACTTGGTACTTGGTAATACTTGGTACTTGGTTGTCCTCAAACTACGCTCGCTTGTGGCATTCTAAATGAAATCGCGTGTCTGGGGCGACATCCGCACGCGTCATTTGATAAACAAAACTTTTGGGGGCGACGGCGAAACTCGCTTCAACGCGTTTCTTGCAACTCTCAAAGGAATAATTTCATGCTCCACTGCTTGCGTTGAACATGCTTGTCATTTGCCATTTGGTCTAAAGCTTCTTGAAAGTTTGCCCCAAGACTAGAACACTTTCCCTGCTTTTCTGGGTGGCAGTTTATTGAGGACTGCGGGCGACCTCGTTGGTTGGTTCGCGCCTCCTGAGAATCTCTCCACTCACCATCAACCATCATGCCCAAACGAAAATTGCCGTGGCAATCAACGCCAGAGATAGTTGATCTCACCGGAGATGACAATAACTTTGTGAATCATTCTCGCTCCAAAGTTCCAAAAAAGACGTCGTCCTCCAGCTCTTCGCAGGGACGTGCCACCCTTCCAACGCCACCGTCTTCAAGTCAGCCTGGATCTTCCTCACATCGCCCGAACCAAAGCTACAAAGACTACACGCCGAGTTTCAGCCAACTTAGCCAACAATCCAACGGCAATGCCGCACGCAATAGATGGCCGGGCTCTACCCAGGAACAGGAGGCAGATATTGCCAGAGAGATTGATCTCACCGAGGATTTTGACGACGACGTCTATGAGAATTTCCAGCTCTATGGCATCCTCAACACGAAAATCGTCGGCTGTCGATTCTATGATGGCCAGGCCACGGTGGGAGAGTACGTCAGGGTCAAGCGCGAACCTCGCAATCAGTACGACAGCAATGCAATCCGCATCGACAATGTCCTGCGTGATCAAATTGGCCACATCGGAAGGAACGTCGCTGCGAAACTGGCACCGTTGATGGATTCTGGCTCACTCCTAGTCGAAGGCGCTTTGACAGGCCCCAAAACCTACTACGACTGTCCAATCGGCCTCAAATTGTTTGGCACAAGCGATCCCGTTGCGGGTGCAGCTCTGGCACGTCAGATGCAGGATCTGAATCTGCCAGTCACAGAGTACAACCGGTCGGAAAGAGAACGCAAGAAGCGTTTACAGGAATTCGAGAAGCAGCAGAAAGCAAGACAAAAGGCCGCCGCCGCAATGCGGAAGCAAGGCATGACGGTCTTTGACAATGAAGGGCCGAACAGATATAGCAACCTGACCCCGCCCGCAGGAATGGGAACACAGACAGAACCAAGCATGGATCAACTTCTCAGTGGGACTGCCGTGTTCAACCCCCGTGATGTACAGAACGTGGTCAACAAGCTTGCAGCAGGAGAAGAGGTGCTTTCGAAGATGTCGATGGCAGATCAACCTAACGAGCTTGCTACAGTGCTACTGCCATACCAGAGACAAGGCCTCCAATGGATGCTGGATCATGAATCTCCCGCGTTGCCCAAGACTGCTGATGATGTGGTTCAGATGTGGAAGAAGACAGGAAAATGGTACACCAATATTGCAACTAACTTCTCCTCCAGCAAAGCCCCGGATCTTGCCAGTGGAGGGCTTCTTGCAGATGATATGGGCTTGGGTAAGCCGTTCGCCTTCAACATGATCACAAAGCTGGTTGGCTAACTCCCGCTTTTAGGCAAGACTATCCAAATCATCTCGCTCGTTATGGCCGATCCGCACAAGAATGGGGCCCCGACTCTTATCATCGCGCCACTCTCAGTGATGAGCAACTGGAGCACGCAGGCCGCGTTGCACGTCAAGAAGAAGTATGCGCCACGAGTTTTGACCTACCACGGCTCTGGAAACAAAGAATTGTCGCCAGCACAATTGAAAGAGTACGATATCGTCATCACAACATATCAAACCATGACCCAAGAGCTCTTCCCATTCGGCAAGACCGAAGCTCAGCCAACACCAGCATCGAAAGGCCTGTTCTCGGTGACTTGGCGGCGTATCGTCTTAGATGAAGGCCACCAGATCCGGAACCCCAAGGCCAAAATGTCACAGGCAGCATGTACCCTTCGGGCGGAATCTCGCTGGATTCTCACCGGAACTCCTATTGTCAACAGCCTGAAGGACTTGTACTCACATGTCAAGTTCCTTCGTTTGCCCGGTGGGCTGACAGAGTTTGAGGTCTTCAATTCGACCCTGATACGGCCGCTCAAGAATGGCGACCACGGGGCGCGCCTGCTTCTCCAGGCCCTTATGTCGACCCTAAGTTTGCGACGAATGAAAGACATGAAGTTCATCGATCTCAAGCTTCCCAACATCACTTTCCACAAATATCCTGTGAAGTTTCTACCCCATGAGCAGGAACGCTACGACGCGTTCAAGCAAGAGGCGAAAGGTTTGGTCGAAGCCGCAAAGGCCAAGAAAGGAGATTATTCCATGACGCACCTGCTGGAAGTCCTCCTGAGGCTGCGCCAGACGTGCAATCACTGGAAGATGTGCGGAGATGAGAGAGTGAGAAATTTGCTGGAGTTGGTTGAGTCGAATGAGGTCGTAGACGTGACGAATTCGGCGAATCGCAAAACTCTACAGGATTTGTTGCAGATCCAGATTGACTCACAGGAGGATTGCTGCGTCTGTCTGGATTCTTTGAAAAATCCTGTCATCACAGCTTGCGCACACAGCTTTTGCCGGGCATGCATCGAGAGGGTGATCGATACTCAGCATAAATGCCCCATGTGTCGTGCACCTCTCCAAAACATCGAGCAACTGGTCGAACCGGCAGCTGGGATTGGCGAAGGCGACGAGGTAGACCTTGATATTGATCCCGAGACCACCAGCACCAAGATCGAGGCTCTCGTCAAGGTGCTCAGAGCATCTGAAGCTGATCCACACGTCAAGACGGTGGTGTTTTCGCAATGGACTTCATTCCTCGACTTGGTCGAGGCTCAACTCGTCCGCCACGGACTGCAGTTCACGCGTCTCGACGGTAAAATGAATTCGACGAAACGTGACACGGCCATTGAATCACTAAACACCGACCCGTCATGCAAAATCATGTTGGCATCGCTCTCTGTTTGCTCGGTCGGTTTGAACCTTGTGGCCGCCAATCAGGTCATTCTGGCGGACTCGTGGTGGGCGCCGGCCATTGAAGACCAAGCCGTTGACCGAGTCCACCGCTTAGGTCAAACTCGAGACTGCAAGGTCGTCCGCTTGGTGGTCGAAGGGACGATCGAGGATGAAGTGCTTGAGATTCAGGCGAGAAAACGGAAGTTGGCCAGCGAAGCATTTGGGGAGAAAGATGGGGGCAGAAAGAGAGAGGAGAGACGAGCAAGGACATTGAGGGATATCGAGAGATTGCTGGCCTAGGCCAGCGCAACAGGAATCTGGATGGCGTTTTGTGCTAGCAGATCTTGTCACGGAGAAAATGGAAAAATCATAATAACCTGAGGATAGATATTCTGTTCAATTGCCTGTGAAGAGGACTGGCGGAGCTGGATTCAGGCTTGTATGAATAATTGGGCTTCAGATCTGTGTACGTAGTCGTAGATAATACAACATCGTGTACCTATTAAGAATCCCTAGAGGTGTTTCGATGTCCTGTGACTCGTAAGAGATTCCAGGTTCTTTAGTATTGCATATAACACCGGACTTCAGCTCACATCATGTCAACGGCGCCGTCCATCCGTAATTTTCCTTCTTGGTATCTTCTGCATGAGCATGATTCAGCGATACAGTCATCGACTCATTGTGACTATTGTCTTTCCTCAAGCCACGAACGCGTCCGTGAGCCCGATGTCAGAAAAAAACAGCACGATAAGAAAATATGGTGTGATGTGGAAAAAAGCTGTGGGCGCCATAGCAACCGGACAAAGAAGCAGGCGTGGTGGACATAGCTTAAGCCACAGCGAGTCAGCGACCAGGAACCCCCAGCCTTGACGCCGTGGGGGGTCACTTTAGGCTTCCCAAACCCGGCTCAGCATCCACCGAAGCTCGCCTAGAGAGCCTAAACCAGCCCGTAGCTCGGCCCTTCGAAGGAGATTGCGCTTGACGGGAGGAGTCGCGTTTGCCTATCACCACCGTACGACTGCTGGTAATCCACGCCTCTGCAACGTGCTCGAGCACATGTTTTTACTCTGATTGTTTTTGCCCCCACTCCTGTCCCAATGTCCTCTGCGATTCTTACCGGAACAAAATGTCTGCTTGGCGTATATACACCGCAACGAGGACCAGATCGCAGGGAAATGATAATGACTTGCAGATGAGCGCAACCGAGGTTGATCTAGTATTGTTTCTGGGGGAAGCATCTGACTCTTTGCATCACTGCGCAGGAGCAAAAGACGTCACCCCCAGACTCGCCGCAGAAGGACGTTCCTGTTTGGTCTGTTCTAGGTGGCACCGGTCGCCCAGTGGCACAGGTGGCAGGGCACAGCTCCAAAGGCGACCCACTAAGATCAAGGCCCGTGGGAGCTCCCGCCAATAATTGATCCAGCTGGTTCAGCGCCCTTGGGAATCTTGCCCAGCGAGCCCAGGTGCTTATATCCGGTGCGGGGGACCAAACAACCCACTGGGCCACTGCACCACCTCCTCGCCCTGCGTCCACCGAGCAGCCACTCACAACTTCGCCAGCTCCTGCACGTCGCAGGTTTCCAATCTGCATCGCAAAAAAAGTGGTGATCATCTCTGTCGGTCACCACCCTCGGGGCCCTGCGGTGGCTAATTCCCATTCTGCCAGTTCGAGTTACATGACTTTGGGAATTCTTCTGTTCTTTCTACCACCTCAACAACCTCGTCCATCGGTCGGTGGCAGTCTCTCCTTCAGTTCCTCACCTCCCTCGCCATCATGGCACCCATTCGTGCGGCTGTCTTTGCGACGGTGAGAGCTCCCTCCCTCCAGAACTAACCGCGCTGTTTCCCCGCATCATTGTTTTTTTGGTTACGTGCTCCATCACTGACGCAAAGGTGCCCAGCTGCTCATGAACGATGCCTACCTACCAGGTATGTCGAGAAGGATCCGTCCCTTTCAAGATACTCTCAAGCTCATATGTCTATAGGCGCCATGGTCCTGGGCCATTCCTTGAAAGATAAAGGTGCCAAAGCTCCCTTGGTGGCTTTTATTCTGGTAGACAGATTGTCCTCCGATACCATCACTGAGCTTCGGGTACTCTTTCTCTGCTTCAACCTTTCCCAGTATCAGCACTAATATCCCTAGACCGTCTACGATGAAATCGTACCTATCCAGGAGATCAAAAACAAAAATCCTGCGAACCTCTACCTCATGAATCGAGCCGATTTAATATCCACCTTCACAAAGATCGAGTTGTGGCGGCAAACTCAGTTCAAGAGGATAGTGTACTTGGACGCCGACATGGTGGTGATCAGAGCTCCGAACGAGCTTCTCACTCTGGACACAAACTTTGCTGCAGTACCGGATATCGGCTGGCCCGATTTGTTCAACAGTGGTATGATGGTGCTGAATCCCAACATGGCTGATTACTACTCTCTTTATGCATTGGCGCAAAGGGGGATCAGTTTCGATGGAGCTGATCAAGGTCTCCTCAACATGCACTTTCGCGAGTGGGAGAGATTGAGTTTTGTGTACAATTGCACACCAAGCGGCCATTATCAATATATCCCTGCCTACCGACACTTCTCCAGCAGTATTGCTGCGGTGCACTTCATCGGCAAAGACAAGCCGTGGACGTTGGGTAGAGACAACAAGCTTAATACAGGCGTCTACGGTGAGCTATTGGGGATGTGGTGGTCTGTATACGACAGGCATTATCGGCCAAAGGTACGCGACTTTTCGAGGAGACCGGATAGGCCAGGACTGACTTCTCCAGACGGCCACTTACTACGACGCCCAAACTTTTGATTCTTCCAAAAAGGTCCAAGACTACGTGCGTGGAGAGGAACCTTTGTATGTGGTAGGCTATTCAAGCGGCCAGTCAGGACCGGGCCCGATTCCGCAGCCTCAGCACGAATACCACCATCCTTCAGAGCAACATCACCAGCATCCCCATCATCACGGACACCAGCAGGGGCAACAGCACCACCACGAACAGCATCAGCAGGAACAGCATAACCAGCACCACCATCCTGCGGCGTCCGAGCATACTGGGCAAATCCCCTTACCTCCAGAGATTCAGCTATCTCATTCTCAATCGGGTCAAACAACCTCTGTTGAGTTGCCGTTGGGCGACGCTCCTACTCCCAAAGCCCCATCCGACTTTCATCCCGTTCCCACCGTCGAGCAGAGGCGATTCTCAGCACCCCATGCTGAATGGGATCCCGCACGGTAGGCCATTCTTTGTGAAATGTGGATGAGTTGCTTATCGTAAACAGAGAGCCTCCACCTGCGCACTCGAAACCAGAAGCTGCCAACTTTCCAACCACCATCTACGACATGTCAAGCGAAACCGCGCTCTTCCAACCACCTGCACACTACCCGGAAGCGCCAAAGGATATGTGGTACCAGGTACCCGAAAAGGTCCCCGAGCCCGAGAAACCGAAACCGATCTTCCCCTGGGAAACCAGAGCACCGAAACCGACACGAGTATTCCCTCAACCGAGGCAGCCTAGTCCACCCCCTGCTGCGCCGGAACCAGCACCTGTCGTCCCGGAGGAAGTGACAACTCCTTCAGTAACGACTGACGCCACTGGAGCGACGGAAGAAAGCGTACTCACACCACCTGCAGCACCAGTTGACCTTTGGGCGTCGTTCCAGCAAAGGACTAATGCATGGGATGACATGCCTGAAATAGAGCGCTACGTGCAATCCATCAGTCAACCTCGAAAAGGCAAAATACAAGTCCTGTATAACACTCTTGGACAGCGCTCCCCTCAAAATACCAGCGGCGCGACCACCCCCACAGCGAGAGAGCGACGACGCCCGAGCATCAAACTGACTGACTTTCCCACCAAGGACGAGCGCCCGAGCTTACCCGTGACCCCCGCGCCGATACGACGACCTACGTTTTGGGGTGACGAAAAGGAGGAAGAAGGGAGCTTGCCGACCGCAGAAGGAGTACCAAAACAAGAAGAATGGGTGCGTCGATTCTCCCACTACCCTCAACCTGAGTTTCCTGCTTCTCATCCCCCATCGCATGATGCGCGTCGTGTTTTGCATTGGAGATGCCAATATTGTGGGAAACAGAACCCTATCACAAAGTTAGAACAGTTGCAGTTGATGCAGAGTGAGGCGTTGTTGTCGCCCACGGGGACTCGAGAATTGGGACAGTTGGCAGAGCCCCCTACAAGAAAGATGCCAGAGAGCTCGACTAAGGAAGAGGTGGAGAAGGCGGTAATCTCACATATATCACCTACAAAGGTGCCAAAGGCACCCAAACCTATCTTGAAGCCCCCTCACTTTGAATTGGGTCAGGATATTGTGGGGCCAGAGGAAACCCCAACAAGAGGTGGTCAACAGGATGAAGATTCGTCTGAAGTTGTGCAAGCAGCCCAAGCGAAAGAGGAATCGGTTGACCCATTGTCCAGGCCAGATGCTGATGAAGAGGGGGCGCCTCCGGAGCGCGAAGCAAGAGGTGTTGTGGCCCCCACGACAGCATGAAGATGGAAACAAACAAACTAGGATGAGTGATGAGGAGGTTCCATTACGAGGTGGGAATGCTTTTCACCAGTGATTTGCAGCACCCTTGTTGTCGAGATTGAAAAAAGTTCTGCTTGTTTTGATGGGACCCTGGGCGTTTTTGATTTGAGCATGATTTATGCATGCAAATGGAGCATCTTTGGACGTCTAGTTTGAGGCTGAATGAGCCATTGTCATGGGCCTATGAGTCTTTTTGTTTAATGTGTATCATTATGTTGAACAGCATTGCATGGCAAGCGCCTCGATTCCGTTTCTGCATGGGCAGGTGTTGGGCTGCGTTCAGGTGCCTGGCACATACATACATGTACTTTAATGGATCACTTGGGGGATAATTAATACTGGTTGCTTCTCCGAAGTAGCGAAACTCGTCCTGGGCAAACATGGCTTTCATTGACTATTAACTATGGCGCTTCCGGGGAGAAAAGGGGCTGCTCCAAAAGTTCAGCCTCGGCTTGGCGCCCGGATTCGGTTTCCACAGCCTCGCCTCCTTTTTCCTCTGTCGAGATTCAGGCACGTCAGGCAACCTCCTGAGCTGCTGCTGATGTGGCCGCAATTCGCGACTCCGCCCATCTGCATTGATCGAGTACTACAGAGGTCGCCCAGACCGGTCCAGCGGAACATGTTGATGCTTCCTTGAGCCTGCTAGACTCTCCATTTATCACATCTTTCTGATTGATGATCTTCTGGCGGCGTTGGGGCTCGGTCGCTGGACGCGGCTCATAGTTAACTACAGCAATCGAGCACCCGGTTCACAAGAGCGAGCAAGCGGCAGAGACACAGCTCCTGCCCACTCCAGTTTTCTTACAATTCAGCAAGAAGCACAATTGACGTCAACATGGTCTACTCGATGAGCCTCAAACTTACCGCCTCGGAGCTTGAAGAGCGGCGTCATCAGCTCAACAGGGCAGGTTTGCATGCCTGGCTCTCGCCGATCGTCCTCTTGGTGGTCGCATGCCTGTATCGACGCTACCTTCACTCAGCGCTCTTTCCATCGAAATCGCCATTGTCATCATCTGGCCCTCGACGTGTGTCCCAGGTGCAGCTATTCTTCAGACGCGCGACATGGATCCTGCAGACGACATACATACCCGAGTTTGGCCCCCTGTCTGTCCAGCTACTCGCCTTGACGTATGCAGGATGGCTCCTTTACCTCACATTCCACAACACGGGAGATGATTACATGCACCTCACCAAGGCGTTCGGACACGTGGCCATCTCTCAACTGCCCCTGCATTACCTCCTCTCCCTCAAGCATACCACTTACTCGCCCTTGGGGTGGGCCACCGGCCTCACGCACGAACGCCTCAACGCAGTCCATCGCATGTTCGGACGCATCGTGCACGCCTTTCTCGCCGCTCATGCCGTACTCTACCTCAGATTCTTCATCAAATTAGGTATTCTGCCGAAACGGATCAAGGACCCGGACGTCCGGTTCGGGATCCTGGCTTTTTGGATGTTCAACTTTCTGGGTCTGCTGAGCTTGCCCGTCGTAAGGAGAAAGATGTACCATTTCTTGTTCTACAGGAGTCATGTCTTGTTGAGCGCCCTCGTGATTCCCATCTTGTGGGCACACGTGCCATACACGAGGTTCTACGTGGCGCAAGTTGCGGCGATTTGGGTTCTTGGAGGATGGTTGAGGAGCATGAGTGCGAAGACAAACGTGCAGGAGTTGAGATGTGAGAACATACCCGGCACGGACCTTGTGCGAGTGAGGTTTCTCGTCGACAAAACCAGTGCACTGGCGCGCGCGACGCCAGGACAGCACGTCTACGTCCGCTCCAGGGGTGTGATCGGTCCGAAGACGCCGTTTTCGATCGCCAACGTGCAGCAGTACTCGGCCAAAGATGGGCAGGTGGAAGTGATGCTCGTTCTCCGGGCCATGGGCGGTCCGGGGACTTCCTTTTTGGAATCGCTTTCCAAGTCCAAGCATGAGCTTAAAGAGGCGGAGGCGGCGGCGGCGGAAGAAATCCAGATCGAAGGACCCTACGGCGAAGCTGGCGTGTACATGCCTGCGATCCTCCGCTCGGAATATGGTGGTCCTGCCCTTCTTGTCGCTGGTGGTATAGGCGCCACGTACATCTTGCCGATATATATTGCTCTGATGAATTCACGTCGTCGCCTACGCCGAGCACCGGAGGGAGGAGGGGCGCGCATTAAGATGATATGGCTGGTCAAAACAATGGCTGATGCGCGATGGGGCCTTGTATTGCTCATGAGCTGTTTGCGAGAAGGAGAAGATGGACTCCAGCTTGATGTGGACGTATACATTACCACTGTCTCGTCGTCTTCGTCCTCCGCAATGTCCGCAGACGATCTCGACCTCCAATTGTTGAAGAGACAAGGCCTCAACATCCACCAGCTCGGCCACCGTCCGAATCTAGGTCCTATCATTGACGGAGTTTTTGGCGGCGAGCGAGTATCACCCGATATGGAGGATGAAGTCACCGTCTTCGTGTGCGGACCGCGCAGTCTTTCGCGCAATGTGAGGAACATCGTTGGACAAAGGGTCATCAGCCAGGGAAAGAGGGCGAGGTGGTTCGAGGAGGTGTTTGGGTTTGGAGGGAGTTGAGCGGCGTTGCGTTGGCGATGTTATACAGGTAATTACATTGTGAACAGCCGAGTGTCTGGGTATATAGATGGCGATGGGTTGTTGGGCTTGGTATGGGATAGTGTTAATCGAGGTTAGATCGCGATATTTATCTTCGCTTTATGTTGGGCTTTATATGATATTGACGGGAAGTTGTCGTTGTCGTTGTCGTTATCATGGCAGAGATATTCCCACAACTGTTACCCCAAGATGATTTAGTTAATGCTATCGCTATTCCATCGTGTTGGTCTTTAGCCCGTTTCATCATTCGCGCAACCATCCCTCAGGACCGTTCTGGGAATGATCCTTGTTCTTCAAGTGCGTAGCTACCTAGGTTTTTTTCTCACTGCGGCTCTTGTCACTCACCGCGATAGAAGCGACCTTTATAGCACTCAAGCCGCGCACTTAATTCGGCTCACCTCCTCCTCTCTCTCGCCCGCTGGTTATGTGTGATTGTGATTGTGCTTGTTGTGTTCGTGTGTGTGTCTCTCTCTCTCCCGTCATCGTCATCGTCACCTTCCACTATCATCACCACTGACTCGCGTGACGGGCTTATCACTACCTAGGTATCTCCCCATGCTACAGAAAGCTCCCTCGCTGGGGACTCAAAGCCCAAAAAGGACCTCTAAGCTCACCCGTCACCTCACAGCCACAGCCACAGCACGACATAACACGGTAAGAGTCCCAAACGGAGCACTGTCAACCTGCGAGACGTCAAACGAGGATCCATCACGTCCATCACTCGACACACGGTTAATTCTCGACTGATCCCACGAGTTTTGCTGCCCATATAAATACTCGTCTCTTTGTCTCTTCTTCTTGACCTTGCATCCTGGCTCATCAGCTTTCCCTTGACTTCGGGGTTTTTTCTGTCTTTGCGAGAAGAAGGAAAGGTTTTCGAGCAAACAGATATCTCTCAAGCATTGCGTATCGCAATCTTAAACCTGATCTCCCAAATACACACGATATCAAGATGGCGCCCGTTCTCAGCTGGACGACACCGGCGACACTCCTCTTGCTCGGACTCGGTTTCATGTCGGCTCCACCGCCAGTCTCTGGCGCTCCGATCCCCCATAGGCACAAGCACCAGCACGGACGTTTTCATAGGCATGGCGTCGCTGGGAACAAGGACAATCCCGGACTCAAGGCCGTGCCCGAAGGTTATCCCCCGACCGTGGAGACGCCGACGACGCGGTTCGTGGACTACCCCGTCGAAACGTCCTATATCTCCATCAAGCCTCTTCCTGTAGAAGTGGAGGATATACACCAGGCGCCACCCACGGTGTCGTTCGAGAGCATTGCCGACCGCACTCGTCCTCTGGTTCGCAGCTCTGGCGGAGGGCCTGGGAGTCCACCATACCCGCCCAACGGCCCTGTTCGAGTCGGCGGTGGCATATTCGGGGCTCTCGCATCCCGGGCTCGACTTTTTGTTCGTAGTTCCGGTGGTGGTAGTGGTGGCGGCGGAGAAGGAGGTGTCTCCAATTCGGCCCTTGCCTTCTTTCTCGCCGCCGTAGGCTTCTTCTTCGTCTCTTTGATCTGGAATCTGTACGTCCGCTTCGGCTGGGCCCGGGACAAGGCCAAGCAGACGGATATGGGTGCTGTGGGAGCCATGCGACTCGGATCACTGGGAGGAGAAGATCGTGGCAAGGGCAGAGGGAAGGCTCACCGCAGCCCCGGCGGGTGGTTGCGCGCAGCAAACGCGACGCCCACTCCGGTTGCTGCTGTCTGAGCATTCTTTTGAAAGGGCTTCGACTGCGCTGGACCTTTGGCAGACATCTTCTTAGAGTTTGTGCATCTGGGAAACATAATATGATGGCAGGCCGGTTGAGCTTATATGGACGACAAATGGGCAGGATGGCGGTGATTCCCTCAGAGTATCGAGCTTATCAATCCAATGACAATCTTAGCTGGTGAATCGACTTGGAGCGATGGCGTTGTGCCATTTCTTGTAACCAGCAGCCGCTAGAAACTGCCGGCGATCCTCAGTTTGAAGTGAAGGAAAACGTGATTTCTTGACCTTTTGCTGGCTGTGAAGTTGAGCGCCGCAGACTACGTGCGCTGGTAGAACGTATTCGTAAGAGTCGAAAACCTTGTATACTATATCTGTTCGATGATATCCTTGACGCTCGAGTGAAATAAAAGTATGTACTGAGATTCATCCTGCTGTGGGGTTTTCATGCCACCAAGTTCCATCTGCGCAGAGAGAACCGTCCGAATCAGGCCTTCGCGACCATTTCGGATATGGTCCTTTGATGCGTGCTGCGATACAGTGTGCCGCGATCACCAACCGAGGGAAGAGGACAGCATCTCCCGTCACCAACGTATTCCAGTAGATTCTGCACTTTGCGACTCACAAGCCTGATTGCTCAGTCGCACGAACCAGTTTGCTTCGGTGACTGTCCATCTCTCATCGCAAGGGAGACACCCAAGACACAACGACTGACCTCTGTTGACGCCAGGTGCAAACGGAAAGACGATTGGAGAGCACATAAAAGCCGAGACTCACCTTTGTTCGGGTTTGTCACAGATCTCATGGCTCTGTGAAGGCAGTTTGGACGGGTCGATGGTCCGGCAGGTGAAGTGTGGACGGTGATACGACGAGGGCTCATATAAATATCTCGAGTAGGAGCGAGCTCGACCTCTTTTTCATCATCTTTTACCAATTGGCAACCTCCGGCAAGAAACATATTTGAGCACCCGCTTCTCAACACTTGCAGTGATCTGGTACTAGGCTGACACAGCTGAAGATAACTCGATTGTGTCGATCGAGCGCCAACTCTCAAAGCCCAGCAAAGCGACAATGAACGGGTGGCTAATCTTCTTCATTATTTTTATCGTCATCTGGGCGATCGCCATGGTGGCGGTTGTATGGAGGCGCAGGCAACGAGCCATAGCCAGGCGACAGCAGAGACAGAGGGGACAGGAGAGACAGGAGGGACAAGACCAGGCCAACGGATTGCCGTCAGGGCAATATCCGAGTGGGCTCTGAAATGCTTGGTGTGGGTAAAGCGCTCCCTTGCAGACGTGGGATTGAAGGTTGGCTGCTCTTGTCATGACTGAACCAACTGTGGCGAGCATCAAACAGGAACTCAGGCGTGATACTGTTGCTAAGCAGACGTCTGCTGGATCAGTGACATGGCCAGATCTCGCTGGGTTCAAAAGCTGATCTATATCTCTGATAAGTCAGTCCTGTACGACCATTTAATCAACATCATAATCAACACCACCAATTTGTCACGCCTATCTCTGCGCGAGACCCAAGGATACTCCGACACTTCGACGAGAAAGCGACATGGTCTCAGCCCTGGCTCCAGCGCTGCCGCTAGTCCTGTCCGTCTTCATCTCCGGAGCTATCGTCCTTGCATATATTCACAAAATTGGTCCGAACCATCCGTTAAGGAGAGTGAACCAGCGAAGGGGGACTGACACGACCGTGACACATCCATAACGGGCCTGCTGATTATCAAAGTCGACTGGGAGGTCGTGATGTCGAGCATGTTGAACCTCCAAGCTTTCGCGTCTGGACACGAAGTCGATGAGATTGATGGACGGGTCGAGCTGGCACGGACAAGATGAACAACAATATGACCGAGAGGGGAGTTGTCTGGTACTCAGGAACAAAGATTCTCATGCGCTTATCCTCGGGGGGCCATTTGCGAGCCTTGTGACCTCGATGGGCATCTGCTGAAGTTTAGCTTAATGATGGAGCGGTACAAAGCTAGAGGAAAGCAACGCCGAAATATCCTAAGGAAACAAACTACCATGCCAATATGGGACATCCCGTAGACTTGTCAGAATGTTTGCATTCGAAAGTCAGCACCGACCCAGCACAGCAACGATTTCATCTGGTCTTTGAAATGAGTCTAGGGACATTGCTATGGCAGTAAAACGCCCCTGCGGTCTTACTGTTGCGTGCTCCATGAAGCGTAAGGGGCAATGCAAAGAGGCAGAAATGCCGTCAAAGGAGTTTTCCTGATTGCGTATGACTCGTCGCTTTGGTGAGCAGCAGGAAGATCGACATAGCCACTGCCCAGTGGGATGATACCGCAAATCGGAGATCCTTGGAGAAAGTCACGAAAGTGAGAATTGATAGCGACGGCTTGAGGAGAAGGGTCAGGGCCACCAGCTAGGCCTACAACATGGCTTGGCTGTCGACAGCTGCGTGAGTCGTCTGAGAGGCTTCTTCTTACCCTCTGGCTGTCCGGTGCCAAAGTAGTGCGGGTCAGGAGAAGTGTCCAACATCGGCCGATGAAACTTCCCACAGCCAAGGAGTCGAGTTGCTTTAGCTTTGGGCAATTGCTCAAGGGAGACCTTCTGCTTCAAAATGAAGATCTTGTAAATAACAGTGTTCAATGTCAGCCTGCCAGCTCGACCTGCCTTGTCTGACCCTGATGGTTGTGCAGGTGTGACACATCCCAGTCTCGGTCGACCACGCGGTGACCCAACATCCAATTATTGCGACTGTTGCTGAGATCTTCCTGGGGAGCTCTGGCGACTTGGACGAGGAGCACAGCGAGAGAGCTGGGGCGCTCATTAGAGGGTCCAGAACCCGTAGAGCTAAGGTATGGTAGTGAAGATCTTTCGGAGAGGCGTGGAGTGTGGTCTTCTCTCGACGTTGATCAGCGGGTCGACGACAGCTCGTTGGATAGTTATCTCGCCTGGGTCCGCAGAGATGATAGAAAGGCAAAGAGCGGGGAGACTCCTTCAGAGTACTTGCGGACGATCGAGGAGACGGCACCGTGGTGATGATGGAAGGTTGAAGGGTGAAGCGCAGTCTGGCTCGATGTCTGCGGCGGCAATGAGCACAGCACTGAGCAGTAATAGTAGTGGGAACCCAACGAGCAGGCCAGCTTTAGGTAGGTACAGGCTAACATCTACTTGGTAACACCCCTCATTCACCCCTCCTGGCACCCACCTGGTGCCCCCAAAAACCTAACACAGGTAGCACACAGGAAGCTGCCCTTCCCCGTGTCTCTCTTCGTCCATCATTGCTGCTTCGAGTTGTCCATCGTGATGCTTTTTCGCCCCCTGCACTCAACACGCGACATGCTAGCAGCCATTGGAGATTTTCTCTGTGTTCCCCTGGATTATTTGTGCACTGACTGCCGCATGCTTGACCATGCCAGTCTGTGAGAGAATCATGGGCTGATCATGCTCACGTTCCCTTCCCGAAGATGGGATGGATCACACCTCGGCATCCTTGGTTGCTAGTGAGGCAGGCGCCATGCTGAATGTGAATGTCAACGTGTGAGATCGAATGTTTGCTGCTGGGCTCCGACTCTGATGCCTTCCTCGATACCCAGTCACGGGTTGCTTCTCTTTTCTTTGTCTCCCTCAGAGAAAGCCAGTCTCATCAGAGACAGACCCGAACTCACACCATCTCAGACTCCCACTGACTGTCGAAGCAATCCTTGACTACTGACCCTCGTCAATTCGCTGACTGTCGTGCTCCCTGGAGGAGTTGACCGCCCTTCAGCTCCTCATGAACCTACCCTCCTCTAAAGATCACCTCTCACCATGGCTTCAACCTTCTTAGGTCGACTCATTCGCCAAGTCTCCTTCTACTCGTTTGGCTTCTTCAACTGGTGCCTTTTCCTGGGCTTGTTTGTGAAAAATGGGACGTTCTTCAGGAAGGACACCGAGCAAGATAAGCTACAGTTTGCAATTGGTCAGTCAAGTGTTCAAGAGCCTGGATGGAACATATCTGACAATTCTTGTCTACAGAAAGAGATCGCTTCTGGAACCTGACCAAATCACCTCTGCCTGGCTTCAAGCACTTCTTCTACACCCTCCGCAACGGGCTCAGACTGCACTATATCAGCAACCGCGATGGAACTTCGCAGGGCAATTTGGTGATATTTTTCCATGGATTCCCCGACAGTTCGATGATGTGGAGACATCTCATGCAAGAGCCTGCCATGCCAATCCGCGATGCTACCCTGGTCTGCGTCGATTTACCTGGGTATGGAGGCAGTGACAGTTTCAAGAAGTACGACACGGAAGTGCTCGAGGCTCTTACGGAATTTGTTGTGGCAATGAGGGACAAATACATCCCTGCGGAAGACTCAGACGAGACCAGCACGTTCATTGTGGGTCATGACTGGGGTTGTGTTTTGGGATTTCGTCTGGCTGCAGAGGCTGCATGCCTTGCAGATCGCTTCATCTTGACAAACGCGCCGCACGTAAGTTATCGGACTCCAGTGCTACCAGCCTCGACAGTCTGACCTTGCATGCAGGTTGAACTCGCCTTTGCCAACAGAGACCGAATCCTGAACTCAGCCTCGAAAATCTTCAAGCAGTTCAAGCAGTCTCCGAAACAAAATTTTGGGTGTTTGTCAAAGGCCCTGAATACTTTGAAGCCATTGATGGTGCAAACATTGTTAATGGGCTACATTTTTGCATTCCATCTGCCGTCGATCTTCGTCCGGTACCTGGGCGTGGCTGGGAACTATTCATTCGTTCGAGGGGCAAATTGGTCATCATACACAAAAGGCTCAAAGGAATATCGTGCTCAAGAATGCATGGCCTCTTCTTTCGGCCCTGGCCCAGAGGAGTGCAAAACTTCAATTCCGACCGTCAACGGCGTCGCCGACACCACCAACGGAGAGACCCAGGCAAACTGCTACGGGCCCAGCGTGTTGCAACGTGCACGATCTCCTCAAGAGGCTTTCTGGAATATGACCGGCTATTATCGGGACGGAGTAGGCTGGCGTCCATGGACCAAGTCGCTCGAGACTATAACCGATCTCTACGCTCTGGAGACCTCGGCGTCTGAATCCAGTTCTCCCGGCAGACGTCGATCTTCAATCTCACAATCTTTGTTTGTCGATCAGTACAAGGGAAGCCTCAAAGCACCTACATACGTACTCTGGGGAGAGAAAGATCAAGCCTGTTCCAAACGGATCTGTCTGGACGGAATTGGAGACTACTTGGGCAGAGACAGCGAAGTGACAATTCTTCCGCGGAGCGGCCACTGGACTCCTGTTCAGAAAGAAGCTCGACCGGCTCTCGCTACCGCGATTGGGTTATTTGCCGGAGGAGGTGCAAGGCCTGTGGCGAAAATGACCACTGAGGTGGAGAAAGTGTACCAAGGAGCTGTTTTGATGGTGAAAAAATGAAGCATAAGCCGAATAAGTCGAAAGACATTTTGTACTTCTGTACTCAGATCCGGCACCTGGGGTGGGTTTCTTCTGTACTATAGCATTCATCAGCGGCGTGTTCATCCATTGCTGATTATTCCTGCTCGAGCGGGAGATGAAATGAGAACTCTTAACCTACCTGGTCCTTAACAACATTTCTGGCTCTCTCTGTATACACACGCCCAAGGGATATTCAGCGCCGTCTCCTCGTGGCTAGGATGTAGAACGACCAAAATGTGAGCTGCATAGCGAGCACGATCAAAACCACCCCCGTGACCGTCAAGGGCAAGTCCCGTCCTCTGTAACAGGTTTCATTCGGTATAGTGGCTCCTGAAGGTGGCGAAGGAGCAGCTGCTCGCGCCTCAAGGTGCCCTGGCGTCCGATGTGCCTGACCTGGGCTTATGAAGGAGACGGTAAAAGTAGCCGCGGCGAGGAAGACGCCGGCAAGGAACATGGTGACGAATGCGCCGCGGGAATGCCGATTCATACGTAAGGTAGTTTTCTGGGAGGCTTTTCAGCTTTGGCCGACGAGAAAAGAAAGATTGGAAAGAAAGAGGTGCCCGGATGCAGGGCTCCTGCTTGAGATATTCGTGAGAATCTAGCTGTTCGCTTTGGAACATGAACATGAACGACTGGCCAAGGTAGGAACAAGTAGGAGAAATCAAATGTTTGCTAAGACCTCGATCCCCTTTTTTTTTGGCTCCTTCTCGCTCTCTGAGCACTTCGGGTGACGTTGAACCCTTAGGTAGTCAGATGTGTGTTTTGTGTCCCTTCAGCCGGTACCAGCCGCCAGCCAGCCAAGGGGACGTCTCTCGTGTCTCTCGTGGCTCGTCCTAGTGACATGGTCTCTAGGCATGTGTCTTGACCCTTGTGCCGAAGTGACATTTGATGAGATGTATGTGAAGGAGGAGCAAGGGGCAGGACGAGAACTCGAGAGAAAGGGGGACAGGAGAAATCGGGTGAGTAGGTGAGCGAAAGAGACCAGACAGAACGAACGAGGCAAGAGGCGTAAATGTATATATGCATTGAGAATCATAATGACACAGAGAGAGTACCTGACCCAGTTTTTTGACACCGTATGCTCCCCATTCGCAGCCCAAGGACAAGGAGATCGAGAAAGCCAGAAAGTTTCCATGTCCCCCCCTTCTCGCTCGTCAATTAATAATTAGAGTTGGTAATGGTTTTGGCTGCGCCTTTCTCACAGGTATTAGGACCGCCTGCCCATGAAGGGAGACAGGCAATATTCATCCCCAGGGCACTCTCGAGAGCAAGCGAGCTTGCAACTTCGATGGGATCATGGCTTATTTCTTCCGTACTTCCCTTCGGTCTTGATCCCGCCGCGTTGCGGAAGCAGATTTCCTGACGTGTTGTCCGGAAAGGCCACGCTTAGTTGTTGTTCAGCCGTCAACACGCAGATCTTGCTCTTCGAACTGCGTGCCGCGACGTGCCCGAATCCTCCGCCTGCGGATATCATCGTCTGAACTTCCTGGCTTATGCACCCCGAGCACGCGAGGAATCTTCGTGGGAGAGATTAGAACAAGAGCTCAAGACAGCAACAGCATGTCAGGGCAGCCAGGAATGCCGCACAGCACCCATCAGCCGCTGCTTGATTTGGCGATCTATCATAGTATCCCACTGGAGGGCCTTGTTGATAATACATGCCCGGTTGCGGCGGACCGTAGTATCCGTATGGTTGTTGGCCCGGGGGACCACCCTGCGGCTGCCAGGGACCCGGGGGACCTTGGTTCCAGCCCTGAGGCGGGACATAGCCACCGTTGGGGCCTTGAGCTGGAGGATACGACTGAGGCACAGGACCACGGGTGTTGTCTACCGGTGCATCGGGCGGATAGTATGGGCCGGCGTCGTGGTGTACCTGCGGCGGCACGGTCAGCGCTCCGTTGGGTGGAGGGCCGGCGGGCGGTTCGTATTTGTCGTTGTCGGCCATAGTGAAGATAGATTGGAAGGGCGTAGGTGTGGTTGTTAAACTGTGGTCGTCGGGTTCAGAGATGAGGACGCTTCACAAAGTCGGTCGGCCGGTCGGTTGCTGGAGTGGTCAGTCGAGCGCAGTTTTCGCGGTGGCCTGTCTGCGGGGTGACGAGGCTGAGTGAGCGAACCTTGCACCACAAGGATCAGGCTGTGGGGGTCCTGACTGGATGGTCGCTTCAGAGAGTCAATGCCCTGGGTTTTGCAGTTATCTCGTGTATGTGTTGTTCAACGAACGCTGCAGCAGTCATGCGCAAGTTAGTAACAGCACTGTGCTTCAAAAGAGAAAGAGATGCTGGCGGATTTCAAATGTTGCGCAGTCAGGCAGCGGAGCTCCTGTCATTGATTATGAGAGCCCGTCGGCGCGGTCGGCAAGACGCGCAAGAAGGCGCTGTGTGAATCCTTGCTCAGCCACTACTAATTACCACTTGCCCCTTGCCGCCGCGTGCCGAATTCGGCTCTTCGTTTTCGACCGCCAAGTCACGGTTGGGCGTGGGTGGTAGAAAATGCTGGAAGCTCTAGGTAATTCATATGGAATGGAGGGCGCGGAGGATGGTTTAAACCCAACACTGCCGAAAGCCTCGATGACCTCAAGCCGCCCGCTCGCCGCCCACAAAGTGCAGGACCCTGAAAAACACTGACGTGCCAGTGCCGGGCATCGAGGGCATCTCGATTCTCGAGTGCTGCAAGAAATGCTGCGAACACCCCCATCGCGCCCTGCTCAACCCAGCCCTTTGGTCAATAGTAATGGTCACCAGCATTGCATCGCGTCCCCCATCTCGGTGGGCTACTAACAACGACCGGCATCAAACCAACCCACGGGACAACTAATTACATGAGAGAAATGAAGAATCCAGCCCACGTGCCCCCTCGAAGATAATTTTTGTGCAACGCACCTTGGGTTGGGAAGGATCGTTTTGCCGGCAAGACGGACCAGTCGACAAACCTGCAGCTATGTAGTTGTATGTGCATACCCAGGTCTTCATAGGCTACGGACGAGTACGACTACATGTACCTTGTAGACCGTGCACTGTCGACTGGATGAACCGAGTCCGCGGTTGAGCTCCCTCATCACCTCATCGTGAGCGGTGTACTCGGTAAGTGATATTGATGCCTGGATCAGGCTCTGTCCGAAAGCTCCTATGAGCAGGTAGAGATAAACATGTAATTCCTTTTGATTGTCTGCTTGGTGTAACGGCGCGGCAGGATTACTCGGTACTCGTAGTGGTGGTGATGATGATGATGATGATGATGACGATCATGGGTATTGCGAGGATTGGTGATGGAATGTCCCAGGCTTGCTGGCTTGTAGCCTGCTACCTAGGATCGAAGTCTGTCCCACCTCTGTAGTGCTGCACCCACATGCACCCACATGCACCAAAACTGCCCTCATACTCGCAATACCAAACACCAACCAGCATCCCTCTGCGCACCCCAAGCACCTCTTGCCACCCCCCAACCTATGCCCCCAGGCTCCCAAAGGGCCCAAACCCCCATGCTTTTTAGTGAGCCGATCACCCATCCACCTGCCCATCATCAGCTTGGCTTGCTGCTTGGGGGAGCACTAGGTAGGTACTCATTCTTTTCCCGTCCCACCGATGGGCTGCGCGGTAGGGCCGGGCCCTCGCGTCTCCCCCCTTCGACGAGCTCACACAGGACAAATCGAATGCGTCCCCGAAATGGAGATATACCCCCGGTTACCATACGAGTACATGACTTCATGGAAGCGGTCAATTTGTATTTGTGACCTTCTCTTCTTTTTTTTTCTTCTTCCTCTCGAAATTCCCATGTGAAAGTCAAGATAATCCTGGTTGTATGGGTTGTCAAGGTTGCGTTGCTGGCAAGTTCCGCCTTTTCCCTATCTTACTCCTTCCAAGCATTCGTAGCAACAAATCCCATTTGATTCGTAGCCAGAGGTGTGTCCGGGAGTACCTCGTACCAGTACAGGTTCTCCGTCCCCCTGCACCGCAGGATCTGAAATCGCGAGTGGATTAACCCCACTTTCAGCACACCACCACTATCCTGTCAACAACAACCAAGTTAGGGAGTCAAAGCAAGGGACTGTGTCTTGTATCACCAACACTCACAGCAAATTCCCACCACCACGACCCGTACCTACCTTACCTTTTCGTCGGGATCGGCTGTGTGGGTTCGTGCTGGCGCTGCTGCTATCTCTCTAGACTCTCGCTCCTTGGCCGTGTGGGTCTCTTCTGCTGCGTCATGAATTTATTCTGCTCAATGGCCGAGTTGTCCATGCCTAGCCAGTTCCGTGGATGAGAAGAGAAAGAAAGGGAGCCCTGGGCGATGGGCGACCAGGGGCCAGGATGCAGCGGTGGGGGTCCGAGCGACACGGAGCCAAAAAAGAGGGCCATCCGGGCCACTTCGAACCTTGTCGGCGGGATCCCACGTTGTTCCGTTCCGCCTTGCCGCGAGCGAATACTAGGTAGGTACCAATGGTGTCGACGGAGTCCTGAGACCTGGCACCCGCTGGCAGTTTCGTTCCAGTTCCAAAAAGCAGCCTCACTAGCCTTATCCTTATCATTACACCATCAATCTGCACTCTGGACGTGCAGCGCCCATCAGCAAAGCCCGCCTTGCCAGCCAGCCCATCTGGTGCTTCCAAAAGATCGCTTGTGTCGCACATCAGCGATGGAAGACAACATCGTCGGGCATCCTTGGAGGCTAGCCACAAGCCCACCCCCCAAAGCCTCTCCCGATCCATGTTCATTCTACCTGCATTTTGCCGTTTCCTGCCATCCCCGATTGTTGTCCGTCTTCTGATTCGACCCTCCTGGCCCTCAACAAGGTTAACGAGGTCCATTTGCCTGACAGCACGCAGGCACATGCCTCCCTCTGTCTTGCCGGCAGACAACCTCCTCGATTGACCCGAAGCGCACAGGGCACTATCGGTCCTGCACCTCAGCGTCTGCGTAGATAACGACCTTACCTTTCGTTGAACTCCTCCATCCAGAATACCCATCCACCCAGCTGATAAACTTCTCCTGACCATCAGAGTTGATTATTGCGTGCCAGTCTCCCAGGCTCTCTCTCCCACAGGATTTTTTTCCTTCTTCCTCCCTCCTCTCTTCTTCCTTTCTGACCTTCTGTCGCTGATCACGGTACAATGAGCACTTATCTGTGGTACACGTTCAGCTGGAGTTCTTTGAGAAAGAGCTTTGCGCCGTGGTAACACCCACCTCCTCCCAGAACAGCTGCGTATGTCACCCGTACCCACGGTCGCTCACCGTACCTTGTCCATCATATGGGACCAGCCATAACCATAATAATGGATGCTGACACTTTGCCAGGTCAACAGTGCATTCTCGACCCAAGTTTGCGTATACAGATATCATAAAGCTGGTGATATCGCCCTCTTCGGAGGGGGAGGGGGTCTTTCCCCTTACGAAAGGCTCTGGACCTATACCGACATCTTCATATGCATTGCATAGACTACGTTTCTTTTTGCCGGAGTCGTTGATCGAACCCGGGCGTCGGCATCTCTGGCCTCGATGTTTGGCTCGAACGCGTTGCCGCTTCCCCCACCCTTTGCCCACGAACATCGTCCTCTCCGGTTGAGCGCTGAAAGCGCCCGCCCCCTCCCAACCGGAGAATGTCGATATCTCCTGTTGCACCCTTCGGCACAGAATCAACAATGTTCGTGCCAATCCTTCCACCTTAATCGAAGCGCGCCTGGCACCATCTGTGAATGCGGCCATCAAGCCTGCTACCACGTCCACCAGGAAAACAATAATGAAAAAAATACGGATACACTCAATGCTGTTCTTGATAAGATAAACATCGTCTTTGATAAGGTCAAGCGTTTGGAGGAAACCATTCAGAATGAACGCAGCAATCGGGATTCTGCTTTACACAGAGAAAGACAGATGTGGGAAAGAGAGGTTCGCATTCTGCGTGAGGCGTTAGCACCGTTTTATCAAAGCGAGAAAGAAATGCGTCGACGCATCGTCGACATTGAAGATAGAGTTGAAGGCAACTATGATGAGCATGTCCGCCTCAGAGAGCGCGTCGTTGCCGTCGACGACGCCACCATGTCAATGGAGAAGAGGGTGGAGGAACTCGAAGATTTCCGCTTCAAGAGGCGACGTTTGGGTCGCAATCACCCTCAAGACCAACCTTCGCAGAATGGCTACGTCTCGTCCGACCCAGACAACTTCAGACGAGTCTCTTCCAGCGTCGATGGAGGTTCGGTGCGCACGCCTTCATCAAGGGCGTTGTCGCCCAATGGGACTGCACATGCTCCCGCGCCGGAGCCGGAAGAACCTCGTTCAAGTGGGATCCTCAACCTTGTTGCTGAAATGCCCCGTCCTGGACCGTTTGTCAACCTGCCCCAACGACTCTCACCGCCACAAGAGGAGCCTAGATCAAGCGGCTTCTTGACATTGGACATGGGTGAGCGACTCAAGGAGAAGCCTGTTTCTGAGCAGCTAGCACAGATCTCCATCCATCAGGCTGCTCGAATTACTCCGCCCCATGATCGCCCAAGTCCTTCCAGCTCTGCAAAGTCCATCCAGGAGGTCCCTTCCAAGGCTATTCGAACCCCTCCCGAACTACTCCACACCAAAATGCCAATCATTGATGTGATGGTGCTCCCCGGCAACATCTCTCCAAGGAAGAGAAAGCATCATATCGACCACATCGCTCTGGATGTGCTTGCCGATGTCACTGTCGCCAGCCCACTCATTCCCTGATGCCCCATTCAATTCTAGCTACCTCACTCATTTTCGCCCTTCTACCATTATGATGTGGTAGCCATGGCTTGTTTTGACCTCGGCATCTGTGTTGGATGATTAGCGCAGGGGACCAAAGGGGATTAAACGGTCATTTTTGGATTATAACATGGACACCACATCCTTGATCGCACAGGCTGACTCTTTTTCGTCACATGGTGGTCGAACTAGCTTAGGAACGCTCATTGTGTGACCCAGTTCCTTTGTTGTACAGGTAGATACCAAACAGTAACAACACAGTCATTGTAGCCAGTCTCAGTCAATGAGATAAGGAATCAGACTCACATTTGGGATTTGCTGTTGTGGAGGGTTCTAATTCGTAGGCCACTTTTTCAAAGTCTCCATGCAGGCTGCCTCTGGTTTTCCAGCCCAGCGATCCCCCTGTTGAGATTGATAACGAATTTTCTCATGTTAGTCCCTGCTGACTGACGGACTCGGCGACTGGCTGACACAAAGGATCTGTCAAAGCAAGGGTGAGGATAAGTCGCAAACTCCATACCTTGTCTGGCCTTATCCTCTGAGAATTCCCTTGCTACCTCGTCGAATTTGGCACCTTCGCGCAGCTTTGCCAGGGCTTCCTCTTTCTTGGAATGCTTTTCGCACTGTAGAGGGACCACAGAGTATTAAAAAAGGTGTTGGCTGAGTGGAGTGGTATCTGCGGACACGGCTGGATCTCACTCTTCGTGCCCAACCTTGGGATCAACCTACCAAAATGTGCCTCACGTTGATGGATTGAGCCGCTTTCAGCTTCCCACTTCCACTGGCCGATGAGCCATCGTCATCTTTGCCTTTGCCTTTGCCTTTGGCACTGCCGGAGGAGGCTTTGCCGGAATCTTTGCCCTTGGGCGCCATTGAAGCCTCTGAAGAAAAGTCACCCTTTCAGATAGAGTGGCTACACAGGCTATACAGGCTATACAGGAACACTGCCCCAAGAATGATCTTGGATGCGTTCCGAGATAGAAGGTAACATTGACAATTATTAGCTGTTGGGTGATGCTCCGGCAAGTCTGCAAATAGGGTGATCTCGCAGCAGCCGTACCCAATCCCTAAGAAGAAATAGAGCACAAACGCAATAGAGCTGCGGCGGGCAGTGCGGCAGCGCAGCGTTCCCGCATTCGGACTGGCTTCGGATGAATCTCTTGGCGGCGCAGAGCAAATGACGCTCGCTCCCTCGTGTTGGCCCCAGTCCAGTTCCCGGGGTGGGCGTTTGGCTGCGTTTGGCACTACGACTCGCCCCTTGTTCTTCTTGTTCCCTTTGCAAAAAAAGTCAGAAGGTGCCTTGTGGATCAGCCAGCGAGCAAACCTCAGCAGCTGCCCGTCATTCTCCTCGCTTCCAGGCCGCCCTGCGCACCACGCTCACCAGCCACTGCACAAACAAACACCCAACACAACGAGCAAAATGTCGCTGGATGGGAAGGAAAACTAAAATTGTTGGCGATTTGACAACATCGCAAGAGAGACCCATGTCCCATAGATAGAAAAATGCTGTATACCAACTGCTCCGTATATAAAGAGTCGTCACGTGACGGGCTTTGATGTTCTTTAACGCCGGCCGGGATTCGCGCTTTTCGAGGAGAATGGTGATTCCAGACATCCGGGATGAGCTTGGGCTTTGCGGATTGCACCCACGGCTGCACCAACTGCGACTGACCATGACCCAGCATCTTCTTCATCGCCACCAACCTTCATCTCCTTTAATCCTCCCTTCATCCTCATCACCATCCCATCGCATTACCCAATTGCGCGACAGTGAATACTTTTCCATTGCCCAGCTGAACAATTATGTCGCCAGCCCCTTGAATGATTCCGAATCCGGTGACACGACCTGACTGTATCAGCCGAACGCCCTGAGGAAAGCCAAACGGAGCCCATCGACCCTCCTCTCTACCACTCCAATCCACCATCGCCGCGATCCCTCTCACAAAGGGCCTTCCCACCTGCTTGCAGCGCCGTGCCACGATTTGGCGATGGAGACTGGGCAAAGGCAATAGATAAACACTTTGATAGCAAGTCTGTGCCAGTAGGACCACCACACCCACGGTAGAACACAAGCAACCACGCCGTTTGGTGGTCAACAAAGGGAAAAAAGAATTCACAATGTCTGGATCAACACCTTACGCGGTTCGTTCGCCAACGCAGTCGAACCAATACCCACCACCTTATTCACCAACTCACCCGAACCGCCCATTTTTTGGCCATGAACCCTTTCAAATACCTCCTCAACACCTCATTCAGACTCCGCCTCCATATCCTCCTGCGTCTCTGGTACACAGCCCACATCATACCCGACCCACGCTTGCATCTCCCTTACCTTCAGCCAGCGCTCTTCCACCGCCGCCACCACCTCCTCCTCTCCCTCCCTCGCTAGGCGCAGGACCGCAGTATCAACCTCTGACATCGAGTCCGCCATTTGCGCTTCAAAGATCGTACTCGGGACATCTGGTCCACCCAAGTATGCCGTCGCCCTACGATGTCAATCCGTCACACGCGCACCCACCTGGGCCTCCAAATTCGGCGCTGCAGTCACCCATGAGAGATCACCATAGCCTCACTAATGGAAGACCCGGAGACATGTCTTCGTCTGAGTCGCGGCCGCAATCGAAAGACGTGAGTTCCAAATGTACTATCGCCTAGCGAGATGCTGACTTTATTCCCACAGAAGCCTGACAGAGCGAGCAACCCAATGTCTTTTGCGAGCATTCTTGGTCCCTCAAACAACGAACCCTCTCCCAAACTGAGTGAAACAAAACTGCCTCCTGCGCGACTCGCAACGCCTCCACCACCACCACCACCACCGCCGCCGCCGCCGAAGCCTGTTGTAGAAACCAAGCTTGGGCCTGAAAAGTCACCTGTGACGAAGGTGCCGGAGATGGGTACAATTCAGCCCCTTACGAATGGCCACACCAAATCGCAACCCAAAGCAGAGGCTGTACATGCTCCCAAGAAATATCTTGCGCCACCACGACCACGGAAGATACTCACAGAAGGGGAGGCGGACAAGATACTGAAGGCTCTTGCCATCATTGACGAAACCAGTTTCAGTGACGCCGAGGATGCATCTTGGTCCGAACATAAGGAACGGTACAAGCAAAGAACTAGGAAGAGAGCTGCAGATGTGTATGAAGGCGAACTACACAAGCGCAAGGTAAATAATGCGTCTACCGCACCAGTGTTGCAGTCCCGCTAACCTCCCTTATAGCGCCGTCGCGGCTATCTCCTGGATTCCTTTATCCGATCCATGGACAAGCAGGCCCTAGTTGCAGCCCAACGCTTCCGTGAACGCTTCGAACCGGTCGCTGCCAAGGAAATTGCAGACAAGGATCATCAAAGTGAAAAAGAAAGAAAGAAAGACATGCAACGAAAGCGCCGTCGTGAGCAACAGATTCGTAACGAGAGGGAGAGGCTGGAGGAGCTCGAACAGCGTGCGAGAGACGCCGAAGATCAAGAAGAGGCACAGAAGTATCTGAGGCAAGCAGAAAAATCCCAGGCCCGCATAAAACAAACCACAGAACTACTCGAAGGTGTCCCGCCTCAAGAAGACATGGAAGTACCGGCACCGGCACCCAACTACGAAGGTGGTGTCACATCTTCCTTCCAGCTGGCCACGCCCGAACCTGGTGAGCCTCCCAAGAAGCGCAGCAAGAAGGATCCCGGTGCTCCCTCCGCCCGTTTAAAGAAGTCCAAGGAGAAGAAACAAGCCGAGAAAGATGCTGCGGAGGCTGCCTATGCGGCAATGGAAAAAGATGCTTTGATCCAAATTGCACCCAAGGAAGAAACGACCCCGGCTCCATCTGGCAAGTCCAAAAAGTCCAAAGTTCAAGAGGCCCCTGCCAGTCCTCCACCACAGACGGTCAACTACGAGTCGAAAGGTTATATTCAGATTTACGAGCAAATCTGGAGAGACCTGGCCAGAAAAGACATACCCAAAGTGTATCGGATCAAGCAAGTATCTCTCGCCACAAGAGGAGAAAATCTCCGCAAAACCGCTATCCTCGCAAGCAAACAGGCGAGGAAATGGCAGGAGCGGACCAACAAGAGCATGAAGGATACTCAAGCACGGGCGAAACGTGTCATGAGGGAAATGATGTCCTTCTGGAAGAGGAATGAGCGAGAAGAGCGAGATCTACGCCGTCTAGCAGAGAGGAAGGAGATTGAAGACGCGAAGAAGGCTGAAGCAGATCGTGAGGCCAACAGACAGAAGCGGAAACTCAACTTCCTCATCTCGCAGACAGAAATCTACTCGCACTTCATCGGGCGAAAGATCAAGACGGATGAAGTGGAGAGAGCCACAGATGACGCCGAAGTTGCCGGGTCCCAAGAGAAGAGCAGGCCGTCTGGATATCAGGACCGAGGCATGGACGACTTGTCACTATCCAACGAACACGGAAATCATAAAGTCACAAACTTTGAAGACCTGGATTTCGACGCCGAGGACGAGTCAGAGCTGAGAAAAGCCGCGGCGGCCAACGCCGCAAGCGCACTGCAGGATGCACAGGACAAAGCCCGCAACTTCAACGGACAAGACTCAATGGACGCGTTTGACTCGAGCGAGATGAACTTCCAGAATCCTACCATGGCTGGCGATGTACAAGTCTCCCAGCCGAAGATGCTGCAAGCACAACTCAAGGAGTACCAGCTCAAGGGTCTCAATTGGCTGGTTAATCTTTACGAGCAAGGTATCAACGGTATACTGGCAGATGAAATGGGCCTTGGCAAAACCGTGCAATCCATTTCGGTGATGGGCTACCTGGCCGAGCAGCACAACATCTGGGGACCGTTCTTGGTCATCGCTCCGGCCTCGACGTTACACAACTGGCAGCAAGAAATCACCAAATTTGTACCAGCCATCAAGGTTCTCCCATATTGGGGCAGTGCAAAGGACCGAAAGATTCTGCGGAAGTTCTGGGATCGGAAGCACATCACCTACACGAAAGACTCCGAGTTCCACGTCCTCGTTACTTCATATCAACTTGTCGTGATGGATGCCCAGTACTTCCAGAAGATCCGATGGCAGTACATGATTCTGGATGAGGCACAAGCCATCAAGTCTTCGAGCAGTTCGAGGTGGAAGACTCTTCTCGCTTTCCAGTGCCGCAACCGACTTTTGCTGACCGGCACGCCTATTCAGAATAACATGCAGGAGCTGTGGGCTCTGCTCCACTTCATCATGCCCACGCTGTTCGACTCACACGACGAGTTCAGCGACTGGTTTTCCAAAGATATCGAAAGTCACGCACAAAGCAATACCAAGTTGAACCAGGACCAGCTCAAGCGATTGCATATGATTCTCAAGCCGTTCATGTTGCGACGCGTCAAAGCTCATGTGCAGAAGGAACTCGGCGACAAGGTTGAGAAGGATGTCTTTTGCGAACTCACCTACCGACAACGAGCATACTACTCGAACTTGCGCAGCAAGATCAGCATCATGGACCTCATCGAGAAGGCGGCGCTGGGCGGCGACGAAGATACTGCCACCTTGATGAACTTGGTCATGCAGTTCCGAAAAGTTTGCAACCATCCGGATCTGTTTGAACGAGCAGACACAAGTTCCCCTTTCTCGATGTCGTATTTTGCTGAGACTGCCTCGTTTGTGCGAGAAGGTTCATTCGTGCAGGTTGGCTATTCCGTTCGCAACCAAATTCAATACGACCTGCCTCGAGTGCTGTGCAATGATGTTGGGAGAATAGACATCGCTGGACCCGCCAATCCCCACGCGGGCTTTCGACGTGCCGGCTTCAAGGCCAAGGGACTTGGAGGTCTGATGAGGATCTGGACTCCTGAGCACATCAAATCCTCGGCCGCGCAGGACGGAGCTTTCTCCTTCCTGCGATTCGTGGATACCTCGGCCGGTGAAGCCTCGTTTCATGGCGAGTCAGGACTCGTCGAGCGTGCCATGAGGCTCAAGAACCAGCAGGGACGGAGGTTACACATCTTCGAAGATTCTGAAGATGGACCGGACGGGCCGCCAGCACATGCTATGTTCAACATTGTGGAAAACGATCCCCGCCGCGCACTTAAGGAACTGGATCCCAATTCGAACCTCGCGAGACTCTGCAACATCTCCCAGGATACCATCGCAGAACATGGGGTTTCGGTGCTAGAGCCAGCGGCCCGACCCAAGGCGTTGGCGCCACCGATTGAGATCAGTTGCTTTGATCAATCCTCAATCTCTGAGCGACAGTTGACTCTCTTCAACATGGATGTCCGCAGTACGTTGTACCCGCTAGAGGAGTCACTCGAGGAGAAATTACTTGAGCGCGATGTGGATCCGGCCAACTTCCCCGTGTCCAACATGCTGCCTACGCCAGAATCTGCGAAGGCCAGGTACACCAACATCTCGGTGCCTTCGATGCGTCGCTTTGTTACGGATTCGGGCAAGCTAGCGAAGCTGGATCAGCTGCTTCGAGAACTCAAGATGGGTGGCCACCGCGTGCTCTTGTACTTCCAGATGACGCGTATGATCGACTTGATGGAAGAATACCTTACGTACCGCAACTACAAGTACTGTCGGCTGGATGGAAGTACCAAGTTGGAAGACCGGCGAGACACTGTACACGACTTCCAAACACGACCCGAGATCTTCATCTTCTTGCTTTCGACGCGTGCTGGTGGTCTCGGTATCAACTTGACATCTGCCGACACCGTCATCTTCTACGACTCGGATTGGAATCCCACGATCGATTCACAAGCCATGGACCGAGCTCATCGACTTGGTCAGACCAAACAGGTTACAGTGTATCGACTCATTACTCGCGGTACCATCGAAGAACGAATCCGTAAGCGCGCGATGCAGAAAGAAGAAGTCCAACGTGTCGTCATCACGGGCGGAGACGGGGCTGGCGTGGACTTCAATACTCGCGATCGACGTGAGAATAGGACCAAGGATATTGCCATGTGGCTTGCGGACGACGACCAAGCGGCTCTTATTGAACAGAAGGAAAAGGAAATTGCGGAGAAGCCTGATGATGAGAACACGAAGAAGAGAAGCAAGAAGGCTGCAGCTGCCGCAGCCAGACAGAAGCGGAAGGGCGAAATGAGTTTGGATGATATGTATCACGAAGGTGAGTGCTTTGTTCTTCCCCGACATTTACCCCCCTGTCATCGACATGACTGACCTTGTTTCCCCATAGGCGAAGGACATTTTGAAGATAATTCGGCGAAACCGTCTGGGGCAGCGACCCCGGTGAGCGCCGCAGAAGCGGCTGGACCCAAACGCGGACCTCGTGGCGGACGGGGTGTGAGCAAGAAAGCCAAAACGGCCAAACAGAGACTTGCAATCGTTGATGCCGAGGGGGATCTAGGCATGAGTGGGACATGAACGACCAGGGAAGACTTTGAAAAATTCATGGAAGATGCAACGCCCAAACGAACACGCACAGCAGGCACACATGGGATATTAATATCATTAAAGCCAAGGAAACCCGGTCCACTGGGATTTTGATATAGAATTGGGCAGGGAAGCAGGGTCTTGGGAGTGAATATTTCGGGTCGATGGTGTCCAATGTACGATTATGGGATAGTGTTTGTGTCTTTCGAGGATCCTAGATGGTGCGGGATGATGAAATGGCCCTGGGCTAGGGAAGATACAGGCATTGAGGCTGAAGAACATTACATGCCAGGACGAGGGAGAGAGACGCTGAGGGTGTTTTGCTGTGGGTGAGGTGCGTGCTCGAGCTCGTACGGGAGGAACTCAGGTATCAGCAGCACCTTTTCGACACGGCAGTGCGTTGAGTTGGGAGAGCAAAAGAATTCATAATCATTCAGAAGAAAAGAAGTCCTGACAATCTTGGTTTCTTTCAGCTGTTCTCCTGTTCCCATGTTTGAGTCTTCATACGCACTTCCTGACTCCCGGAGGTGGAGGAATGGCAGGAAGGAGAGAGAAGGCCTAATGGCGCCGCGGCAGTGAAGCGGGCGAGAGGGTGGTAAGACGAGAGGGACAGAAGCGTAGAGGACATGCGTGTAACGTCGTCGATACGAGTATGGCTCATAGATAGCGAGAGGAATATGGAGGTTGTGGTGTACAAGGAGGCCGGACAAGGGCGTCTGTCTAGGACACGCCCCTTTTTCAAGAGATATGTCGTTGTCTCTGTCGTCGAGTGGTCATGTCCGCCATGAGGCTCCTCTGGGGGCTCGATGGGGTGGATTGCGATGATATCGGATGTGTTGGGGACTGGCAGGGTGGAAGAGTGGACATTAATAGTGGTACGGGGTATCTAGTGGTGAGTAGAAATCCGAGTTCTGGGTCAGTTGATGGAGGGCCAGGACAAGTCCGCATCTGAAGATTCCTGAAGATAGGTACTACCTAGGTAGACAGACCCAGAGATTGTGTATCCCAAGAAGCTGGTAGCTTTGTGGCACTCGCCCACGGATCAAATCATCGCCCGGGCATCTCCTTGTCGACCTGCTGACGACCGTGACTGCTTAGGTTTCCTTCCCCCCGAGTCTACGCAAGCCACATGCGCCCTTCATGGCTTCTAAGTGCCTTCATTGCCTTCAATGGCTCTCCTCGACCAGATAAGCTCGTAAAGCTTATTTGTTCGTCGCTCTCTTATATTCGAAAATGATTCATAGTGTCCATCAATCGTGGCCATGGGTACAGCAACAATATATTATAGATAAGTACCAGTGTCTCTTCCCGTCTCATTTCCCCGTGCTGTCATCTGTACTGCGTTTCTCTGTTTTCTTTTCCTTCTCCAGACACAATAGCCTCTGCTTCACACACTCTCTCCCGCACAGCACAATGGCTACCCGCCGGCTGTCCTCCCTGGCGGGCAGTACCAAGGATGGACCATTTGACCCGACCATCGCAAATGAAGCCCAACTTGCGCAGCTGGGCTATGAGCAAGGTATGAACTCTCTCGTATCACCAAGCCTCGTTTCTGACTCTCCGACACCAGAACTCAAACGCTCATTCTCTCTCCTGGGCATGGTCGGATTCAGCTTTTCCATCGTCACTTGCTGGACTGCCCTCGGCGGGACTTTGATTGTGGGCATCGTCGCTGGTGGCCCTCCCGTCATGGTCTGGTCGTGGGTGGGAATCTGTCTGCTATCTTTGACGGTTGCATACTCGTTTGCCGAGATGTGCTCGGCCTATCCCACTGCTGGCGGTCAGTACAGCTGGGTCGCCATCCTCGCACCCCCCAGATACGCTCGCGGCGCCGCCTTCGTCACTGGGTGGTTCATGTGTACGGGCATTGTGGCCATGGGCGCCGTCAACAACTTTGTGAGCCTCCTCCGCCTTTTGCGCCTTTTTCAAAGAGTTCCGTGGCCCGCAGCTAACTTTTCTTTCTCTCTACAGCTCGGCGCAAATTTCATCCTCGGAATGGCCAACCTGAACAATCCATCCTACACCATCGAGCGCTGGCACACGGTGCTGGTGACATACTTGATCGCCATCCTCGCCGCCGCCATGAACGTCTACCTCTCCCGCTGGCTCAATCAGATCTCCACCTTCGCCGTGGCGTGGAACATTCTCAGCTTTTTTGTCATCATCATCACCATCCTGGCCGCCAACGACCACAAACAGTCTGCCAGCTTCGTGTTTTCCGACTTCCAGAACCAGACGGGCTTCTCGTCCGGCGGGATGGCTGTCATGATTGGCCTTTTACAGACGCTGTTCGGTACGTACACAATACGCCCAGTGACTGGCTGCTGGAGGGAATCTTTCAATCTATTTACTAGTACCTTTTTCTGACATCTTCTTCAGGCATGTGCTGCTACGATGCTCCTAGGTAAGGAAGGGGACCGAAGGCACCTCCCTCATCTGTAGAATACACCGGGACGTTTTTGAAGAACCTCAAAACTAACCTTCAGCTCTTAGTCACATGACGGAAGAAATGCTCAACCCAGCCAAAGAAGCGCCCCAAGCAATCATCCTCTCGGTCTATCTGGGCGCAGTGACGGGGTTCGTGTTCCTGATCTCGGCCTTCTTCTGCATCGGCGACCTGGACGCCACGGCGACCACGCCCACCGGCGTGCCCCTGATCCAGATCTTCTTCGACAGCACCAACAGCGTGGGCGGCGCCACGACGCTCGCCGCCATGATCACGGTGATTATGCTCATCTGCTCCAACTCGCTCATGGCCGAGGGGTCGCGCGCCCTGTGGGCGTTTTCCCGCGACCACGGTCTCCCCTTTAGTCGAGTGTGGGCCCGCGTGGACCCAAAATCCAAAGTCCCCGTCAACAGCGTGCTGCTGTGCGGCGTGCTCCAGGCGGGGTTGAACAGCATCTACTACGCCTCCTTCGAGGGCTTCTCGACCGTCATCTCCATCGCCACCTTCGGCTTCTACCTCTCGTACGCCGCGCCCCTGTTCGTGCGTCTGTGGAGCCTCGCCACAGGCACAAACCCCGCCGCAACCACCATCCGCGGCGGCGTCTACACTTTGGGCAAATGGTCCCCTTACCTGAACCTAATCGGCCTCCTGTTCCTCACCTTTGCGGGGATCGACTTCAACTTCCCGCAAGAAGGTCCCGTCACCGCCGGCAACATGAACTACTGCAGCGCCGCGTTCGGCGTCATCGGCCTCGTCAGCGTCGTTACCTGGGTCTTTGACGGCCGCAAGAACTTTACGGGTCCGCACACTCCGGTCGACCTCAATACCATTGAGGCCGCCGCGGCCGCTGCAGCTGACAAACCAACTGCCATGGCACCTGGGCAGACGGTGGTTGGTGGTGACTTTGACGCGAAAGGGGACGCGAAGATGGGGACCGGTCTCGCCGCTGAGGAGAGCGTCGATGCCTCCTCCAGCGACGAGAAGTGGCCCATCCAGGATGTTGGGAGAGTCGCATGATATATTTATGTATAACGAACCCGAGTATATACCGATGTGTTTGCGGCGTATATTAGAGTGCTTCACTACCATCTAGTACACTGCACTGCACTGCAATGCACTCTACTTTACTATAGTACCTGGACACTTCTAGATAGATAGATAATTCTGATAATGTTCTGTCTACCGGACAGAAGGACACTTGTATCAAACGACATGACGGGTTGATGTGGAAACGGACATGTATGAATACAGTTGGCATTCTGATTGATTGATCATCGTCTGTCATGTCCGCAAGTCGACAAAGTCCCCAGGCGCCTCGCGCTGGGTAACAAGACATGATATTGCACTCACACCATACCCTGGCGTACTTAACCCAATTTTTTTTCCCATTCTCGCATTCCCCGGATTCTCCTCATCATCTCGAAACTAATGACGAACAATGAAGCAACATCCCTCGCCCTTTTCTCGAGTCTCGTGGCCCCTTTTCCCCACGCCGCTCTCAACTCCCCGTAACAGAGTATTCAACTCTTTCTTCCCCTCTTTTAGCGCGGGAGATACAACTTGAGCGTCGAAGCCGGTGCCGATGCTCCCGCTGCCTTCTTCGGGCGGTGCACGAGCGGAGGTCTCTGCACGCGAGAACCACCTCGATCGGCGGCTCGATTGCTGTTGTCTCCGTTTTCATTGCCGGTGGAGTTTTCGTCATTATCATCAGCTAGGTCGAAGATTGATCTCCGACTACTCCGGCACCTCGATCTCGCGTCATCTTCGGTGTCGCTATCTTCAGCCAGCTCGAAGATGGATCCACGACGATGACACTTCTTCTTCTTCGTGGGCTTCGGAGTGGCCAGGTGCGTAGACACTCGTCGTTTGAGCCCGCCGTGTCTCCTAGGTGGTGACGTTATAATCTCGGTTGACTTGTCGTCACTTTCAGCAGTGCTCGAGTTCTGATTACTGTTCACAACGTTGCGAAAAATCCTTTGCGTGGTAGGAGACTCGGGAAGCACGTTCTTTGCGCTGAACACGTCAAAGGTAGCTGCAGATTGGAACCGAGAGCCGGAAAGGTTGTCGGGGACCGAGCTTTCGGGCGAACTCGATATTGCAGAGAGGGAAAGCCTCGAACGTCCGTCCAGGGGAACTCTGCGATTCTGTGGCATAGGAGTCCTTGACGACAATTCATCTATGTCAAAACGAGGTGGTATATACTGATTGTGTTCTTTGATGCCCTTCTTCTGGAAGCTTTCCAAGTCGGTATCAGTCTGCATTCGTTGTGACTGAGACGGGAGCCTGTTTTGAGGAGGCTCTGAGGCCGCTCTGGGGTTCTTGGAGGTACTCATTGTTCTTGCGTCCGTGAGCTCTGATTTCGGGACCCTGGCTCCTGGCGATGAGCATCTCGCTTCCCTACGTAGCAAATCTCCTGACCGCGGTGACCATTTCGCAGCGGCAGTCAATACCTCTTCGGACAGTCGTCTGTTTGGATCTCTTCTTGGCCAGATCCCAAGGTGCATATTTCTCGGAAAAGGCTTGTAAGGCGGCTCGATTGGAGAATATGTTCTGGAGTTGCTGCGCTTGGCCTCTAGGACGCCCAATGAGCAGAGCAAGTTCCTCATAGACCCGCTGTCCCGCCACTCAACCACTTGAGATTTTGGAGTTCGCGGTTGCCAGTGCCTGATTGTTCGTTGATACAAGTCCTCGAAATCGTTTTTGTGCGATTCGTTGGTGAACCAAGAGTGGGCGAGAGCTTCTTCTGCTGTCATTCGGGCGTCCTCGTCGAGCAACAAGAGCTGCTCAACAAACTCCCGCGGCCGCTGTCTGACTGCCTGCCATTCTTTTGATTGGCGAAGAAACTGCAGGTTGCACTCTCGGGCCAGCCTTTCCGAATAGGTGCTTGTGAGAGGATCACAGAAAGCCAGGCCTCCTGTGAGCAACACGACTGAGACACAGCCTACCGCCCACATGTCAACGGCTCGAGTATAACCCGGTCGCTCACGCTCCACTTTAATTCGCGCATATCCCAGTATCTCGCTAGACGCGGTCAGCAGATGCTTATCGCAGAATAGTATCAGTACGTACGGCGCTGCATATTCGCGGGTCCCTATAATGGACAACATCCGGCACAACTTGCTCTCGATTCTCCGTGCCGCACCAAAATCTGTCAAGACGACTCGACATCCTGCAGCTAAACTCGTCATAAGAACGTTGTCGGGTTTTATATCTCGATGAACGATGTTTTTGCTGTGAAGAAAACGCAGGGCCACCAGAATTTGTCGAACAATGACGGCGGCCTCGACCTCGAGCAGTTTCCCATTCTTCAGCTCGATGTAGGAAAATAGGTCACCGGCGGTAACGAGCTCTTGCATAATGTATCTGTGCTGTCAGTTAGAACACCATACATTGTCGATTCTCTCACATGGTGTTGTCTGTGATGTACACCTTCTCGATGCCTACAATGTTCGGCTGCGGAAGTCCGAGTCAGTGGCTTCCAAGGCGTCTGATAGGGGCATTACATGACTGAGTGACGCAAGGATTTCCACCTCACGATAATAGGCACAGAGCTTCCTCTCCAGAGCGTTCTCTCTTTTCAGTTGGTTGGACCATGCCTTGACCTTAAGTTTCTGGGCTATACTATTGACCTCGTCGGGAGGAGCTGGTTGCTCTGGCCGTCCGAATTGGATTAGCGATCGCGAGCCCAGCTTTCGCAGGTCGACGACTTTGCATGCGACCTGACGTCGAGTCATTTGATCGATTGCCATGAAGACTCGACCAAAGGTGCCCGCACCGAGCAGCCTGTCGGTAAGATTGTACTCTTTGCCAAATTTCTGCGTCTGTCAGTACGTGCTTTGGCCAGAATTCCTTTCACCGTACTGCCATTTCAAGCTCCTGTGTATGGTCGAAAGCCTCTCCTGTTGTTCCACCGACAGTGGCGGCAAAGATGAGATATGTCCGACGGCTCAATCGCAAGACGTCGGTGTCACTCAGAAGAAAGCCTCCATTGCCTTTGCCTATGAGGGATCCGTTCCAAAAAGTGCCATTCTGGGACAGGTCCTCTGCATAGACCAACGTGGCAATCTCGCAAGGCTCGTCATTTTCGTAGACCACGGTGTAGATTCTCACATGCCGTTTCGAGACGTAGGGATCATTGAGTACATATTGACTGTTTGGTGAGTATTTACCCAATCCGAAGCTTTTGGTCCTTACCAGCGACCTTTATCACGACCAATCACAATCTCGTGGTTTGGGTATATCTTCTTTCCTGCAATAAGGCTAGTATAACCACAGACGAATCAAGTACGACGACGATCTTGAACCCACTACCCAGAATTTTGCCTTTCTGGTCCTTGTGGATGAGGATTCCGGCAGGAGTTGGTCTGGAGGAACTACCCAGGCCGCTGCCCATACGGCGAACACCAGAGGATGGTAGTGTGGACATTGCAAAAGGAAAATCAAGGAGCCAGCTTCAGAAATGCAAACAAGGAGACACGCGGTAGTGAACACGAATCAAACAGTTTCGGCATGAACAGTGACAAGGAAAGACTCGCGACGTGGCATTGACAGACTCATAGTCAGGCTGTGGGTGCGCGCTTCAGCATCAGTTGTGTGGCTGGCGGGTACCAGTTGAGCAGTGTGGACACAGAATAGCAAGGGAGGAGAAAAGGAGAAAAGGCACGGGTCAAGAATGAAGGAGTGACCAACGTGATCGATGACCGCATTGAGAGTTTTAGTGCGAGCCCAACGTGTCAAACCCGCCAAGCAAATGATGGCAGTTGCACACAACAATAATTCCCCGCACAAAGTTGCTCCTGTTGTTTCCCGATCCTTCATCTCATCTAGCAACCTCATCCTCGAAACCAATCTGTACGTTGCCCCCCTCAAGCTCGGCAAGCAGATCAGATATACCAGAAAACACATGCTGACATTCACCAGTCCAATTGAGCGAAGATGAGAGCCAAGTGGAGAAAGAAGCGAGTTCGTCGCCTTAAGCGTAAGAGGAGAAAGACCCGTGCCCGCAGGTATGTCTCAATGCTCCCCTCGTCTGCGCAGACAGGCCGTCTCTAACGATTGCCTACAGCAAGTAATCGTGTCAACTGCTCCATCGCGTCTTCTCTCTCGACCAATGTCAACGAATCTTCAACCTTTCGCTAGTTTTCTCGACGTCGAATTCTCGGCAACCAACTAGCCCCCTCGACCACAATCAACCACAAAGCTTTTTGTGTCACGAATTGCTACATGGAAGTGATGCGGTCAGCGAAGAATCGGCCTTGCAATTGTCGGACTCTCACATACGTGATGTTCGCGTAAGAGGAGTAGGAGATGGTCAAATTCCAATGGAGCTTTATGGCGGGTTGCTTATGATGTCTGGGACGCATCAAGAGAGGTGTCGATACTCAGAACACCTCGGACAAAGAACGTGTGTCCTATGGCTCTCCGTCTCTCTCAAAAGCAGAGCTCTTTACCCAACAAAATGTCGTCCAGTGCCGTCGCATGTGGTGGTACTCAAGCAGGACCTAGATAGTCAACACGATCAATTGAGCCCTGAATGTGTCTTCCTCTACATATTGCCCTTTGTTTTTGATACTTCCCCGTGTAGTGTGTACGTAGGGGAACTGCGAGGACTGGAGAGTTCAGAATTTGCAGTTACGTCAGATGGAAGAACTGGGTCACTAGCAGGAAGTGTCGGATTCACATAAAATGACTTCTTGCCTCCCAACACAGGACCCTTGATGAGTTTAATTAACTTCACTTTAACAGCTTACGTTTATTTGGAGCAAGGTCATCCTACGCTAGAGCTGAGGATGCCGGATATTTTGCACCGATGAAATTTGAGGGACCATGATCTTCTTGAGCAACAAATAGTTCGAACATGCTTGGCATGAATGCAGCCGTGTTCACCCTCTCAAAACTGCTGGGTAAGAGGGGTACTCAGCAGTGTCGTCGATGACCCGACGTGTCTGTTCTTGGCCCCGTCGCTTCGACTTATCTCGCGGGTTCTGGAGGTGTTTAAAAATCCTAAAAGGCAGCTGTGAAAGGTCTGGAGTGGACGACTTCACCTTGCTGGTACAGTATCGGTCGCCCGGTCCTAGATTGAGCCCGTGTTGTTAAAAGGAGAGCAGAAACAGACTTACACTCGTAGGAGGCATATCGATACTGATCGGAGTCTGCAACTGGACCAAGTCCATAAAGCTTGAGGAGCATATCTTGCTCGGCAGAGACATTCCTCAACGTACGAGAGGAGCACTATTCACCAAAGAACATTCGACAAACTTCTTTGGATATTGGACCGGGATAGAAATGCAGCAATCCAACTGTGACCGCCACAATTTCGCGTGGATCTGTCGCGGCCCACTAAAATAGCGACAAATATGTGTAACTCTCAGTGTCCTTTTCCCTGGTATAGTACTCGGTACATTCCGTTTTCGGATAAACGACGCGCCTTGCTGAGTCATTAATAACTAAGCGGGGACAGAGTGCGCTTTGATTGGTCACGCCCTTCGACGTTGTGCTCAGGCGACGGCGCAGTCATCACTGACCAAAGCTTCAGGCTAGCAGGCAATTTCTGTTTTGCTTTTCCGTCCTAAGAAGAATACGAGGGGCTTCTATCATCCTGCGCAGTGGCTGGCCTCTTGAAGAGATTCTAGCCTAGGATGGCACCAACCAGCTCTGTGGATAGCCTGAAACCTAAGCCCAGACCGCGGCCGAAATCGCCGCCTGTCTTCCGCGATCAACTTCGAACCTGGCGTGCCACGGCCGCACCTTCGAGGAACCCCCAGGTAGGCGCCCAATCCCTGCGTTGCCAGATGAGCAATTCCAACCAGAGCCTGACCACGTCCCCAAACATGTAGAAATCCCATCCTTCACGCCAGAAAAGGGGTCCGGAACAGTCCGAGTCGAACAACCGCGAGCCGCCGGGATTGAATCTCGATGACCAGCCGCCTACGTCCGCGCAGGCGAGATGGCAGACTCCACCAATCTGCGAGATTGACGCAGTCCTGGACCCCTTCTGCAGGTTCCCAGCGGATTTGCCTGCAGATGGTCGTCGACTAATTCATTTCTGTCTGTTGATTCGGCCACAAGCATTTCCATAAAGAGGAGGTACAAGGCTAACAGGACATCGCTAGACATTACCACGATTGCCAATAAGATCTACGGAACCAAACGCAATCCGGGCTTCAGCTCTGTGAGAGACGTCAGTTTCGTCGCGGCCTTGACCTCCCCATTTACGTTGCAATGGATGGTGATTTCGGCAGAGGCGTTGCTTATGCGCTACAGAGGAGCGCCCGAACCGCCGTCTCTATTTCGGCGCAAGGCCGTGGCGTACCTGGCTCTCCAGAAATATCTCGAAGACTTCTCGAGAGAAAAGGTCACAGATGAAATCGTCAGTGGCCTCATCATGGCCATTATTGCCGAGTCGCGCATCGCAGGCCCGCAGGTCTCGAATTTACATCTGAAAGCCTATGAAGCAGTCATAAAAGTCGGGGGAGGCCTCAGGCAGGTGCTCGCTGCTTCCCCACGGCCATTCGATCAGATGAGCCACTTTATGCCCTATTTGATCTGTGAGCCCTTGGCGGACGCCTTGGTCTTTTCCGAAGAGTTCGAAGACCAGGCGATGGACCTCCTCCGGATCATTGTAAAGGGCGAGAGTTCAGCTGATCCGGCAGAGCTGATTTTCACAGTATCTCATGAGATCGCACGACCTCAAGTATTGTTCCTGTCCCTGCGAGGATCCCTGCCTCAGCAGATCCGCCGCCTGCTACTGTTCAGTGTAATTGCGCCATACCTACGGGTTGACATGTGGGAAGGGCGCCTTTATGTCCAGAAATCATCGCACTTCCTTTCGCTCTTTCTACTGGTGTCCACGTTCTGGAAGCTGCGGCACGATTACAGATCGCAGACCGCATTCTTCAGCAGCTTGTACCGCTTGTTCATGAACAGCGCGACTCGCAACCAAGCGGGGTCCTGGTTGTTGACCGAGGAGGGATTCTTCTGGGTCGTCGTCAAGGCCTGCTTTGATGTGTACACCAATTCGAGTGATAGGGAGGTGAGGTTGAAGAATTACATTGATTTTCTGGCCGAGGCAGTCTCTGCCCTGAAGCTATTCAGGGTCACTTACGACAACGTTAGAAAAAGAATGGCCATTTACCTGTACCAGTGCCTCACAGGTGCAAGTGATGGACCTGGTTGAAGAGCATCTAATCACCCGGACAACATTTGTCAGCGCCAGGTCTGTTTAGTAAACCTGGGGTCACTTGCCAGTGTGTGAACACTGTATCGATCAGTCTCGGCGCTCCGATCCCATTAGTCGAAACCAGGGCTGCTTCTGCTAAACTCTACAAGCGACCTAGACGATGCCGAAGTTGGGCAGTGAGAAGACAGCCTTTTTAAACAATGTTCCGACTCGCTCCACCCATTCGCCTTCACCGGCCAAGACGGAGACTTATGGCCCAAACAGGTGCATGAGGTACCTGCTTGGAGCTCACAGCTGTGAACCTCGCTCTCGTGCGACCTGTTGCTGTGTCTGCAGGGAGGGGGTGGTGGCGGAACTTGCGCCTGCCAGGAGTTATTGTGTGGCCAGTGAGAGGCTAGCTGCTGAAGCATTCCTGAATGGCTTGCTCCACTGCTTCCGAGATTACTTGAAACTGCCTGCAGATGTACCATGACGGTGTTAGAAACAAGAGACCTGCTTGGGGTGGTGAGAGCCTCGCGAAAGGATTCCACGGAGGAAGATGCATGAGGAACGGATGATTGTCTCATAAACGGACTCGTGGGACGAAGACGCGTATCTCACCGAGTATACCAACATATTGAGGAAGAGAAGACCTTACCGAACTTGTTCCTGTATAGATTTGAAGGCAGCCATGACCTCCTCCAACGCATCCTCTGAGAGAATCTTGAAGATATCGTGATGCCACTTGCCGCCATCTAAGCGCGTACTAGTGCGTCTAATGGGTAGTGAAAGATGGAGCAGACCTCGTGAAATTTCGGCTAAGTTGCCTTGGGCTTGCAATTTTTTTGAACAATTTCATTCAAAGTTGGAGAAACTTCCGTGTCGACGGCACCGTGCTCTGGGAACCCCTAGTTCTTGTGGCCTGACACGCTACGCAGATATGGCGGAGAAGAAGAGAAAGGCGGGCTCGCTGGAGAGCGACAGGCCGTCCAAGAAGCCTCAAACGAGCACCATCAAAGTCACTCATCTGAGCGGCCCCGACGTCGCCAAACCTCTGGTCGGTACGAGCAATTCTCCGCCGCCGCATTCCTGTTCACAATTTTCTGCCTTGGGGGCTGACTTATAAGTATCACCAGCGTCGTCACCCGGGGTCACACTCCCCTCAGACCTGAGTTTCGACGGATTCTCCAAAAGGGAGCCGTCGTCCGGGAGGTCTAGCCTTCTTCTGCAGTCCTCCGACCATCCTACCATCGACTACGTCGCGACCGAGAGCGGCACGACCAACGCGGCCGAAAAGCACGTCAAGCACTATATAGCCGTCTTCGACCCGGCGTCCAATAAACTAAAGGTGGTGGAAGCCAGGAAGATGACCGTGAGAAGTACGGTGCGCCAGTTGGACAAGGAAAGCGACGACGACGACGACGGGGGAGACGATGGTGCAGAGGGTATCAAGCCTGCTGCGCTGACGACACCGTCTCGTGCGGCATTGACGCAGGCGTTTGGAACGAAAAAGTCAAAGAGAGCCGTGGCCTCGGTGGCCGAGAATCGTCTGCTGGCCCGGGATGGAGAGAACGACGATAACCCTCTCTCGAACGCTCTTCTCTCGTCCATCAAGGAAGAGGACGACGACGACGCGGACGTCATGCTCGACGCCGCCGCCGCAGGAGGCGCCTCTTCTCGGGCCAACAAGCCCCTCCCACAAGCCAACCTCGACACAGCCGACATCACACAAGTCTACGCGCTGTCCTCGCTCGTGTTTCCCGGTCCCGACCGAACAACGCTCTCCCAGATGCCCATCGCGTACTGGAAGGAATGCGCAAAGAACAAGAAACCCGTGTCGACGCATCTACGGTTCGTGGCGACCCGCGTCGGCTACCTGACCCAACGACACCTCAAACAACCGGACAACCAAGACGTGTTGCTCAAGCTGCAGATCCTGCGCTACATCCAGCTTTTGGTAGAGATCCACAAGTACGTCTCTCACCTACCGCGACAACGCCGCATTGCTGCCCCCGAGTCATGGCCCAGGGGCACCACGACGGACTCGTCGCTATCGACCGCGTTCAAGGGAAAACTCATGTCGCATTTCTTCCCCACCGGCACCCCCACGACTTTCAACAAGACACTCTTCACCTCCACCATCCTCGCACTGACATTACACATCCCCCCACCAAAGTTCACGCCGGGAGACACGCCCAAGATGCTGTTCACCGAGCTGAGCGACATGACGCTGGACCTGGCCATGCCGCACGCCGAGATCCACAAGCTGTACCGCGAACTGGGCTGCAAGATCGAGTCCATGACCGACGCCGAGCTGCACCGCCATGGCTGGGACAAGGTCGTCTCCCCTGCGGCGGCGCAGCAGCGCGGCAAGGCCGGTGTGGTCGACGAGGACGGCAAAGCCGTGAAGCTGCCCAAACCAAAGTTCGCGAAACTGAGATTCCCCATTGAATTCCGCCGCATCAGCGCCGGTCGGCCAGGCAGGAGGTAGGAGACGCCCGGCATGGCCGGATGAGGCGGCCAAAAAAAGGTTCGAAAAAATTTTGATTATTACGATAAACGGGTGATGCTCAGGGTGACGGAACGGCAACGGCAATGATAATTACGTGGACAGGGATGCCAAAATGCTTTAAGAAACATGAAAAGGAAAGAAACCAAAACTGTTCTAGAAAGAGTCGGATTACTCGACCGATCGAAGCAGTGATTGAAAAGTCACAAATGGCCACTTCATATGGCGATTGTAGATTCTTTCCTCTCTCATCGGCACACAAACACACAGCCTAATATGGAGCTGGGCTCGGGTGGCCGGAAGGTACCTATAGGTATATAAAGGGCTGAAGAGCCGGACATTTGCTCCATCTCAAAAGAGGGACGGGAGCAAAGACTTTCGAATATCAAAAACGAGTTCGTTCCTTCTTTTCTGCATCTTCACATCCACTACTCACATGCAATCTCTTTCATACCTCTGGTCATATGAAAATCCCCCTGTCATACGGCGAGCACTTGTCTGTCTCCCGTCTTGGAACGGCACAAACAGAGAAAGCTCAAGCCGCAGCAGCCGCAATAGGCAGAACTCTTTGCTCGGCGGCCTCCTCAATCAGGGGCTCGGCGACAAGAGATTGCGCGGCATTCTCAAGCTGCGCATCGGTCCACAAGGACTGCACCGGCTCTGCATCCTTGACGCCCACGCCCACAAACCCGCCTTGCGCCTCCCAGTCTTTGACGCGCTTGATGTTCAAGCGGTTCCAGACATTCTCCAGCGCGTCGACGAGCTCGGCACGTAGCTCGGAAGTATGTCCTGGCGTGGGCGTGATGCGGAGTCTCTCCTCACCACGCGGAACGGTAGGGTAGTTGATGGATTGGACATAGATGTCGTAGTCGGTAAGCAGCATATCAGAGGCTTTCTTTGCGGTTTCAGCGTCACCGACCAAGAGCGGCACAATGTGAGATGGATTTGGGATCACGGGGATGCCTCGCGCGGTGAGATCCTCTTTGAGGGCACGCGTGTGAAGTTGCTGCAGGCGACGATCTCCTTGGTAGACAGCTTGATATTCAATCGCTGCACGGGCCCCGGCCATGGTCGCGGGTGGGAGAGAGGTGGTGAAGATGAAGCCTGGTGCAAGGGAACGGATGGTGTCGACCAAAGAGGCAGAGCCGGCAATGTATCCACCAACACAGCCATATGCTTTCCCTAAAGTTCCCGTGATGATGTCGATTCGATCCATCACGGTACCTTTCTGGGATTCCTTGGTTCTATTTGGGTCGGCGTAGACATCATAATCGAGGTGTTCAGCGACACCGGCACCTCTTGGCCCATACATTCCAACAGCATGGACTTCATCCAGGAATGTGATGGCACCGTACTTATCCGCGAGATCGCAGATGGCTTCAATGGGGGCAATGGAACCACACATACTATAAACAGATTCAAAAGCGATGATTTTTGGTTGCTCCGGCGGGAGGCTCGCGAGTTTTGTCTCCAAATCAACCAGGTCGTTATGCTTGAAGACCATTTTCTTCGCACCAGAGTGACGAATACCTTGGATCATGGAGGCGTGGTTCATGCTGTCACTCAGAATCACACAGTCGGGCAATTTGCTGCCCAGGGTTGCCAAGGTGGCATCATTGGCGACGTAACAAGAGGAGAAAACCAGAGCGCCTTCCTTGCCGTGGAGATCAGCGAGAGTCTTTTCGAGTTCCACGGCATGTTTGTTGTGGCCCGAGATGTTTCTAGTCCCTCCGGCGCCAGCTCCGTACATGTCGAGCGTTTCGTGCATAGTCTTCAGGACATGTTTGTTGCGACCCATGCCGAGGTAGTCGTTGGAACACCAGACCGTGACACGCTCGTCTTTGGCAGCCATGTGAGCACGAGGGAACTCCTTGGCAAGGCGGTTGATGTTGTTGAAGTAGCGGTACGATTTGTCCTTGTGCTTCTTGTCGAGCTCATTGTTGTAGAAACCTTCATAGTCGAAACGTGGGGCGGGCGGCGCACTGGGTCTGGGGCCAGCATAGGTCTCCGGTTTCTTGGCCACCTTCTTGACAGTCTGGGGAGGCGGAGCTGGAGACTGGTTAGTATCGGAGACAACAAGAGATGATGTGATGGGTGGTGCATACCTGTCTGAGGAGGCCGGAAGACATTGGTGTCCACGCTAGCCTTCTTTTCAGCTGAGGTGTGCAGTTTCTTCTCCAGCAGAGACTTGACCACACCGGCGCCGGCGGCGACATTGCCATAGCTGCGACGAGTGTTGATGCGGGCGCTCTGGACGGCCAGAGCCTTGTTCATGACAGGGCATCGTCGGGCAATGAACTGTAGGTTCGTGATGGTGCCGCCACCGGGGGATTGGCGGGTCGAGGTGGACAAAGTGCGCAGGGTTGCGGGGGAGGTTTTCTTCAAGAACGGACAGACGCCCTTGGATTGGTGCAGGAGGGCCTCCATGGTCAGGACGCAACGCAGGGAATATCGAGGGTTGTCGAGAAGGGAGTGAGAGGTAGAAAGTGGGAGAAGCAAAGAACAAGTAGGAGGATGGGAGAGGATGGAGGTGCTGGAGTAATATTTGCTCGGTACTAGGTAGTGTTGGCACCCAGTTGGTGGAACTTGGTGGTAGACTGGTAGTAAGAATATGAGAATATGGGGTCAAAGGGCAGAGGCTGAGTCAAGACATGAAGCCGGGAGCTGCGGCAGGCTTCGCCAGGTGGCCATTCAGCCATTCACAGGCCGTGCATTAATTAGCATCGATCTCGCCCTTTATTACCCGTTGCAGCCATCCTGCCATTTCGGCCATTTCGGCCATTTCAGCCAGTTCCCCATTTCCGCTGCCCCTGCAGAATCTTTCTACCGAAAACCAAACTGCCAGGCCCAGGCACTGATCTTGACTCGTCCCCGCGGAATCAGCCCTCTCCCTCCCTCTGCTACTCTTGGCAGGCGACATCGGAAGGATATTTCATGCTCACACGTACGACAGACTTCTAGTGAGATACCAAGGAAGATACTTAGTGGGAAGGAAACAGCTGCAGGGCGAAAAGACTCTGGAATAGTACTCGGTACTGAGTAGTCTGAAAAGTAAACGAGCAGGCTTAGTAACGGTGAGACGAACAGGGTGAGAACGAGGTTGGAGGGAGCTACTTAAATCAAGCAAGGTTAGCAAGCCCTCCGCCTCGTTCTCCATGGGCTATCCACGACATCGAGCCCAGTCGACCGACATATCTTTCGGATACCTGCAGTGTACCTGCTGGAGACCAGCAATGAGCTTACCAATGCGCCAGTCTCTCACGCCCTGGACACCCCCTGCCCATCTGCTTCGGCTCAGGCTGAGCTGCGAGGCTTCCAAGAAACCCTGTTGCTCCACAAAGATCTCTAAGACTGAATCTCTGCTGCCTTCGCGCCCTTGACCATTCTAATACGACCCTCCAATCTCGGTGCAATGGCCTGAAGCACAAGGTTAGTGTTTAGAGCCTGTAGTATAGAACTGATTCAACATGGCCAACACCTCGTACTTACCCTGGTCCAATCAACCTGAAACTCGCCTTCGTCCATAGGATCGACACACGGCGCCTCATGACGCACTCCTGCCAGACGACGCCATTTCCGCGTCACCTTCCTGGCAATCAGAGATTCCTGTTCGCTCAGCCGATCCGAATGACTTCGCACGCGGTGGTTGCTTTCATCTTCCGAGTCATCCAGGGGCGTTGTCGTTCCTGTCTTACTGTGTATTCGCTTCATCGGATTTTCGTCCACGTTGTCGAGATTCGGCTCCACCACCGGGTGCGTTTCGTGCAAATCCTCGTGGATGGCATTCCAATGCCGACTCAAGCTTTTGCCCCAATGCTTCCACTTGCCGATGATTTTCAAAGACATGAAGTACTGCCGAAGCATCATGCTTATCAAGATGCCGTTCTCTTCAGAAACAATTTCTTCCGCCTCGCCCCCTTCCGATTCAACCAGTAAAGAGTCATACCCGTCTTTGCCTCTGCCCATGTATCCTCGTGTGACCAGGACGTATTTTCTTTCCAGGTTGAGTGGCTCACCGCCAATCCTGGTCCACTGTATTCGGTGGTTCGGCGGCAGGGATGGATCGAATTCGAAAGTAATATTGGAGACTTGAGGGAAACGACCTTCAAGAGCAGGGTATGCACCCACCGAGTTTTCGAGAGCGGCGAGCAAGGCAGCTCCTGTGACTCGGATGACGATGGTCGGGTCTTCGAATGGGAAACTTGACATGGACCATCAGCAGGCGGTTCAAGATGACCCAAAGGAATGGCCGCTCAAAGACTTACCAATTCATGATGTCTTTCAGTTTCAGAACTCCTGGCGGATATATTTGATCTCCACGAATGGTGCCAGATGCCATGAGACAGCAATCGCCATTATAGTGAACCCGCATCAGATCGCAAACAAAGTTGCCGATATTCGACTCCTTCAGGCGCACTGTGGTAAATCTCGCATCGAGTGGAGCAGCAGTATATCCTAGCGGCTTTTCCAGTTTGTCTTTCAGGGACGCCGTCAGCTCGTCGACAACTTGTTTCATCTTTCCATCTTCCGCGATATCTGACACGATATCCCGTCGGACAATATGGAAATCCCATCCTTTGTCGCTACCGCGCCGCCGTCGTGCTTCGATATAGCTAAGTTGCTTGAAGTCGCTGCCTGACCGCAGAACATGAGTTCCGTTGATCAGCGAATGTTGGTAATAATGGTCGTGCCCTCCAAGCACTAGGTCTATCAGGCCTTCTGGGGTCTTTTCCGCGAGTTTGTTGTCATTCGGCTCTCGTTGGTGGGTTAGCGCAATAATGATCTCCGCGCCTTGTTCCCGCAACTTTGGTACCAGTTCTTTGGCTGTTGCGGATGCTGATTTGTAGATCAAGTTGGGAGGTAAAGAGTTGATAGTATCCAACCATTCACGCTCGACGAGACCAATAACTCCGATCTTGATGCCATTGGATGAGGTTAGGATGATGGTCTTCAATGCATTGCCGAGAGGAACATCCGGGCCATGTTGTGGATCTGTAGGAAATCCTCAGTATTCGTTTGCAGTCCGTCCAGATTATATAACGCGAACCCAAGACGTTGGCCAGCAACCAAGGAAATGTGCATTGTTGCGCAAGACTTCGAAACTGTTTGACGCCGAAGTCGAGATCGTGGTTCTGGGCCAGAGATCAGTTGAGTGGCTGGCGGCTTTTAGGTACATAACGCACACCAACACAGGCAACCTGAGTTCCTATCATATTCAACACAGGTACCATATGACTCCCTGTCATCGTCAGTGACACTGCTCGCGTGATCAACTTGGGATGGGTGGACTCTGCCTTTCGTGACACTGCTCTCCAAGCTGGGATTAAAGGCATCTCCAGAGAACAGCGTGACCAAGCCTGGCTGACCTGAAAACCGTTCATCATCTCGGTAGTAGTTGCAGACAGTCTGGAAGCGGGTGACGCCGCCGACGGGCTCCCTCGAGAAGGCATCGAGATGATAGACTAGATGTTGAGGGTGTTACTATCGATTTGATCCAAGGGGGAAACATCGCAATCTCTAATGAAAAGGCTGGTCATACCGTCGTTGAAGTGTAAGAGTCGCAGATCCGGTGGGGTGGATGTATCGCCAGCGGTGTATGTAACCGCTTCTTCCATTCTTCTCTACGTCATCCGAGCCCAGATGGTCGTTCAGGACTAGCGGAGAAGTAGAATGCGAAGGGTGTAGAAGCGCTTCGAGACGATGTGAAGAACAGGAAGCGGTTCGAAAAGCCTCAGCATTCGGAAGCAGTGGGAGGACAAGGATCATATCAAGGGCGACAACTAAGAAAAGGGATCGGCGCGAGGATCAAATATGTACTCGGTAGTGTAAGGCGATATCTAAATTGGGTCTTTTGCACCGACGAGGCTTACATAATGTGAGTATGCTCCCGTGAGCCTCACTCAGCCTTGTCCCCAGCGTGCATATATCGTTGTTTCTTGGGTGACATCTTGAAAACGGCAGCGGTGAATGGCGGAGAGAGATGGGTATCAAGCACTCCGTGTGCGGGTGGAGGGAGTCAGTAATGTCTTATCGAGAGCGCGTCGACATCCCTGGCTAGGCATATAGTAGTACGACCCAGACGGAGTAATTCACAGTTGGTAAGCGTCATGATTGTGACACATTGGGTTCTTTCGATTCCATTGGCATATCGAACAGCCGTTGGGCAAAGACACAAACCCCCGGAAGTGCGGCCTGAGTATGACATGAGACCTTTCAGGACCGACTGCGAGTATTTTGCCACGGCTCTTTGCTTTGCAGAAGGAATTTTTGATGGAGCTAAGCGTGGGTATTAGATAGACCAATGGAAGAACAGGCTCGTACATGTAGATAGCTGGTAGATAGCTGGTAGATACCTAGGTACATGTGGTCAGGGGCACAGAACTCCGGCAAGGCTGCCGCCGCCCCTGCCGAGAACTTGAACAAGGATCGTCATCACTAGCCGGCACGCGCTTTTCCCCACGGCCACTGGACGCCTCGAAAAGTCCTTCCTCTTTGCCTCCAGGTCTCAAGGTCAGTATCCAGATTCTCATGTCCTCGCGAACCGACGGCGTCAGAGAGATGCGGTTCTGACGTACCCGCAGGCAGGATTTCTCGATGCCGAAACAAAACCTCTTCACTACCAAGCTAAACCCACGTCGAGGGGACCCCCCAAACGTCACACGCGAGCCGTGAAACAGGGTTCACGCAGCCCCCAAAATGCTGCCAGTTCCCGACCACCTGCGGAAGTCGTGTTTTGATGTTTGGCCCGGTGACGCTTTCAAGAACAGAGATCGAAGAGATATCCCGCCTTTTGTTAACGGCCTATGTTTCCTTTGTCGATGAAGATACGACTTCCACCCTCGTTTTCCAAGAAATGCTCCGTCTCTCCCATTTTTTCCACACGCAACTTAGAAACCACCCCCTTTCTAAGCGACGCCAAAATCTCCCTCTTTCGCCAAGATGTGTGCGATTCTGGTGCCGCGGGAACGGTGCTTGTTGTGAAAGAAGAATTTGAGAAGAAAAAAATTTGAAAAAGAGAATCATGGGCAGGAGGAAAACATGGGTTCCTTTCGTATCCACGACACAGCTGAGGCAATGAAGACAATATGCACTGTCCGAGGCGAACAAGTCGGTCAATAAACTTGTTTACACGTGGTGTAGGCGTTTGCGGCAGGTCCTGCTGGGGAGCCTTTCTGTTCTTTGGCCAACGCAGCACCAGCCCGTTCGCCTACCTACAGCTGATGAGGACACGCTCCAAAAAAAAGTAGTTTTCAATCTGAGCCTCACTTTTTGCGCAGCAATGCGGGTTGTGGTCGTGGTACGCGGACTCGATTCCCAGAAACTCTTCATCTGCTTTCGACTTCTGGGTCTACCAGGAGAAGATGTTAACGGGACTGTGTTCGTTTTGAATGATGACTGGAAATCCCAACGGGGGTGAGGTGGGAGGCAGGGCGGAGCTGCGTGGAGCGAGAATCAAAAGACCCGATGAAGACCAAAGTCCAATAAGCCAAATTTGAGACAGCCGAAGGGAGCGTGCATCCGTATTCAAGACGGTCACCTGTACTGCTGGCTATCAGAGCAAACATAAGAGAGCTTATCTGAGGGTTTCAAATCTTGTTCCGTCCGCCCCGTTTACGCTCTGGCAAATGGAAATGGTCAAAAGTTGAGATTGAGATTGAGACATCGAACGACCGGGCATGTACAGCAATTCCTTTCCATCAATGAACCTAGCTTGCCTCGTCGGCGACTTTGACCCCAGGACACAACCTCAAACATTGCAAGAGATCGTCGACCTTGACCCTTGCAAAAGCCTGGCTCACATCTTCCAGTCCGATTCCGATCAACACGTCGTCGCCCAAATATCCCGTCCCCAACTGCGACATGTATTCGACATCATCATCCTCCTCTTCCTGATTTGCCGCTGCAGAATGAGGCCTCCACGCCCATGCCAGACTTGGTGTGTAAGTGAAGTAAGCTTGACTTTTGACAAAGTCATCGTCCTCTTGTTCAGCCTCATTCCCATACAGCTCTTCATCGCCCCTTCTAACCACCCTCCCTCCCTTCTTTTCATGTAGTACATGCTCCTTGGTCGCATTCCATCCTTTTTCCTTGGGCTGATGGGGCCAGTTTTCCTCCTCCGTCCACGGCCCGGCCTTCTCGTTCCTCATCAACAACGGGAACCGACTCACCCCTAACATCTGGAACGGCTCCCTCCCTTCCCACACAACCACATATCGCTCATACCGTAACGGCAAATCCAACTCGTTGCTGAACTTTCGATGCATGATTGCAAAGTGGACAGAGCGACCAATAGTCACGGCGGTGCCATTGGCGCTCGCGCTCTCGTCATCCTTGCAAGCAGAATCACCACTCCTCGCCTGTGCCCTTGTGCAGAGGATCAATCGTAGCGAGTTGGAGCCTTGGTGCCAGTGGCCGCTGTTGCCAAGGGAGTCTGTAAAGTGTCCTTCCTTCTCGGAGAAGCAGGGCTTCTCGAGGGCCGAGGTGAGGTTTGGCGTGGTGAAGCCGTTGCCGGTGAGTTTGGCAAAGGTGCGTCCTCTTCCCTTCTTATCGGTCTGTCTTCTTTCTTCTGTCCACCTTCGGGAGGAGCTTGTGTGGTGGAGTGTTGTTGAGAAAGCTGCAGTATGGTTCGTGGCATTATTGGTGGCAAGGCGGAGAAGGGCGTTGGTGGTGGCATTATTCAATCCGAGTCTTGCCAGCATCTCCATCTCGTTTTTGAACCCTTCTTCCTCTTCCGCCTCTCCTGTGCCCTGCTGGCTGATCAGGTTATACTGGACGTACGCCTCACCGGCACTCGGAAACCAGAGCATCCAATTCTTCTCCACACGCGCCCGGCTTTCCCTGGGGTTTCGTGTGATCTCGGTGAGATGGGGGTAACTCATCAAAGGCTTCACGCCGAGAGATCCTCTGTGGACGGTACCTCTGCGCGCTTGATCCTCTTCTGTCTGCAACCCGGTTTCCGTATCCCTCGCTTTCACCTTTGCTCCATCGATCGCCTGGTGGTGGTTGTGGTGCTCACGATCCAAAACACCCTCGAGTTCCGGGTAAACCTTTCTCAAATCCACGATCCAGAGCCCGACGCACCCGTAGCGACTGGCGCTATTCACCAGGATCAGAGGCTCCCCTTTCCCGCTCCAAAAGACTCTAGGGTCGTGGAAGCCCGGGATGTCGGGAAACGCGAGCCACGAGTCGGTACAGTTCTCCGCCGGGGTTGGGGGGATGTTGATCTTTCGTGGGGTTGTCAGGCAGCGTAGGCCGCCGTGCGCGCCGAGTCGGGAATCAGAGAGGTCAAAGGAGGAGCAGGGGCTGGTGTCTGGCCCGGGGGATAGAGCTTGTTGGGATCGAGGCTGCCGTTGCCGTCTTTCGAGGCGTTGTGGGGCAGCAGGATCAGCGTCGGCGGGACCACCTGCAAGATGAAGAAGGGCAGTTGAAGTAGCGTTATTGCTGCTGCGTTCCAGCGGGAAGGATCTCGAGACTGAATGCGGTAACGGTGAAGACTGCTGAAGAGGAGGATGACAGATATCCGCCAAACAGATGTGCGACTCCTGATGGAATCCCGTCGTGACGAGGCGGGAGACGAGGACATATTTCACGCGCCCGGACCAGTGTGGGAGGGCGATGATGGCCGGGTTGAAGAAGCGCGTTTTTGTTTCCTTTCCTTGTGTATCTGCGTCATCGTTGGAGCTCTTCTCGGAGCTGCTCTCACTTCGCTCCCGATGTTCTGGTGCATGTGGAGGAGATACGAGACTGATATTGTACAGCACGTTCGGTAAGCGGATATGTGATGTATACGGATTCGGCGCCAGGGGGCAGTGCGTGAACTGCATGATCAGAGAGTTTGCCATTGGTAGGGGCATGTCCTGCGGCTTTGAGACCACGGGAGAGAACAGGTGCGGATGCGTGCTGGCATTGACGACGACGACTTGAGCCGCGTAGCTCTGCAAAACCCCTTGGAGTCCCTCCGAGAGCGCAGTCCGTGATGACTTGGACGTCCAGCGCATGAACCCGCGCTGTGACAGAAGGAGGATAAAGATGAGGACCGCAAGCAGCGTGACCACGATCAACGTCAGCGTCAGTGTCAGCGTCGGTGCCGATCTCCAGGTAAGATATCGACGGACTCGACCTCGACCTCGACCTCCAGGTAAAGGGGTGGCGAAGACCATCATGGTTGCGATGCGTGGAAGACTACCTGAACCTGCGGAGACTGTTCTGCCCGACTCGGAAAAGAGGAGGGAGGAAAAAAGGAAGAAGGGACCTCGATCACGTCTAGCAATATGTAATGAAGGACGATGATGGTCACATAACTCAAAGGTAGGGGTAGTGAAGTGAAGGACACCTGGGCACCTCTAACCACCTGCAATTACACGTTCATCTTCTTTTCCTTTCGATCCTCTGCACTTGGGTACAGTGTCGTCACTCTCTCTTTGGCATTTGCTTGTGGTCCTCTGCGGCAACTGTCAACTGACAATGATAATTCCCACCTCCCCCCATGCCATAGCAATCTATACAAGGTGTCCCGTGGGATGAAGGAAGAGAAAAGAGACGTCACGCGTGGAAGTCTTGTCCACCATGGATTGACCGCCATATTTGCACTTGCCAAGGCTATCTGACAGCCTCGCCGTTCTGTCAATCAAAGATCCTCTTCCCAAAATATACTGAGTACCAACATACCTCCCTAGGTAGGTGTGGCTCCTCCTCTGAGAGAGCACGCTATTATAGACCGTAATCTATACCATTCCACAAAGAAAGACCGTCTGCAGGCCCCCTGCTTTACCATTGCTCATTTTACATACCTTCATTAAACGCCATCGCTGGGTTGAATACACCCTAACATCCACCGTCGAATATACCTCCACACCGTACTTGAGTTGAGGATTCGGCGTTTTCAATCATCGTCATCATCTTCCGATTTGTCAGAACCGTCATCGTTTTCTTCATCTCCGTTCTCCGAATCCCACCCCTCGGCTTCCAAGCTGGGTGATCGAATGCCGAAGCTTAGCAGGAAACCGATGAATGAGACACCACCAAAGATACCGAAAGCAAGGGCTTCTCCTTTGGGGTGGACTCGAGTGGCCAGTGAGAAGAGACCACCAGAAACGAAGGGGCCAACCGCTCGACCTGCGGCCGACAGAGTCTGCGCAAGGCCATTAAGGGTTCCCAGAACAGAGTGATTAGGAGCCGAATTAGTGATCTGCATATGTGGTCAGCGGAACTATTCACCTTGGCCGTGCAGAAAGACTCACCAACAGCAGAGCGCTAGTCAGACCACCAACCGCCGCGACAGTCTTGATAAGAAGCACAACGCAAATCTCTAGCCATAGCCATGCCGCACCACGTGTACCCACATTTCCATCGGCGTCGTCTTTGTATCCGACCCAAGGCATCAAGACGTAGGCAATCACAAACCCAGCCAAACCAGTTCTGTAAGCCCATCTGTTCCCCATCATATCCCGTAACTTTCCGAAAATACCGATCTGGAAAAGAATGGTCACCACTCCGGCAAAGGCGAGCGACAGGCCGATCTCTTCTGGGTCGAGGTTTCGGCCGGTGGGTGGTGATGCTTGAGCGAAAATGGGATATAGTGAGTTGAAAGAAATGTTGGATAGTTGGAAAATGAGGTATGTCACAAGGAGAAGAATGGTGTCTCGGTTGAGCACGTCTTTCCTCTTCAATTCGTCCGAAGCGGGGAAGAATCCTGGGTTTTCCACGCCGCCATCCGTATCTTCGTCGTCCGAAACCTCGGCAAGCCCATTTTCGTGGGTTGGACTTTGATGGCTCTTTCCCTTTCGTCGCAGGTAATGAGGTCTGCTGGAAGAGGTGAATTGCCAAAGCCATGTAAAGATGTTCCGTACTCTGGACCCTAGAGGTTGGAGATACTGTGCCTCTTCCAAGCTCTCCTCCAGGAAAATAGACGTAAGAACGAAGTCTATCAAGAGGATTGCTGCGGAAAGGAGGTTCGGTGTAAGGTAAGGGTACGGGTTCGGCTTTGAATGGTCGAAAGGATTCTTGGGAAACACCAACACACCACCGATGACGGGGCCGGTGATACCTCCAAGACCATAGATGACAGGGAGATAGGTGAAAGCGCGGGATTGATTGCTTCGGTCGGTGATCTCACCAAGGCAGGTAGAGACAACACCTTGGTTCCCATTCAACAGCCCCATCAATGCTTGAACCGCAATGGCTTGTGGCAGTGTCTTCACAAACCCAAACGCCACGAAACAAGCCGCCGTAAATATTGTGCCCATCAATATCACCGGTTTTCTTCCAATGTGATCGGACAGCCATCCCCAAAAGAAGTTTGTCGCCAGCTGCGCGAGCGCGAAGGCAGAAGCTATCAACCCCACGTACACGCCCACCTGTCCTGGTTTCACTTCGGGGAACGTCGAGGCCATCGCAGGCAAGTAGGGGCTGATAGAATTGAGTGCTGTCTGCTCGCACAGAGCTATAACGGCCAAGATAGCCATCTGTTTCTTTGGCAGCGGCGTGTTGTGGTGGTGGTTGCTGTCTTGTCCATTGTGCAGGTCGTGGCTGGAAGAGTTGGAAGAATCGGACAGCGGTCGCCCTCGAGACTTGGGAGGTGAGATGCCGCCAAATGTCTGGTAGTGAGGAGTCGAAGACTTGCGACGGAGAAGAGGCCCATGATCCGAGGGCTTCATGGTTGTGGATCAAGCATTCATCAGGATGGCGAGGGTTGCCTGGGTGGAGTGCGAGAGCAAGAGGGGCGCTCAGGAAGAGGACGAGGTACAGACAGAATTCGATGGCCGAGCACAAAACAGACAGTGCCTGCTTGCAACAATCTTTCGACAATGGAACAAGATGACAGCCCCAAGATTGACCTCTAGCAACGAGGTTGGCGGGTTGTGAGCTGCAGTCTAGACTTTTTGATGGCGAACGAACGAAAGATGGGAAAAGAAAGACTGCGCCTGGCGGCCAATGCGGAACCTCGAAATTCAAATGACGTACTCGGTACATGCAACTCGGCAAATGCCACTACGCTGTACTCGGTACTACCTAGGTACATACTAGGCAGTACTAGTACATAGGGAGCTACTTGCTAGGTACCTATGGGTACCTAGGTAGTAGTGACCATTCGCCAATGCGCCCGCTGACGAACGACTAATTATTAGGTAGGTACTAGTAGTTGAGAGGGCACAAACACCTAGCTCGCGCAGCCACATTCAGTCCTTTTCTTCCTTCCATGCTAGCTTGCTCGAGAGCCTCCGGGTTATTGTGCCCATCTGCCTCGTAGAAAAGCATCTGCATCTTGCTATCCTCGACATTCCGTTCTCGCAACCAAGACTATGACAAGTGGCTTTCCCAATGGCTCCTTGCCGCAGTCCAGGGACACATTGTGTCATATAAAACTATCAGCGGATTTGATAGGGCAACCAGATGGCCTGAGCCTTGACATGAAGCTCAAGATTGCTCTCCTTCAACCCTTGTGTCCACTTGGCTCAATCCGTTCCCGTTACAGCAACCTGTTCCACGTGCGATGAGACTGCTCCGTTCTTCACTCCGCTTCCTTGACTCCCGTTCGTCGCGTCGCTGGTGTTATAGTGTTGAGTGAAATCGTACCGAAGTGCCATTGGTGACCGCATGAACTCTCGCTGGGCTTCCACGTCGCCTTCAATGTCCTTGAGCATCTTCAAGAACGAGTCGTTCTCAAGAGCCTTATCTGGGTCTTGATCAAATAGTCGCTTGATGTTATCCGTGGAAATGGGATCCGTGACAGTCTGGTATCTTTGGCGCCGCATCTCCGAGTATTTGTCGAGGATACTTTCATCCGCCTTCCCCTCGTAGACACCAATCATGCAGTCATACAGGCCCCCAATATCCACGAGACCACCGGTCAGTCCGAGACCGCCAAAAGGGTTGCAGACTATGTTAAAGCGTCAGAATCACAGTGCACACACAGCGACTTGTTAGACTTACTGTGTGCTGCATCTGCAGCGAGCATAAACCGGCCAACTCGCATCTTCTCCACCAAGCGCTGGTGAATCTTGTACGGGCTGATCGCCGCAAGGTCATATTCTCCTGGTTTGGGGTGACCGGGCAACATGGCCTCGTATTTCATGGGTTGTCGTGCAATGAGCTCTTCTCGAGTGAGTCCAGAGATCTCTCCATAGCTGACACGCCACCAGCCGCTGCCATCGGCATTCTTGGTGAGACGGGCGACCATATGCCAGTGCTCGGGGTGGATGAAGAAATTGGCATCGTCATATCCAAACTTTTCGAAGGGGTAGGCCACCTAGACGCGAATGAGAAACGGCATTGACAGATAAACTCAATGACTTACATTGGTCGCCACGATCTGTTTGTCCCAGGTATAACCGGGGAAATCCTTCGCTCCGTACAGCTTTCTTCTGACTATGCTCGACGCACCATCACAGCCCACGATGTACGTTGCCTCGAGGCGTTTCTGGCCCTCTGGGGTTTCCACATCCACCCATGCCTTGTCATCATCCTGACCGATGTCCACAACTTTGTGGTTGAAGAATACTTTCAAAGTGGGTTGCTGAATGGCGTGTTTGTAGAGCAATCGATCTAGTTGGGCCAATGGCAGGCACGCCAGCCGATCTGGATCGTCGTGCATGAGACTGCAATCGAAACCGGCGAGATAGGTACCGTCAAGTTTTCTCCAACATGTCCTTACCGGATCAAATCCTTCCTTTCGCACGTCATCAATGACTCCTGCACGCCGTAACTCATAGGCAGCTGGAGGGCCATAATACGCCGCACGAGGAGAGTCGTCCAATTCACCAGCAGCTTCCAGGATATGGACGGTGACACCTTTCTTAGCCAGCATCAGGCCCAGAAGCAGGCCTGACGGACCGGCACCGACAATAATTGTCCATGGTTTGTCAGAGGATGCCATTTCGATGCCGTATGTCGAAAGCTGTAAGAACACGCGAGAGGGGTATAAAAACTCCAAGTAAAAGACAATAAGTAACAAGTGGACGATATTTTGGAAATTTCTAGTGTGTTTTTGGTCTTATATTTGGCAAGGCAGTGAAGCCCCGCGATCTTTCTCCATGTGCGTGCCATCAATATCACGAGATGCAACACCATCTTGAACCCATGCCGAAGATTATGGGGGCTTCTCCGGATGTGGAGAGGGCCACGAGCATCTCGCTGGTGGGCAATAGGCTGCGCTCGCCAGGAGGAGGTGGGGCAGTGGTTTGGTGAGATTGTCCCTCTGCAAGTCGGATGGAACGAAGAGGATGGTAGAATCTTGGGCCTTGTTGCTTCTCGGTAGTTATGCCGTAGGGTTGGCGTACTGAAGAGAGCATCTGGTGATGAACTCGCGATAGGGCAACGGATTGTCTGGGTATGTGTATCTCGACTGCGGGCGTTGAACTCCCCCTCACTACGAGTTACTCCAACATGCAGCCTTGCTCACTCGTCCAAATCCCAGGCGCAGCCATCGTCGTAGCCCCGCATTAGAGGCGTCCAAGGGTGATCAGAGGTCAGTACGGTTATCGAGGGGTTGTCGAGATTGTGTCTGATCAGTCACAACTTCAATACACTTCACTGAGGTTAGTGGGGCTTATCCGGGCGACCTCGGTCTTGCGTTTGTCGTCCTTTTCACCCCAGAATTGTCCTTAACACCTTTTCGTCAACCTTGCTGAGATTCGCAAACCGTACGAGGTACCGAGTGTATTGGACCCGATCCGCCCGCAGCAATGTCGAATGCACAGGAGAATAGCGTGGCCGAAGCCCACAAGATCTTCTACGACCAGGGTTTTAAGATCCGAACCGAAGTTGCTGGCTCCGAACATGTCCAACGCTCTCTTCAGAACAACTCGACCGATTTTGCTCGGCCGATGCAAGACCTCGCTACGGAGGTGGGATGGGGAATGATCTGGGCCCGGCCGGGACTTGGTGAATCCCTCTCCCCTTCTTACAAGTCTGTTTCATATCTGGGAGGGCTCTTGTGATGGTATTCCCTCAAGATTGAAAGGCTAACGTTGAGATGCAGAGCGCAAGACCAGGAGCTTGCTAAATATCGCCATGCTCTGTGCTTTGAACCGAATGACTGAGCTAGCTGTGCATGTCAGAGGGGCGGTTCACAACGGGGCGAGCGAGGTGGAGATTCGAGAGGTTCTGATGCAGGTTGCGATCTATTGTGGGTTTCCAGCAGGTCTCGAAGGGGTACGGGTAGCCGAAGGAGTATTGAAGACCATGCGAGAACAGAAGGAGTCTTGACTTGGATTGAAGGAACTGAAAGAGCATCAATTGTGAGTTCCACAGAAGGGGGAGGCGAGTGCTGCACATGTGTGATTCGGGCGTGAAAGGGAAGCTGAGGATTTCCAGCATCACCTCATCACCATACAGGTACGAGGTACTAAGTACTTGTGTGAAGCCCAGGTCAGGCAGGCCTGCATCTTTGGACTGGGTCATTGTCGCAGGAAGATGAATTCTTTTGGCCACGAGAACCAACCTTAGCCTTTGTGGGACATCATTGATATTACTATACAAGAGCGAAAAGAAAAGCGCAGCTGAAATGGCATCCAATTTACAAAGGAACAATTTAAATGTCGCAGGATCTGTTTTGGCAGACCATTGAGGTTCCTGAAAATATGCAGCAGGAGGAGCAGTACCGCACCTCGCTCCTACAAAGTACAGTCAGAAGGGGGCCAGTTTGGCGTTCTCATGGGGCGCCAGGCACCAATCAGCCTTGAGAGGGCACTACTTTAGAGGCCACGCAGAGACCAGTCCCCCATTCGGTCCCAAACGGTGCCTACGGAGGCCCTGCAGGTGGGCGAAGGGCGATGGGTGCTGGGCGATGCGCTTGTGAAGGCTCCTCGGTAGCCTTATTCCCCGATGCTAACTAAAGTCAAGTCAAGTCCTTTCCCGCTGACAGCCAGCACACTACGCCACACCCTCTGCGAGACTGCGACATTGGCCTGGCTGGCAGCATTCAACTGCATCTGTCCATTCAATTTTGTGCAAATGGATTATACGCTCCTCATCTCGGTATTATTTACATCTTAGCGCTCATTGTAGTGTCGCCCTGATATTGGGCTCATCCTCCGAACACCTTGCCTCGTTAGGTACCTATTGCACATTCGTTCGTGGCCAAACCCTCCCTAACCTCAGGCTGCCTTGCGATCTCAGCACCTCCAAAACCGTCACCGACGACTCGCGCAGCACATCACAAAACTCCCGCAGAGTGATTCGTGCTGTTGGCATTTGAGGCACCTCGAATATGCCCAGCGACATCCCGAGCCGCCTCTGCGTTGACTCCGCCCTCTCGCCTCCCGATCGCATAGTCCATCCGTTGCGCTGACCATGGCCAGCTACCAACAAAATGGGCAGCCTTACTACCCGTCGAGCAACCACCCTTCGTCCGGCCAGAACAGTGGCCATGTCCCCTACGGCTCACAATCCATATATCCTCCCAGACCTCTCGAGCGTTCGTCCAGCTTCGACGCCGGAGACGACGAAAGGTACTTCGATGGAGAAGAGCAGCCGCGGGGAGGACAGAGACACAATTCGTATGTTCCGCCGCCCACAGGAGCGGCAGCGAGCCCTCCAGTGAATAGAACTATGTCGGCGAGCGTCCAATCTTCGGTCACGATGCCATTCCGGACAAACACTCAGCATGCGCCATTGAGCGGGTATCAGCATCAATATCAGGCTGCGGCGTCCGCTCACGCACCTTACAATCCCGCTCAATATCACCAACAGCAGCAACAACAGGCCTCTTACAATCCACAACTCTATGCAGCCCCCCAGTCCGTCCATCCTACAAGCACCTATCAGCCGTATGTTCCAGCTGCGTATGGCGACCAGAACCTTGCTCGTCGCACCTCTGTCTACAACAGCTACGGGTCCTACGATGCGAATTCTCAGTATAATTACACTTCATCCCAGCAAGCCCCGCCGCCTCCTCGGTCTGAAGCAGTCACATTCCCCAATCCACAAGCCTACGGTGCGTACCAGCACGACATATCCCAGCAGTACCCTGCCCAACATTACGGCGCCTCATCGACGTACTCTGCCCCGGCTCCTGTGCCCCCACCGCATGGAAGGACGGCAAGTATACCAGAAGAGGCATATCCCTACCCTACTGGCTCGTCGGCAACATACCCAAACTCAACTCTGACCGCCTATTCGTCTCCTGATATAAATCGCAATTCGTCGTTCGCGAGCCGCATGAGCAATCAATCTGCGTCGCCTCAACCTACCCTCCCTACGCCGCCGAGCAGACAGCCTTCTAACAGGTCCCCTCAGCGTACGAGTACACTCGACCGTCATCCTCAAGGCAGATCGCTCCCAGGTCTCCCGTCGGAGCCGGAGTCGGAAAACGACTATTTCAATGCTACAGACTCGCGGCATAGCGGAGCTCGCAACACTGCTTCAACAGGCTACGACGATTTGATGCAAGACCTTGACGAGGCGATAGGTGAGACCTCCAGGCATACAAGGTCAGGTAGCGACTTCAGACATCGCAATTCACGGGACTCACGACAAGATGCTATCTTCCAACAACCATCGCCCAGACCCCAGCTTTCCCCAGACGAGGCGCCAACGCATCTCAATGGGAATATCGCCTCCACTGGAGACGCCTACATCAACTATGGAGCCTTTACGGACGACAGTGACGCTGAGGCTGCTGCCGGGCTGGCAGCAATGCAAGCCTTGGACGAACAAGAAAGGGCAGAGGATGCGCGCCGGCGTAGTGGGTCGGCCACCCTCTTTCCAAGCCAGCCACGTGCGGACGAAGCGGCTGCGAGACTTTCTTCCCAAGAGCAAAGCAGTGACAGTGATTACGCAGGCTACGGTGACTTAAGTCTTGCTGGTGGGGGATATGCGCCTGACATGGCTTATGGCGAATCTGTCATGTCCAACTATGCGGCTGCTGCAACAGCCATGCCCCAAAGCGAGCTATATGGACGATTGAACACGAGAATGAGTTCAGTACGCAGCTCTGGTGTGTCCTCGGAGGGAAGGGAGTCGCAGACAAGCGGATTTGAGTCGATCCCGCCACTTGAAAGCGTCCATCCCTTCTCTTCCACGCACAATGTTGCTCGAGTGGACACTGGGGGCACGGGCGGACTGACAGAACCCAGTCCACACCCCAGGCGATTGAGCTACGAAGACGGAGACGAATCAACCATGATTGAGGCAGAAACTGGCCGGACTTCGGCAAGCTCAAGTCCATCACGAGAAGAAATGCCGGACCTGTTCTTCCATCCTGGTATGAGCCAGCAGCGTCCACTTCCGCCTCCTCCTTCGCTCTCAGACTCGGCGATTCGAATACCGCATCTGATGCCTGCTGGCACATACACTCAACAAAGCCGATTCTCCCAGTACACTGATCCAAATTCACGCGTGTATCCCTCTGCCCCAGATGCTTACTCCAGCACACTCCTTAGCCCGGCGAGCGTTCCTCGATCTACTTCGCTGTCCAGTGCACGGAGTGCTCCTAGGGCCGAACAAGTTAACCGCTCGAAAACAGATGCAGACCGTCAGAGGCTTCTGCGGCAGCAGGGGAGGCCGATGTCTGACCTTTATGACATTGCCAGTCCACAGTCTGCGGTCGCACTGGATCTTCCATCAATTCCACGGAAGCGATACAACCCATCCAAGCTGACGACTGATCAATTCAAGAAATGTTCGGAACCTTGGGCGTTAAGTTCGATTCTGGCGTGGATCAGGGAGCTGGCTGAGGAAGAAGTCGATTTGAAAGAGAACAATATTGTTGAAGGCATTGTTGCGCTTTTTATGAATAAGGTGCCAACAATGTACATCACAGAGGCTGAATCTTTGGGAGAACGGGTCGTTAAGGAAATGTTGGACGCCAACGCTCTTGTCAGAGAAGAGGAATGGGTCAAGTTCGGTCCTGGGACGATGTCTGGCGTTCTATATCAGCTGACAGGCACCGGATGTTACTCTTCGAAATTGCATCTGTACCATACCCGTGGGCGATGTTACTCTTACCACTGCATGCGGACTCTCAAGAAACTCGATCTCGACAGCCTGCCAGTTGAGAAGAAGTCTGAAGATTGGGCTACATTCTACAAGCTCAAGAAAGAGGATGTCGAGACACACGACAAGAAAGAGATTGAACGCCAAAACGTCCTCCACGAAATTGTCACAAGTGAAGACCTTTACATCAGCCAATTGGATGTACTCAGAATCCTGTATCGAGATCGGCTTTCCGGCGCGCAACCGCCTATCATACCTACCAAAAAACTGCCGACTTTTCTGAGGGAGGTGTTTGGTGGCGTGGACAAGGTCAAGAAAGTCAACCAAGACTTCCTCCTGGGTCAGCTCAAATACCGGCAGACTGAGCAAGGGCCCTGGATTGTCGGCTTCAGCGACATCTTCCGCGAATGGATTCGTAAAGCTAGGCCCGTATATGTGGAGTACGCTTCGAACTTTCCTCGAGCGGATTACCTCATGCGGCGCGAAGCCGAACGAAATATCCCCTTCAAAAACTTCCTTGACCAAGCTCGGGAAGACAAACGGTCGAACAGACTAGGATGGGACAATTACTTGAAGGCCCCAATAACCAGGCTGCAGCGGTATAGCCTGTTACTTTCTACTGTCCAAAAGAACATGTTGAAAGACTCCGAGGAGAAGGCCAACTTGGCCTTTGCTCTGGATGAGATTCGAGCGGCCACTTTCGAATGCGATTCCAAGTTTGCGGAAATGACCAAGAAGATGGAGTTGATCGAAATGCAAACCAAACTGAGGCTTCGACCACCAATGGAGAAGGAAGTTGAACTGAACCTCGATCATCTAGGGAGAGAAATCATCTTCCGGGGCGAGTTGCAGCGTGCTGGAGGTAAAGGCTTTCAATGGGTCGATACGCACGCTATCCTTTTCGATCACTACCTGGTCCTGGCGAAGCCTCTCAGTCGTGATCGCAGGGAGGGATATTACGACGTCTCCAAAGTCCCGATACCGATGGATTTGCTCGTCCTTGAGAGCTCCAACGACCCGGCAGTTGTGAAGTCCTCGATGAAGGGGATCGGAGCGGTCACCACAACTGTCGCACCCCGTGGCCAAGTAACCCCTGATAACCGGCTTACGAGAGCGCAGTCTACTGCCAGCGGCGGCACTCCAGGTCCATTGACACATACAAATACCAATCTTTCGATAGGATCTGGCAATGCAAGCCAGAGCATGGTGCCCATCACTACACTGGAGTCGGGCAGTTCCAAAGAGGAGAAGATCATGTACCCTTTCCGGGTCAAGCATCTTGGCAAGACGGAAACGTACACGCTCTACGCGCCTAGTGCCCAAAATCGGCAGGACTGGTGCGAGGCTATCATTCAAGCGAAAACGAGGCATGCTGAGGCATTGTATTCTCAAAATGCCGAACCGTTCAAGCTGCGAGTATTGGCGGACACAGCATTTGGCTATGAGGGCCTTACGTACCCCGCGAAGCGGATTCTGATCAAGGGAACCCCCTTGGACAGGGCCATTCGAGAAGCCGAGAAGAAATTTGAAGGCCAGGGCCGACCGGCACCGGTCTGCCGAGCTCCTGTTAACTGTGCCACTGTGTTCAATCAGCCATACGGTCGGCTTATGTGCGCCATTGGGACCGACTACGGTGTGTACATCTCCGAGTATCAAAATTCTCGGGGTTGGGTCAGGGTGAGTCTATTGGGCGGTGATGTTGAACTCGACTAACATTTTCTAGGCTATTCAAATGCAACGGGTGACTCAAATCGCCGTACTAGAAGAGTTCAACCTCTTTTTGCTCATTTCAGACAAGGCTCTTATTGCCTACCATCTCGACGTTGTTTGTCCACCCACGGGCAATCCAGTTGCGCAAAATGACTCAAGCCGAAAAGCTCCACAGAAGTTGTCCGGCTCCAAGGATATCGGCTTCTTCGTGACGGGCAGGATGAAAGAGCGGACACTGGTGTTCTACAAGAAAAGGGATGGCATAGCGTCGACCTTCAAGGTCCTCGAACCTGTCCTTCAAAAGAGCACCACTAGCCGGTCGCGTTTCCTGCCATCAGCGTCTCGGCGTGGGCAGACGGAATTCTTCCGGGAATATGACGAGTTTTATATTCCCGCGGAATGCTATGGATTGAATTTGTTCCAGTCAAGCTTGGCAATATCGACAGCAAGAGGAGTGGAAGTATTGACACTGGAGAAGAAGCAAACCTGGAGTGTGCCGAATCTGCGAAGCGAACAGCCAGAGACACAAGCCCATCTCAGTTCTATTGCGACTCGGATCAAAGACCTTAAACCTCTGGGGATGTTTAGGCTTGGAGAAGCGGAATTCTTGGTCACTTTCGAAGAATGTGCAGTCTATGTTAACAAACATGGAGACATTTCGAGGGGCGTGGTGATGGAATTCGTTGGTCGAGCGAAAGCAGCATGTCTTTACAACCAGTATCTGATCTTGGTTGATAACGACTTTGTGGAGATACGCGACGCTCAAAACGGTCGGCTGAAGCAAGTGATTGCAGGGAAAGACATCAAATTGCTCGACGACGGCGGCGGCGGCTCAGGAGCAGCTCAAACGCAGACCCAAGCTATGTTAGGAGGAGGAATCAATGGACTCGGCCTCAAGAACTTTGCAAATGCACCGCGGACGCCGAAGATAGTCCTGCAACATCCAGAGTACGAAAAGAGTCACGTCGTCGTCGAATTGCTGTTGACTAGCGACGCGGCCTGAGATCAGGAGTGGCGCTTCTTGGGTATCGGGGTTCAGGCAAGGGCCATGTTCTACCTTATTGTGCAGTAACGATGATCTGGAGGTTTCAGGGTGTTTGCAGGAGGGCGGACCGGGGACGCGAAGTTCATGACTGAATGAAACACGAGTCCTGGTCATTTGGCGCTGCTGTTGGTCATGAGTGAGAATGGACTTTCCCCTGGGGTATATGATAGTGGAAGATATGGATTGGCAGATCTTGCATATAACTAATTATGCTAGAGAAATGATTCTCGATACTGGTCATTGCGATGAGAGACCTCTTGAACTGTCTGTCTTTTAGGCATCACCTATTTAATGCCTCTCTGGTATGTATGTAGATGGTCGGGTCCCGGTAATTAAGGCTGGCATACGCTTTCGGAGAGAGACTGGATGCCAAGCGGGCTCCTGGCTTCTGGCCCCGGCGTCTTCCTGGAACAAGCCATCAGGATGCTTTCTGATGGCCACCACAGACATGTATCTTCGAATTGAGGTGCTCCAGGACTTCTAGAGAGCCCACGTCCGCTTCTCCAGCAGAATATGACGCGCAGACCGTGACAGGCGCTGTCACCACACGCGGAAAGCGACCTCGTCCCAACCCATCCGAGTCTCTCGCTGACAGCCAGCCTGTGCCTGCCTCGTCTGCGCCATGTTGAGCTCGTTCGTGCAGAAGTTTATTGAACAGTCCTCCTTGTCTCCGGCCAACGACAACCGCCCGTCTAAGGCTGCCCTTTTTCGAGACCAGTTCAGACTTCCAGCCGGTCAAAACCCCTTGCATGAGATTACCGCTGAACTATACCTGCCTCTCCCCTCGACCCCAGCGGGAGGCCCTATCACCTCCGGAGAGAAGACGAGGGAAAATGGCAACAAATACCTGGGCGAACTACACTTGAGTGAACACTTTCTGTGCTTCTCGACCATCCGAACCAGTTTCCTGCCCTCGGCAAACTATGCAACATCCACCTCCTTCACAGGCCCGACGCAAGGTGCGGGTCCCGGGGGCCATGGCTTTACTCTGCCCTTGTGCTCGATACGAAGAGTCGAGAGGTTGAATAGTCATCAAGACAAGTTCTCGCTCGCCCTCACCACCTTTGAGTCGATCCAGAAACCCTCGACCGAGAAGACGCAGGCGGTACAGCCTCCTCCCCGCAAGCTCATCCTTACCCTTGACGGCAGTCGTATCGCCTGTGAACGCTTCTGTGATGGTCTGAAGAAGGGTTTGAGAGAGGGCATGAAAGAGGTGGACAATCTGCGACTTGTAGTCTCTCAATGCTACTCTGAATACCTTCTGGACCCCGCTCGGCTCAAGGCCAAAGAGCAGGGAACCACGCCGCCTGATCCGCCCGATACTGGACTGGGCATGCTGTTTAAATACCCGGGAGACGCCAGGAAACTCAGGGACCGGAGTAAGATCAGACTCTGGGGCGAGTACATGCGAGAAAATGGCCGGAATGCCACGATAGTGCGCCAGCCTACTTTCCACAAACTGATCCGTGTCGGGTTGCCAAACCGGTTGAGAGGTGAGATATGGGAGATATGCTCCGGTTCTTTCTACACGCGGCTGAGGAATCCCAACCTCTACGCCAAAACCCTGGCCAAGTTCACTGGGAAGGAGTCCTTGGCCATCGACGAAATTGAGAAGGATTTGAACCGGAGTTTACCAGAATACCCCGGCTTTCAGAGCGAAGAGGGAATTGGCCGACTTCGACGCGTCCTCACGGCATACAGCTGGACCAATGAAGAGGTCGGCTACTGTCAAGCCATGAACATAGTTGTGGCTGCCCTGCTCATCTACATGTCAGAGTCCCAGGCATTCTTCATACTCGGCGCCTTGTGCGACAGACTGCTTCCCGGATACTACTCGAAGGACATGTATGGCACTCTTTTAGATCAACGTGTCTTCGAAAATCTCGTCGAACGGACAATGCCCATTCTTTGGGAACATCTGGTCAAGTCGGACGTCAACCTATCCGTGGTGTCATTACCCTGGTTTTTGTCATTATACATAAACTCGATGCCCCTTGTGTTTGCTTTCCGGGTGCTGGATGTGTTCTTCCTAGAAGGTCCGAAAGTCCTCTTTCAGATTGGTCTGGCCATTCTCCGTATCAATGGCGAAGAACTACTTGATGTGAGCGATGATGGCTCCTTTATCTCCATACTCAAGAACTACTTTTCACGATTGGACGAGTCAGCCCATCCCCATTCAGAGAACGAAAAGTTGAGGGCGATTACCAAATTCCAGGAACTCATGGTGACGGCTTTCAAGGAGTTTGCGGGCATCACGCACGCCAGTATCGAAGAACTGAGGGACAAACATATCGATGGCGTCAAGGAGGGGCTTGCAACATTTGCCAAACGAACATCAATCCGGAACTTGGGACCAGAAAGCAAGAAGCTCAGCGCCGAGGATCTCAGTGCCATCTATGACAGGTTCTTTGGCGTTTTGGCTGAGCGACAAGAGCGTGCAAAAGCTCGCGAAGCAGAAAGAAGGAAGCAGCAAGATCAGAGAGCGCGGCCCGGTTTGTGGCCGCAACATTCATCTCGCAACAATGACGAACCTGCACGCAATGCCGCACCGCTGCAGACTATGGATTATGACGCCTTCAGAGAGTTCCTGGCCAACACGGCCAAATGGGCGGTAACAGACTCGCCCTCATCACCCAGCAAGGAGATTGCCAGCCCAAACCAAAGCCAGAGGAAACGGAGCAAGACAATGACTCAATGGGGATCAGGACCTGAACCCGCCGACCACGATTTTATGCAACGCTTATACGGCAAATGGGACGAATCGCATCAGGGAGAGATGACCCTTCCACAACTGGTCCGAGGTCTGGCCCGTTTCAAAGGCACTACAGACATCATGAATTCCATGAGTTTATTCTTCGATCTCTTTGATGACGAGGGTACGGGCAAAGTCGACCGGGAGGGCATCCTTAGGATGTCTGAATCGCTTTTGTTCCTTTCTCGGCGAGGTTTCGACGGTGCTATAACCCCATCAGACACGAGCAATGGACTGGCTTCTCCGCTCTCTGCTTCAGACTCGAAGGAGGGCCTGAAACTGAGTACCAATGAAAAGTTTCTGGGCAGTGTCAGCGCCTTCATCAGAAGATGTTTCGAATACGCCGATCCAGATGACGCTGTGGGTACAGCAAGCCCGGGGCTCGAAGTGACAACCACCGACAGCCCGAATGAGGAAGAAGACCTCCTTGATTTGACCGAATCACGATCTAATCACAAAGCTGTCGCCTCGCCGCAACCCACAGAGAAAGATCCTCTGTCCGAGACGACACCGCCTCATACGCCCTCGCTCTCGAGTATTCAAGACAATCGTAAATCGTCCTCCTCTCGCGCTGCCTCGCATAACCTCGCCCTCGATCCCAACAAGCCCTTGCATATCACCCTCCCGACCTTCCGCATGGTCATTCTCGCCGATGAACTTCTCGAGCAATTCTTTGAGACGTTCTTCCCCCAATCTTTCCGTCTAGCCGACGTCCCTCCCAATGCCAGCTCCTTGTCGTTGGCGTCAACCACCAATACCCTCTCAGGAAATCTCACCACCTTCACAAACCTAGGCACGCCCGTCAAAAACCTGTTGAACGGCACGCCTTCAAACAAGACTCTACCTGATGTCGGTCGTGCGGGTGGTATTGTGGAACCGGGCTCTCGCGGCCTGCGAGGTGTTTTGGATAACATCGTGAATGACGGCATGAGAATGGCGGCTGAGATGCGAAAACGTATGGACGATGCGCAGAGGGAGTTCGAGCGGAACGCCCGCGAGCAAGGGCACAAACCTTATCGAGACGACGATGATGACGATGAGGATTATGATGACAAGGACACGGGCATCGGGAAAAGGGACCAAGAACTGTTGGAGGGAGCCGAGGTCGCTAGTATCCGAACGGCGACTGGCCTTGGTGGGAGTATGGATGAAGGAAGTGTGAGGAGCCGAGCCGAGAGTTCTGCGACGTTGGGTTCTAAGGGAAGTGGCAGCAGCAGCGGGATGGGAACATTGAGCCGCAAGACCACGGACAGTGGGCATAGTGTGACTATTTTGGATGTCAATGATATGTCTTCAGATTCGAAATGATGGGGGAGTTGGAGCTGGAGCTGGAGCTGGAGCTGAATCGGCAAGGTGTAATGGGCAGGCAGCCAATTGCTAGTTAGGGAGGTTACGATGAACTAGATATCCAGCTATAGTTCAAGTACCCGTGAGCTCACAAGAGGATATTTAAATATTTAGAGGTATTTATTGCCGGACGGCACGGGAATCTGAAACTCTCATCAACATCTCCGATGACATCCATCACATTGTCTCCTCGGGGAAGGTCTATCCCTTTTCACCCTTTTTTTCCCCTTGAAGGGGGTCCTGTGTGTCGTGAGCATCTGTTTTCTCGTACAATGTTGTCCGAATACCTGTAGCTACCTACATGTGTCGATATATACCTACGGTGGTGGTGGTGGAGGAGGTGGTTGGACAGATAGATGAATGGACGAATAAATGGACTGATGGAAGACTTGATCCCGTTTCCAAAGACAATTCTGTCTGCGCTGTCTACAGTAGGCTGGCTGGTGGCTTCTATGGCTGAGGAATCAATATTTGGGAGAGGAACCGGACAATGGACGCGGTACGCGAGTGTATCTATAGAAAGATATAAAGATATAAAATAGGTATCTAGTTTCGATGGAGAGGAAGCAACTGAGAAAGGCTCGTTTCGAAGGGTTGGTTGGGGTGGAATTTCCATGTCGCCTTCCCCTCGCCTTCGAGACCAGGTCCAGCTATATATGTAGGTGCTTCTCAGTGCAAGGGTCATTCTTCTCCCTTCCTGTCCGATACAAAGCATTGTGCTTTGTGACAATTTGGATACGGCACTGGTGATGGGAGCCCAGATCCAGGGATGAAGTTGTATCGTATTCGTTCTGATTTGAGGAGAGTCGCAAGTGAAAAAGATCGCATCTGACTGATCCCATCCTCTCAACTGGAGCCTGCCAGAAAATGCTTATGTATCCAGTCTGCGGCACGGCCCAAGAAGAGTGGAACAGCCCCAGTATCCTTCATGCCCAACACGTTGAAACGCCGAAACGAAACGCCGGAAGCTGGGAACGCGAGAACAATCTGGTTTCTCCTTTACCAGGGAGATCTGGTGCAGTCTTTTCAGTGACTAGAATGCTCCTGGCGCCTTGCTTGGAACGCAAAAGTTTGAAAGTCAGGCGCTGACTCGGGCCGTCAAGCACCGTGTTGCTGTTACTCTTCGTCATCGTTGTCGTCGCTGCCCTCACTGCCTTCTTCCTCTTCGTCGTCGTCTTCTTCGTCGTCGTCGTCAGTCTCGACATGTAGCCTCCCGTTTTCGGCGATGGCCTTCTTCGTCTCTTCCTCGTCTGGTTTCGCCTCGTCATTTTCCTCTTGCCCATCTTCACCTTCACCGTCCCCTTCTTTCTTGTCCCCAACCACTTCATCGACTTTCTCTGCAACGGCTTGCATCTCGTCCAGCGCGCTCTTCGCCACATCGTCTCGATCAAGTGTCGGCATCTCGTGGATATCTTCTTTAGATGGCACGACGACCTTGAGCTCGAGCTCCGGCTGCTTACTATACACACGAAGCCCGACCACACAGCTTGCGTTCCATGGGTTGCGATTTGGGTCTTTTTCATTGTCGTCGGAATCTTGTTTGCCCTCATCCGCTGCTGCGGGCGCCGAAGAAACCGACGAGCTGGACGGAGTTCTGGCTCCCAAGGGGACAGGAGTTGAAGTTCCAGATGCGGAAGTTGACGTAGCGCCGGACGACGAGGGCGAAGGGAGCTGGCCCTTCTGATGAGCTAGATCGTACAATTTGCCAATTTGGGTGATTTTGTCTCGTCGGTGAATGTTCTTTCGGATGACATTTTCCACCTCATCTCGTCCAGTGGCATGCGCCTCAACTTTGACCAATACGCTATAAGTACCCTTTGTCAGGTGCACTTCCACATTCACAGAGCGTATGAGCTCATAGTTCATCTTGCTGCGGGAGAGGTATTCCTCTTCATCGTCGTCGTCTTTTTGCACTCGGAATTGCAATGTGAAATTGTACTTGCCCTGCAATCCCTTGAAGTACCGCTCATCAAGCTGGGAAAGTACAATCACCGCATCCGTATCTTCGGGAACGGTGATCGAGAAGTGGTTTGTCTGGTAGTCCAGCGTAGACCAGGGCACTTGGACTGACATCCATTGCTGAGCAACGTGCCAGTCCGGACCAAAGATGCGAGTCCGGTCAATGTATTTGTACTTGCTGAGCATGTCCTTGTAAGTCATCCAGAAGATACCATCGTCACCAAACTGGTGGTTCAACCTTGTCAACCACTCAGCGGTCCACTCCTTGGAACCGTCACTCCAGGCACCTGTCCATTCCTTTCGGCCCCAAGGGTTGCGGATCTTGACCAGCCGTTGGCCATGGCCTTCGTATGTGTCAAGGACCGCATAAGCGTGCTGACTGACAATTCCTGAGCGACGTTCCTCTCGGATCTTTTCGTTCGCCACCAGGTATGGGCGCCACTCGCGCCAGCGTGCAGCAGCACAAGAGAAGACGAAATCTTTTCCGATGCGGCTGAGCTCATTCTTCCAAAATTCATCTGTATCGAGAATGTTGGTAGTGTAAATCTCGGTCGTGACGCCGCCAGTCAGATCTTCAATTGCTTCTCCGGTCTGTCCGCCAGAGATGGATGCATAATCTCCATGCGCTTTAGCATAAGCCTTTTCGAGAAGACTGACCCAAGTCTCGTTTTGATCTCGGCATTGAGCAAAGTACAATGATTTGGATCCGCGCTGGAAAAGTTCTTGATACTGATCTTCCTGGTCTGGCCGTCGAATTCCGTATTGTCCCAAGACTACATCCCCGCTCTCGTCGTATGCCGGTGCGCGGAGGTACAGCTTGTCGTCAATTATGCACTGGTGCCACTCACCATCGCGGTGGAACACAAAGCCGTAGACTCCAACGGCTTGATCTTGTATGACGCAAACACGGTCGATGAATTCTTGGTTGCAGCTCAAGGTCGAAATGGCGGCCAAGAACCAGCAATCTCCTGCCGATCCTTGCAGGATATCGTCGTAGGAAACACCATTGACATAGAACTTCGGTTCGTCAAAGATATCCTAGGATATGGTGAGCGAGTATTCTAGCCACTATATACCTAGGTATATACTTACTGTGACTCGCTTTGCATCTGCCGGATATTCTTTGTCGTCATCTTCAATGATCAGACCATCCAGACAGTCCCTGATCCTCGTGATCTTCAGATCTCTTTCGATATCCCAGTGAGAATCGGTGTATTTCTGGTTTGAGGCTCGGCATTCCTTGATGATTCGTTTCACATCTCGGATACAAGATGCCTTGGCGTCCTCGTATGACTTGACAGCCTTGTGAGCGATCTCACCAACAAGTGTCACGGCGCTGAGATCCTTCTCCGTGAGGCGGTCGGGAAGGACGCGCGTAACTTTGCCAGTGTACTCGGGATCGAAGTTCTTCCAAAACTTCTTCATCTTGGCCTGCGGATGAGGCTTCTTCTCCTTCGCTGGAGCGGGTGGAGGTGCTGGTGGTTTGTCCGGCACAAGCATAAGTTTGATTGTTTGACCACCTCCCAGGACCAGCCCATCCTTTGGAGTCTCCGGTTCATCTCCAGTACGGTTGGTTGTTATGTTAAAAGCCGGGTTTGGTCCATCGCCAGAACTTCTCCCGGCTTCGTTCATCTGCTCATCCGCCTCATTTGTAGCGGCGTCTTGTTGTCCAAGAGGGTCCATGTTCACATCATTGCCATTGGACTCAATAGAATCAAGGTCGTTGTCTTCGAACTTGACTTGGTGACGAGACGGGTGGCCGTCACGCACAAAGGAGTATCCAGACATTGTTTGCAGCAAGGCTGAAAAGAGACAAAGAGTGGAGATGGACCCTGGATTTCAGGGTCTCTGAATATAAACATTCCTCGCATACGAGTAATCGGGCTCGCGAGGCTTAGGAGAGAAAGTTAGGCCTCCGCCGCCCCGGTCTGTTCCTGCCTGTGAGACGCTAGAGCAGGAAATGGGATCCTATCTTCGATAGTTCGACGCATTGTGAGGCTTGGTTAGTCACACGAATTGGCGGTAAGAAAGTTATCGATACCGGTCAAGGCCTAGCTCTGAAGAGTGGCTCTAAGCGAGTAGGCTCGTAGGGTCGAGACTCGGCCAACCGCGATAAGACAAGTTTATGGGCGACCCAGAATGCCTGTGAGGGTCTTCCGGGCGCCAATAGGCGGCCTCGACAATGGCGAGGGCCATGGGGAAGATCCGGGAGGGTCGCATGCTCATTGAATGCAGCAGTCCTGAAAAAAGAAGCCGGACAAAGAATGACGAGGCCAGAGCGCCCAGAAACAATGCGACCTGTGCATGTAGCTAGCCTGTTAGTAGTTTCGAAGCACTGCGAGAGACTGGGGCCCCAACGGCGGCATCCATAGGTAGCTGCACAGACCTTCTGCCTGCGTGCGGACTCAAAGATCAGAGTCACGCCAGCGTTGCAGCAGACGGAGTTCTGGACCTCAAGCGGACCAGACAGGGTCAGGAAATCGCGGTCATGCCATGGACCATGAACAGCTGAGGGTTTGGGGGCCGGTGGCTGGAAGAAACCGTTTCCACCGTTGTGGCCGTTTCTTCATGGACAGAGGATGAGGCTGAATCCGGCCTCGGAGTAGCGGCACAGCTGCTGACAATCCCCTTGTGTGTACGGCACTGGCGGAGTGAGTTGGAGATCCGCGATCAGGGCAAATTCCGCTGAAACTAGCTAGTCAGAGCGTGAAGAGGCGACGACTAGGTGAGAGAGGAGTCGACGTTGGGACCGCAGTCCGCCAAAGAGTCCGTCACGTGAGTTGCCTCACCTCGCTACCACCCCAGTGCAGCTTTCGGCGGTGAGCCTATTTGCGTCTGCTGGGGTGGCGCTGGGAAGGAGTGGGCTGGAGCCTGGAGCTGGAGCCTGGTGGATGCCTAGCTCCGAGTTGTGAATAACCCCCAAGTACGAGCTCGTATTATTAATTATTGCACCTCCCGGTTACCTACGTAGGTAGGTAGGTACTTTAGCTTAGGTACACCACGCGCCCAACAAGTACAGTATGTACAGGAGGGGGTATGCCTAGTGGCCTCAGGTCTTTGGCTGGTGAGGGGTAGCAGTTGGAGTAAACTTTCAGGTAAAGCGTCGCTTTAACCCCGGTATTACCGGGGATCCTCTATGCATCATCGGCACGCCTAGTGCCCTACCAACGCCCACCTAAGCTTAGAATTGCCTGCGTCTGCGCATTCGTCAAGCCTACCTAGGTACCTAGGTATTGTCGTATTTGTACGATTGCAAAAAATCTCGGCAAACAGTCCTTTCAAGACGTCTTTCACGGTCCTTTGCCTCGCGTTGTCGAACAGCATTCATTGTCTCTTTACATGCTGGGTCAATCGCGGTAGATGAGGCATCCAGAAGGGTTGCAGTCTGTCCTGACTGCGTCAGGACGGTTTCCGCCCAATTCTGGTCCTCTGCATCATATTAAACCACTCTCAAACCAGCCATTCTGTGGTGATGCCGAGGGCTGGGGCCCTGTGAGCTCCCTTCGATGGGATCTAACACCATGCTTCCTTGATGTTTGGATTGTGGGCGTCGCTCTTTGGGGAGTGCTGTTTGGTGCTGGAGCTTTGTGGTATTTGTTCACCAAACGAATCGCCCAGGATGTTCCCAAAAATTGGCATTTCTATACAAAATTGTGAGGCTCGATGGAGATCGCTTTGCTGGAGTCGGTGGCTGACCTGACAATAGAACCGTTCTCGCTGCCATAATCCTCACAACTGCGCTACAAGCCTCGCTACAGATCGAGCAATTACCCGGCGTATGGTTTCAAGATATCCGATTCTACACCTCGATCGCCACTATTATATCCCTCTTTGTCATTTTCGCGGTACAATATTATGAGCATTGGCGGTCACGGAACCCAAACGGCGTTGTGCTGTTTTACTGGGTCTTCTTTATCCTAGCCTACGTTCTGAAGCTGCGGTCGCTGGTGGCTAGGGAGTCATACAAGAATCGGCTCCCCTACTTCGTCACCTTCAATATCAGTCTTGGTTTGGCGGTGGTAGAGTTCATTCTTGAATACCTGGTTCCGAAAAAGCAAAGCGCTTACGATGCGCTGGGAGCAGATGACGAGTGTCCCTACGAGTATGCCGATATTTTCTCGGTTCTCACCTTTGGCTGGATGACGCCTCTGATGAAGTTTGGCTACAAGAATTTTCTTACTCAAGATGATTTGTGGAATCTGCGGAATCGAGATACCACCAGGGTCACGGGAGACACATTGCAGAAGGCTTGGGAGATCGAACTAGAGAAGAAGAAACCAAATCTCTGGATCGCTCTAGCCCGAGCATTTGGAGGGCCATATTTGCGTGGAGCGATGATAAAGACCGTCAGCGACTCTTTGGCATTTGTCCAGCCGCAATTGCTTCGACTGTTAATTACTTTTGTCGATTCCTATCGGCCAGGTCGCGAACGGCAGCCAGCAATCCGGGGCGTGGCCATTGCTCTGGGGATGTTTGCGACTTCAATCTGCCAGACAGCCGCATTGCATCAGTACTTCCAGCGCGCTTTCGAGACTGGTATGCGAATCAAGTCCTCATTGACTGCGATGATCTATTCAAAGTCATTGCGGTTGTCAAATGAGTCGAGAGCGACCAAATCCACCGGCGATATTGTTACATACATGAGCGTGGATCAACAAAGACTCGCTGATCTCGCCCAATGGGGCCAACAGTTGTGGTCGGCACCGTTCCAGATCACTCTCTGCATGATCTCGCTCTACCAATTGGTGGGAGTTTCGTGCTTGGCTGGGGTTGCAGCCATGGTCATCATGATTCCTGTCAATGGCTTTATTGCGAGATTCATGAAAAAGCTGCAACTGTCCCAGATGAAGTACAAAGACCGCCGTTCCCGGCTCATGACAGAGATACTCAACAACATGAAAAGCATCAAGCTCTACGCTTGGGGCTCTGCATTCATGGACAAATTGAGCCATGTGCGCAACGATCTCGAGTTGAACAACCTTCGCAAAATCGGCGCAGCACAATCATTTGCAACCTTTACCTGGTCTTCGACGCCATTTTTTGTCTCGTGTTCGACTTTTGCGGTTTTCGTCTTGGTCAACAACAGACCCTTGACAACGGACCTGGTGTTTCCCGCTCTGACCTTGTTCAATCTATTGACCTTTCCTCTCACAGTGCTCCCCATGGTCATCACGAGCATAATCGAAGCTTCAGTGGCGGTAGGTAGATTGACTGCATTCTTCACCACGGACGAGCTTCAGGATGACGCAGTGAGATTTATCGACGAGCCCCCAAAACAGGCGGGCGACGTGTCTGTCTCAATCAAGGATGCCACTTTCACGTGGGACAAGAACACAGGCAAGAATGTTCTCCAAAATATCAACTTCACTGCCAACAAGGGAGAATTGACCTGCATCGTTGGCCGGGTGGGGGCTGGGAAGTCTTCTTTATTGCAAGCCCTCCTCGGTGATCTTTACAAAATCAGTGGTGAGACGGTTGTGCGTGGCCGGATCGCTTATGCTGCACAGTCGGCCTGGATCATGAACGCTAGCGTCAAGGAGAACATTGTCTTCGGGCATCGATGGGATCCTCACTTCTATGAACAGACGGTCAACGCTTGTGCTCTTGTTGATGATTTCAGGCAACTTCCTGACGGAGATCAGACAGAAGTAGGTGAACGTGGCATATCGCTGTCTGGAGGCCAAAAAGCTCGACTCTCCTTAGCACGAGCGGTGTACGCAAGGGCAGATGTCTATCTTATGGACGATGTTCTCTCCGCTGTCGACCAACACGTCGGACGTCATATAATCAATAATGTCCTTGGTCCCAATGGACTCTTGAATGGCAAAGCGAGGATTCTGGCCACCAACGCGATCACTGTCCTTAAGGAGGCAGACTATATGTATCTGCTCCGCGATGGCACAGTCCTTGAAAAGGGAACGTACCAACAAATCATGGCTATGCGAGGCGAGGTTGCAACACTGATCAAGTCCGCTACCGCAGAGGAGGAGGAATCCGAAGCAGAACGCAGCCCAAGCATCGAAGGAATGGAGTCTGACGACTCGACAACCATTGTCGGAGCCAACGGCGGCAGCACGCAGGACGACCTTGATGACGAGGAAATTGAAGAAGCGCAACAAGAAGTCGGTGGACTGGTGCCCATCCACGCCGGACCCAGTGGTCTCTCAAAAGCCCGCAAATCCAGCTTCAATACTCTCCGCCGTGCCTCGACGACCAGTTTCCACGGCCCGATGGGCCGCCTTACCGACGAAGAAAATGGGGGTGCACAACTGAAAAGCAAACAGACCAAAGAAACTGCCGAACAAGGCAAGGTAAGATGGTCAGTCTACACAAGTTATGCGAAGGAGAGCAATCTCGTCGCCGTGGGAATCTATTTCATGGCCCTTCTGGCCGCTCAGACGGCACAGGTCGGAGGTAGCTTCTGGCTGAAGAGGTGGTCCGAGATCAACGAGTCGCACGGATCGAACCCCCAGGTCGGAAAGTACATTGGCATTTACTTTGCGTTTGGCATCGGTGGTGCTGGACTGGTTGTCATCCAGGTACGTACCTGTCATCTTTCAGTTCCCCTGTCTTGGATCTATATTCTGCATGATCCATGTCTCCTGTCTCCTTCTGCGCCACTTTGTATTACGAAAGGTACCCGAACTGACACGAACCTGTGTTATCTCTAGACATTGCTTCTCTGGATTTTCTGCTCGATAGAGGTATGGTTTTCCCTTTACGTGTCCACGACCTGGGCTCCCTAGGTTACCTCCCCCTTCTCCATTCGTTGATCACAACGATCTCGT